TCAATCAATTCATTTCTTCCCCTTCACCATAAAATAAAAAAAAAAATTAAAAAAAAAAATACGGATATGTCTGGAAATTCTAAATTTAAAAGTCAATGAGTCTTCTATATCATGCTATCTCATAATAATTATTATAATAATAATTAATGTAAAGTGATATATATATATATATATATATATATAATCCATAAAAAAAGAAGTTTCTTAAGTTATATTGATGATATTGATTATATTATAAACAATTGAAATACAAAAAAATAAAATAAAATGTGCTCCAATAAAAAATCCAAGTCTAAAATTCTTATTCATGTATGAAATAAAAAAAAGCAACGATCTTAAATATATATCTCAATTATTCTAAAAAAAAAAAAAAGGTCTTTTATGTCTCTCAATATTCTAGTCCCATCTAACAATTTTTTACAGATCGAAACTTCTTTTTTTTGGATATTTATAAATATATATCCGTTTTCAATTTTCTCTTTCTTTCTTTACAAATCTGGTAATGCAGAATTTTCTTTTAATATCAACTATATACTAAATAAAAAAAAATTTAAATAAATTAAATCTTTTTTCCCTCCGTTTTTTTTTCAAGGCGGGAAACGGCTTTTTTTTTTTTTTTTTGATTTATATTTTGATTTTGATTTTGATTTTAATTTTGATTCAGCTTTAAAAGAAACTTCTCCGAAAGACATGGGGCCAGTGAGACTTAAACATAATGCTTTATTTTTTATTTATTTATTTTTTTTATTTTTTTTATTTTTCATTGAACCCATCAGTCTACTTTAACCTTTTATACTTTAATAATTGTTCTAAGACATGTCGTTGCCGTAAAAAAATTGTATTTCATATATAAATTTAGAGCTGATAGATGGATTAAAAAAAAATAAATAAATAAAAAAAAAAGGTTTAAAGGTAAAGAAAGTATTTTTGAAAAAAAAAAAAAAAAATATATCTTAAAGACCCTTTTTTTTGTGATTGCCATCTGGTGTGACTTTATTATTATTATTTTTTTTTTGTCTTGAAATATTAAAAATAAAAAAAAACTTGGTTCAAAAAAAAAATAAAAAAAAATTCCAGATCTCTTTTTCCGGAATTTAATAATCAATTGGTTAAAGTAATGCTTTGCTAATCTAAAAAAAAAAAAAAAATAAATAAATAAATAAATACAAAATTCGGATTTTGATAATTATGGTCATTTAATTAAAAACTTCTATTCAACTTTTTTTTTCAATCTTTATTATTATTTTTTTTTTTTTCTTTTCACCGTTTTATATAATTATCTCCTCTTTCTTTCTATATTCTTTTGTTGATAAGTTTTGTTGTAAACTTCTCCTTCAGAATCACTACAACTGCCTTTATAAATAAATAAATAAATAAATAAATAAATAAATAAATAAATAAATAAATAAATAATCACACCTGTCAAAAAATGAAAAAAAAAATTTTTTCTTTTTTCTTTTTCTAACTGTCTTGTTTAGTTTTTAGATGCAAGGGCAACCAGCACATTTTTTTTCTGCACAAAAAGCCCTCCACTTTTATACTAGAAATGTTTCTTCTTCTTTTTCTTCTTCTTCTTCTTAAAAAGGCATTTTATGTGAACTATTAAAATACTCTGGTGGGTATCCATTCCACTCAAAAAACAACAACAACAACAAAAAAAAAATAAATAAATAAATAAAAAACTTGTCACAACCACCAAAAAAACAAACACTCTTTAACAATACTCCTACAACAACACTCTTCAACATGTCAGAAATCTCATATACAGCTGTCACTCTGGCAGATGAGGATAAAGAAATCCCCCTTATCCGTGAGCTCATGACCAAAGAGCTCTCAGAACCTTACACTCTTTACGTCTATCGCTACTTTATGTACTCTTGTCCTGACCTTACAATCATGGCTCATGATGGTAATACACTTGTTGGTGCCATTGTATGCAATATTTCTTCTCACAAAGACCGCCGCCAGCGTGGATACATTGCAATGATTGCAGTGTGTGATGAATACCGAGGCCGTCACATTGGGTCCAAGCTTGTGGCAGCTGCTGTTACTGCCATGAAGGCTCAAGGTGCTGATGAGGTGGTTTTGGAAACTGAAACTGTTAACAAGGCTGCCATTCGCTTGTACGAAAACTTGGGATTTTTGAGATCTAAACGACTTTACAAGTATTACCTAAACTCAAATGATGCTTTTAGACTCATTCTTCCATTGACGGAAAAAAGTACCATGCTGACAAGGATGATGGTCGAATAAATATGGATGGGATTAGTGGGGGAAAAAAAAAAATAAAAAAAAAATAAATAAATAAATAGAGAGAGAGAAAGAAAGAAAGAAAGAAAGAAAGAAAGAAAGAAAGAAAGAAAGAAAGAAAGAAAAAAAGAAAGAAAGAAGGAGCATAGTAGTTGATGGTTTAAAAAGGATGGTATATACATGGATGGTGGGAAAAAAAATAATAAAAAAAAAATTGTATATATTGTTTTGTAATGATTAGTCAAAAGTTTGTAATTTTATATTGTCGGGTCTATTTTTTTTTTTTTTTTTTTTTTTTCGTTTTCAATTTTTAATTATTTTGTTTGTTTCCCTTTTTTTCCCACTTCTCCTTCTCTTACTATAAAAATCCTCACTTATCTTCAATTCAATATTCACAAATGTCCGATACAGAGACTATTAACGAGATCTTGTATGTTTCTATTAACATCTCACTTACCCCCCTCCCCTCCTTTTTTCTCCTTTCAACTTTTCTATTCTAACTTTTCAGAAAACTAAAAAAGGCCTTGGCTTCCACCGATGAAGGTAAGTTATATTCCCCCCCCTGCCCAATGCTCAGTATAATTCCTACTTTAACTAACCTCTCTCACTCCATTTATAAAGTCTTTGACCCAAAAGCTCCATATATTGGCGACTTTCAAACAAACCGCAACCAGAAACTTAAGCGTGGAGCTGATAAAGTTTACCGCAGTAGGCTTCAAGTCGTTCCTTATGACGGATACGATTCAGGAGTATGTAATACCCAATCTCTAATTCTTAATTTCCATCATGTTTATCTCTCTTCTTCTAACAAATCTAGATTGGCGAATATCAAGGTCATCGACGTGCTATAGTCTCCAACAAGAAACAAAAAACACAACACTCCTCGATACCTAAAGATCTATCTAAAGTTGACGGTGAAGTCAAGCCTGAGACAGCCGACGCGTCAAAAAATAAACCTGAAGCAGATGCAGACGCAGACAATGAAGACAATGGCAATGACGAGGATGATTATGATAATAACAATGACAATGACAATAATACAGACCCATATGCTCAAGTTAATATTTCAGATCTACTGGCACCACTTACAGACCCAGCAAACTTGCCTTCACACCCATCCATGGCGCGTGCATTCACAAGCAGAACAATTCGAGGGCTGGCGCGACGCGCACTTGACATTGTGAATGAGGAACACAAACACACAGTTCAGTTTGCACGGCTTATGAGCGTGTTTCTGGGCGATGACCCCATGTATCTCAAAGTCGATAAGCTAAATTTGCCAGTGTATGACCATCTGGGCGGTATTACAGATAACAAAGAAGGGTGTGCAAGTACAAGCAATACTACAACTCTTGTAAATGGAAGTGCACCAGCATTGGCAATAACAGCAACTTCTGGATCTACAACGACACCAACTACAACAGCAATAACAGCTTCATCAACGACATCAACTACATCAACAACGGCAGCAACGGTACCGGCAACGACGACAACAGCAACAACAGCAACAACTACGACAACTACGACAACAATAGCCACAATACCAGGAGTTAATGGAACTGCTGGAGAGTCGAATGGAGATGCCGGAGGAAACTTTCCACTGCTTTCAGCATCCTCCACGCCATCAGTTCTCAAGTCCAAGTCTGGGCGCAGTGCGCAATCTCTTTCTTCGGACCTGGAGCCATTTTTTGGGCTTCCACAGATCCACGTTGATCGGGATTATGGAATCAAGCCGGACGATGCAGAAGATGCACGACAACTAACACAGATTGCCCAACAACGTAGCGAAGAGTTTATCCGGTGTATGGCCAAGGTGCGTCACGGATTGTTGCGTGCAGAACGGTACCAAAGCAAGGTATATCGATGGTGCCGGGAAATGGCAGGAGATGAAGATGATAGTGATGGAATGGAGGGCCATGATTCTACCAAGACAGCGTCGACAACAACAACAACAACAACAACAACAACGACGACTACGACGACTACAAATACCACAAATACAACGGAAAAGAAGAAAAAGAAGTAGAATGAGATGGGAGAGGGAAAAAAAAATAATTTTTTTTTTTTACAGTAAACATTGTTAAATTAATGAGCTTGTTGTTGGAAAACTAGAGTTAAATCTTTGCGTTCTGGTACAGAAGAAGAATCAAAGTATGGCTTAACGGCAGTCTCGATGACAGCGTCAAATAATGTTGTAATGACAGACACCAGCTGAGGCCCAGTCTGTTTAAAATCTGGGTATGCGTTAACCTCAAGTAACTTAATGTGGTGATCCTCAGTGACGAGGAAATCGAGTCCGTAGATTTCAAAAGCGTTTGAACGGGCCTGGAAGTGCATACTATTTGCAGCCGCGGCACGGAACAAATCACCTGTGACTTGGCACAGTTCTGCGTAAATGTCTTGTTTTTCTTTCAAACTGATTCCATCAAGGTCCCAAAACAAGGCCACGGACTTGTCATCCTTAAATTCACCCTGGAGACACGTATTGGTGAGATGTCCTCGTAGGGGGATACCATCTAAACCCTCAGACATGGGAGGAGCCGAATAGGGAGCAAGGGCGAAAAGTGCAAGCATTTGGCGGTACACATACACGCGCAAATCACCAACACAGAGAACATAAGTACGGATATGGAACTTACGGCGGTCATGGGCCTGGAGTAGCAGTGTGTTTGCAATGTATTCCTGGACCACAAAATGTCGGAGTTGGGAAGTAATAATTTTGTTATCATAATCTCCAGAACTAGTATCAACATTTCCCATTGTATTGTCATCATTCCCATCATCGTTATCATTATCTTCTTCAAATTCATCAAATATACGTTGGAGGCCATCAATTGTTTGAAATAAACGTATACCTTGACCCCGGTCACTCATGCTTGGTTTCAGAATCCATGTTTTACGAGGTTCGTTTTCCGGAAGCTGTTGATTTTGCTCGAGCTCGGAACGCAGTTCATAAGCCTCATCAAGAGCATCATCAAGAAATTCTGCATAGTCGACTTCAATGTTGAAACATTCTGGGAAGGCCTTTTTGAGTGCCGAGTCTGGATGTTTTGCAGTATAATGGGCGACTGTATTTGCGAGGTAGTGTTTTCTAATGAGTCCTTTTCTAGATATAAATTATTAATTTAAATTTATTTATATATATATATATATATATATAAAAGAAAGAAAAACTTACCGGTAAACATAAGAACATGCTAAATAGTTTGGATCTGCAGAGTTGAGCCGATCAAAATCCAGGTCCTCATATTCGGCATAGTGAAACGTTTTGGGTGCATCTACGCTATATTTCTGGACAATTGTTATGTCTGGGAGATGTTTTTTAACAGCAGCCTCTATCTCAGGGTAAAGATAAGAGTCAGGGTCAATAGTAATTGCAGCTGAAGTCATTATTTAAGGGAATGAAAGGTTGATTTAATAGGAAGATATAAAAGAATGGATGGAAGACTTTTGACAAAAAATATGAAGTATTTTATTTTATTTTATTATTTATTATTTATTTTTAATTTATTTTTTTTTTTTTTTTCAAAAATTTTAACTTTGTAATCACATGATATGAGCCGCACTGAATATTGTCTTTATTTGGGAAGAGCAGTGGTTTCCAAAACACCTTGATTGTTTGGTTTCTACAAGAAATTTTCTTTTCGTTTGTTCGTCTTTCATTTTTTTTTTCTTTCTTTCTTTCTTTCTTTCTTTCTTTCTTTCTTTCTTTCTTTCTTTCTTTCTTTCTTTCTTTCTTTCTTTCTTTCTTTCTTTCTTTCTTTCTTTCTCTTTAAAATCCACATTCAATTATTAAATAATGAGTCCGGATTTAGCGTTGCACGTTTCACAGGCTGAACGATTGGAACGATTGCACACCATGTCACACTGGTCGTTACCGCTCATAAGCCTTGTTATATGGTGGGGGATGCTCACTATCATGCTTTTATTTTGGGGGACTGGAAGAGTAAGTCTAAAAAAAAAAAAAAAAAAAAAAAAAAAAAAAGACTGTTAAGAAAGAAAAAGAGAGAGAGAAAAAAATAGAGAAAAAGATTCTGACAAGAAATTTCTTTTTAAAGGTAGACTACATGGCTTCAGATCAACAAACAAGAATACTAGTGTAAAAAGGAAGAAGAAATAAATGTGAAGAAGAAAAGAACCTTTCTACTAACTGAAAGCATTGCAAACCAATTTATTATTATTATTATTATTGTTATTATTTTTTTTTTTCAAATATAGGTACGTATCAACTGTAGGTTCCGAGGGGCTTAAACCACTATTTGTATGTGGAAGCTTTTTGATGGGCATTCTTGCTCTTATTTCAACCACAGTCGAGCGCACAGTTCGTCATCGTGGACGATTAGTACACACAAAACGAAGTCTTGAGACAACAACAAGCTGGGTGACAATTACAACAAGTACAATTGGGCATGTTAGTTTATTTTGTGTTGCTGTGTTTGATTGTCGCGACCATTATGATTTCCATGTATTTGCACTGGCCCTTTTTCTTGGGTTTTTGGGTATTGCATCTTTTACAATTGTAAGTGAGTTTTACTTTTTAGATCCAGAGTATGAAGCATTCCGAAGACTTCAGATTGCTTATTTTTTGCGGCTACTGTGGTCAGTACTTGAGGTGGGATTAATTGTATCATTTACAACATATGCCCTTTCTGAAAACAGAGCAAGGGGGTGTATTCTTGAATGGGTATGTATATTTGTTTAAATTTCTGGTGAGAGAGTAAAAAAAAAAAAATTAAAATGGTGCTAACTAAATATAAAATCAGATTGTGGCCTACTTGTTTGGAATCCACTTGATATTGTTTTCCTATGGAATGTTTCCAATTGAAATTGCTCCAGTAACTCTGGCTGAAGAAGAAGCTGGGTATGCAATTGAGTGCGTGATGCTTGGGGTATTTGGGTGGACCTCATGGGTACGTGAATATCGTGGACACTGTCGAGCAGTATTAGATGGTAATTCTCCTGGAAATAGCGGGTATATTGTGAAAGAAAAGGAAGGTTGTGATGGAGGTAATGATGAATGCCAGGAATTAAGATGTTATGAAGAGAAGATGAAGCGGATCAGCAGTATGGATAGTCTTTCACTGAGAAGCTGGGATGATTTACAAATGAATTGGAAATAAGAAATAAGTTGATTGTTTCTAGGAAGAATTAAATGTAGTTGTTAGATTATTAGATTGAGATGAAATAAATGAAAGAAATAAGAAGATGTAGAAGAAGAAGAAGAAGTTTGCTTTATTTTATTTTTTTTTTTTTTTGGTTAAAGTTGAAAGTTGAAATTTAATTTGAAAAAAAAAACAAAAAAAAAAATGCCGAGGCTTTGTTTTGTATTATTTTGAAAACTCCGGGGAAACGGGAACATGAGCCGCACGGCTGCCGCAGTGCCGTATTTCTATTTGCATTTTTTTTTTTGGAGAAGTTTCCATGCTTTTATTGGCCAGAACTTATCAACCCTAGCCCTTTTGTCACGTGGGATAACAATATGTGCCATCACACTCCCCCTCCCCCAAAAAAAAAAAAAAGAGCGCTAAATCAGATTGGCCAATTGTGTTTAAGCACGGGGGAAAATGTTTGAGAAAATCGTTTTTTGATGGCCGAGGAAATTATAAAATACAAATGAAAAATAATATGAAAAAAAAAATTAAAATTAAAATTAAAAAAAAAAACCCCCCATATTTATTGAAGGTATTTATTTATACTTTTAAAAATTATCAATCGACTCTAAAGGGCTTTTAAAAGCCGCTGCCGGTCCCGTGCTGGTGACGTTATTTGTGTTTAATGTTTAATGTTTAAGTGTGTGTGTGTGTGTGTTATAAAAAAAAAAAAAAAAAAAACCTAACCGTTGATGCCCGCCGCACGCGCCCGACCGGCCCGCAAATGGACGTTAGAAGAGAAGCCTTTCTTTCTCTCAGTTTGTGTTCTGGGATTCTATTGGCTGCGTTATATAAATTTGGTCCTTTGGACGGGACTTAAAAAAAAAAAAAAACAGTGCTTAGGTTGACAGCCAACAATAAAAAAAAAAAAAAAAAGTAGAAGCAACAGAAGTAGCTATACGAAGAATTTCAAAGAATTAAATTAAAAATTAAAAATTAAAAATTAAAAATAAATAAATAATAAATAAATAAAATAAAATAAAACAAATAGGTCTCCATTCTTTTTCTTGTGAATTTCTCCAAGAAATAAAAAGAAAAAGACCTTCGCTTGAATGGAAAAGATTCAATGGCTATAAGACAACTGGGAGAAATAAACTCTTTGGTAGAGTAAGTTGGATGAGTATATATTATACTATTTCCACGGGGGTAAAATTTGATTTGATTTCATGAGCTTTGACTTAAAACCAAAAAAAAAAAAAAATTGTCATGATTGATTATTCGTATTGATTATTTCTTTCTATAGAATCAAGTAATCAAGTATATCAATACTTTGAGTATAGATATAACAGAGGGATACCCAAAGTAACTCTCCCCACGATATGACGATCAAGGTCCTACAGATATAGACCAGACAATGAGATACATGGGCTTAGTAGTTAGTATAAATAATAATAAAAGTAATATATCCCGCTTTAGTTTGTTAAATTTATAAACCAAATTCTATTTATTTATTTCGTGCGTTCTTTTTTTCTTTTAAAAAAAAAAAAAAAAAAAAAAAAAAAAAAAAAAAAAAAGAACTCAGATATATTTTCAATTGCGTGCTATCATATCCCAGATAAAACAAAAGAAAAAAAAGGGTAAGTATCTACAATCCAAACAAAACAGTCAATCTATATGTAATTAATTTATAAATAATTAATAAATTAATAAATCCAGTCAATTCTGGTCGTCTAGACGTGTGGACGTGTGGACGTGTGGACGTGTGGACGTGTGGGGAGCTATTTGATTCAGTTGTAAAGTAAAAAAAAAAAAAAAAAAAAGGGCCCAACTACTGTTACTACTACTAATACTAATACTAATACTAATAGTTACTGCTGATGCTAATGCTGATGCTGATGCTGATGCTGGTGTTGTTGTTGTTGTTGTTGTTGTAGAAAGAAACCCTCAGCCAGTCACTTAAAGCCAGCCAGTTAGCCAGTCAATGGCCAGCCTTGTGTAGCTTTTAACAGAATAAATTGAAATAAATTAAAATAAAATAAATTAAAATAAATTAAAAGGTGGCCACCACCACCACCACCATCAGAAATACCGCGTGCGCCCATTTTCGGTAGGTTTGGTCCCGAATGGTATAAAAAGGCCGACTTTCCCATCTCATTTTTTTTTTTTTCCCTTCTTCTTTTTCTTCTTCTTTTCTCTTTCTTTTTCTTTTTTTTTCTTCTTCTTCAACATTTTCGTTCCATTTTTTATTAAATAACCTCTTCGCCTTTCATAATGTCTTTCATTGCCCGTCGTGCTTTCTCTTCCACTGCCTACAACGTAAGTCCTATTTTATAATTACCCATTTTTTTTGTTATTATTATTATTACTTCTATTGCATTCTATGATGCTTTTAAATAAATAATACCCACCTACCTTAAAATCCAATCAATTACTCAAGTTATTCCAGCCAATCCTATCCAATCATTCAATCTTAACCCAAATTAAATCAATTCTTCATTCATTCATTAATTCATTCATTCAATCAATCAATCCATCTCATTCAATTCAATTCAATTCAATTCAATTTAAACAAAATATCCTAACTCTTCTTTCTTAGGCCCACAAGGTTGCCGTTCTCGGTGCCGCCGGTGGTATCGGCCAGCCCCTCTCCCTTCTCCTTAAGCTCAACAAGGACGTTACCTCCCTTTCTCTTTACGATCTTAGAGGTACCCCCGGTGTCGCTGCCGACCTTTCCCACATCCCCACCAACTCTGTTGTCAAGGGCTTCCTCCCCGATAACGAGGGTCTTAAGAAGGCTCTTGAGGGCGTCGAGGTTGTTGTCATCCCCGCCGGTGTCCCCAGAAAGCCCGGTATGACCCGTGACGATCTCTTCAACACCAACGCCTCCATTGTCCGTGACTTGGCCAAGGCTGTTGCCGAGACTGCCCCCAAGGCTTTCGTCGCCGTCATTGCCAACCCCGTCAACTCTACCGTCCCCATTGTTGCTGAGGTTTTCAAGTCCAAGGGTGTTTACGACCCCAAGAGAATCTTTGGTGTTACCACCCTTGATGTTATCCGTTCTTCCAGATTCATTTCTGAGATTAAGGACACTGACCCTACCACCGAGACCGTCACCGTTGTTGGTGGCCACTCTGGTCACACCATTGTCCCCTTGATCTCCCAGTCTTCTCACCCCGATATCTCTGGCGAGACCCTCGATGCCCTTACCCACCGCATCCAGTTTGGTGGTGATGAGGTCGTCAAGGCTAAGGATGGTGCTGGTTCTGCCACCCTCTCCATGGCTGAGGCCGGTGCCCGCTTCGCTGGCTCCCTCCTCAAGGCCCTCAAGGGTGAGGCCATCACTGAGCCTACCTACGTTGACTCTCCTCTCTACAAGTCTGAGGGCATTGAGTTCTTCTCCTCCAAGGTCACTCTCGGCCCTGAGGGTGTCAAGGAGGTTCACGGCCTCGGCAAGCTTTCTCCTTACGAGGAGAAGCTCATTGAGGTTGCCAAGGTTGACCTTAAGAAGAACATCCAGAAGGGTGTTGACTTCGTTGCCGCCAACCCTTAAACAGCTTCTTTATGAATGACTTTTAACTAATGGGCTAATGACTTTTTTTCGTAAATAGGAAACGTATTACTAAATTAATTTATGATTTTAAAAAAAAAAAATTGAAAATGAAGTAAAAATGAAGATGAAAATGAAAAAAGAAATTTAAACTTTGGTTTAAACATTGGACTCGAGTGGGTACTTGTTTAGGCCAATGTTGTAGTATTGTAGTGGTATATATTTCAAGGTTTCTAAGCTTGCTACGTACGAATTCTGTGCTGCTACACCTACTATACTAACACTACTATAATATACTATACTACGATGCAAGATAAGCCCTCCTTTTAGAGATTTGGATGCCTCATAAATTCCTTTAAAATGGCTGACATTTCCGCTCTTTTTTTTTTTTTTCTTTCTTTTCTTTTCTTTTCTTTTCTTTCTTTTTCTCCATTTTCATCTCTCTTTTTTTTTTTATTATATATTCCCATTTACACACTATTCTAATCATTAAAAATGCCAATCTCTCACGAGACCTCTTTCCCTAACTTTGCAACTCCATGCAAACTATACACAAGCACTCATCTAGTCATCGGTCCTTACTCACTAGCACATGCTCATGCAGTCTTCTTGCCTTCAAACCCAGCACTCACCTCTACTACCCTCTCAAATACAATCGATCCATCGGCCGCTCGTTTTAAAGCTATTGAATTTGCACTCCAGCTGCTCGTCGATCACCCAGAAACCGCCGCACCATCACGTCGTTGTACCATTTACTTTTGTGAGCCTTCTTCTCCATTGCTAGTCCCCTGGCGCCCGTCACAATCTTCAGTAGCATCTTCTACATCATCAATTTCATCTTCATCGTTGTCAGCAACTCGAATAAGTGGGTCACACTCTGGAGCCATCTTTATGCTTATGGCATACCTGCGGAACTCGCTAGGGATCGATGTTACAATATGTCAAATTAAATCAGGAGACAAGGCAATGGATTCAAACGGTAAACGGGCACTTTGGTTAGCAAAAGCTGCAAGTGAAGATGTATACAAAATGGGGCATAGTTAGTTTCAAGTGAGGTGATTAAAATGAGGATTTCTTTTTTTGTGGAGATTATTCCAAGTTGTGGATTTTCTTTATTTTTTTTTTTTTTAATGAATGAATGAATTATGAAAAACATTTACAGATTAGCTTTATAATTAATAATGAATAATAATGTACTTTTGCTTTGATTTTATGATTTATTTTTTTTTAAACCTTTTTTTTATATTCATCAGAGTTTCTATTTTATCTTCATGTTTTGATTTCTAAACATTGGGGGAATGAAAAAGTCGTTTTAATAATATTCAACAACACTCTACCAGCAATAACCGTTATCACCGGTTACATCAACATTTAAAATTTAAAATTTAAAATTTGATAAAAACAAAAAAATATAAATAAATAATACAATTGAAGATTTAAAACAAAAAAAAAATTATCCATCTTTTCACCTTTTCAAACATATAAATTTTTAATCAATAGCTCAATTGGTTTTCACAAATTAGGGAATTTAAAATTCAATGTTATAAAATATATTTTACACCAAATGCTTTTGTCCCTTAGTTGTCAATTATTTAAACCGTTTGAACTGAAAATGCAACTAAATTAGAACGAAATTGGAACAAGAGTATTTTTTGATTTTTTGATTTTTTTTTTTTGTTAATTGTTCAAATCTAAAGAACTACAATGATTCTAAACTTTAGAACTAAAACTATTCTTGAAAAAATCAAGAAAAAAATAAAGTATTCATAGATTATTGTTACCTGAGAATTAAAAAAAAAAAACGTGCAAATGTCATGATGTGCGCTATATATCCGCACAAAACATCCGTGCAATACAAAAAAAAAAAAAAAAAAAAAAAAGCAAAGTATTCGCGCAATATTCCAATTTTTTGACCAAAAAGAATTCAACATCCAGTTTATTTCTGTAGTTTATGTCAAATTATTATGGCAGTTCTTTATTATTTCACTTGTTATATTACTACTTTCTCTCTATAGAGAATAAAAACATTTCCAAGACCTCCACTGTTTTAAAACGGTTTTTTTTTTTTTCATGTTGGCATATAAATGCATGGTTTTTGTAATTTCAAAACCCACACTTTGAATAATTAGGTTAACCCTTATAGTAATATGAAGAAGAATTCCCCACCATTAGCAAACGCAAAACGTGCACTGCTTCAAGTTCGTTGTATCTCATAGGTTTCAATATATAGTCCGGCTATATCACCACCATACATGACACTCGGAAATCCGGGGAGGAGAAGGCTGAGGGGGGTTACCCTGTAATAGGGTTAAGGGTTAAAAAGAAACAATAGAGAATACAAGGTTGAGTTTCAAGTTTAAGATAAGAAAATTGATCATTCATTGAACTACAAACTCAACCATCACCATCACCATCATCATCACCTTTAGCTTTACCTTTCCATTCTCTTCTTTACTAGAATTTCACAAACAACAATATTTCTTATATCTGTCACACTTCAGCTCTTTTTTTTTCTTTCTTTCTATTATTTATTAACTCTATCTGAATTTTTTACGCACTTCAAATTATCTTCTTCTCTTGCAGCACGTTTTAAATAATTAACCCTTTTGGATAAGAATTCTTTAAAAGAAAGGTAAATAGAACCCCTCCTTTATACACTTTGGATAATAATTATCTAACAATAATAATAGACTTTGGCTTGTTTTCAAACTATACTTTCAAAAACTCGAATCTAAGATTTTCTCAAATTTTTTTTTTTTTTTTTTTTTTTTTTTTCATTTGCGGCAGCTCTTGATAATTACTACTTTATCTTTTCAAGTGTGAAAATCAAAAATGTGTTCATAATCTAATAATATGGCGAGACTTTAAAAAATTACCAATATATTATAAACACTACCATTAAAAAAAAATTTATAGAAACCCTTAAGGGTTTAATAAAGCTTTATTTCTACTCCTCCAAGAGGTGAAAAACTTGATAAATTTGATAACCTTCATTTTTTCTTTATCATAACTATCCTAAAATTAAACTCTTTTATTCAATCAATTCAAACAACTATATTTGTTGTTTTGCAAATAATAATCAATGTTTCGCTATTCTTGGGCATTAAGGGCTTTCCGTGCTCCTCATGTCTCCACCAATAGGTTTAACCATATCAAAGCTCTCTCAATATCTACTTCCAGTCAAGAGCAACAGTCTAATATGTCTCTACAGTCTGCTTTACCACCAGTTTCGTTAGAAAAAATATCAAAAAAGAAAAAGAAAAAGAAAAAGAATAATAACATCAATGTTAATAAAAAGTTGGTAACTATAGAAGAACTTTTGCAGTATATCATGGTTCTTGAAGAAAGTTCAAAGAAATTCTTAAACCAAATTAATACAAAACCAGCAGAAAAAAATATAAAAACAGAAATCAAAATAACGAAAAAAAAAACCAAGAAAGCGAAAAAGAAACAAGAAGTTAAAGTGGAAACAGAAAACAAAAAAGAAGAAGGAAAGGGAAAAGGAAGAGAAAAAGAAAAGAAAAAAGGGAAAGGAAAAGTTAATGAGCCAAAAAATGAAACCAAAACTTTAGAAGTGACTAAATCAACTATTATTTCACCTCTTCCAGAATACGAAATTTATACAGATGCATCAGTTTTCACAGAAAAAAGATTAGGTCATATGGCGGTGTTTATTTGTGAAAACCCTGAAGAAAGTATTCGTATGACATATATTGATACTTTCCTAAAATCCAATGAAGCAGAGCTTATAGCTATTGAACATGGGCTTTATCATTTGTATTTCAAAAGAGAACCCCTTAGGAATCGTAAATGTATTCTTTACAGTGACAGTCTTGAAAGTGTTAATAGAATACTAGGAGTGGTTAAATATAAAAAAAAGACTGATTCTCAATTAATGTGCCAATTTATGTTGGGAAAATTAAAAGAATTTGGTATAGATGTTGAAATTAAGCATGTTATTCGTTCTAAAAATACATTTGCTCATAAGTTGGCCAATAGAGGAATGTGCTTGGTTGATAATAAAGAATTTACAACAAAAAGTATATATTATATAGGGAAATAGTAACATTATTTTAATCATAATTTTAGTTAAAGTTAAAATTACAATCGCAATTACAATTACAATTAGAAATAACTATTTGTATTATTTTGTGATTCAATTTGTGGTGAATTTTCTATTTGAAGCTTTAGTTGTTGTGTAAGGTCTAAGTTTTTTTTTTTCTTTTTTTTTTTTTTTTTCTTCTTCTTCTTCTTCTTCTTTTAGTTATCCTATCTAACTTTAAAAATATATATATACTTACTAAATAATAATTTCTACTGTTGACTTTTTTAAACAATCTTTTAAATTCACTATTCAATGTTTCACTTTGGTTTTATGTTACGGGGGTTCCGTTTTTATTAATGTTCCCAGAATCAGATTCAACGGTATTCAAGTTTCCTTGAATCATATCCTTAACAAAAAAAAACAACAATCATTTTACCTTCTCTCCCTTCTCCTTCTCCTTCTCCTTCTCATTATCTTCTTGATTCCTTTAAAAAAATGAAACAAATTTGTCTGAAATTTTTGAGATTTTTACTGATGCTTCTGTTTTTGCAGAAGGGATGACGAGTTGTATTGCAGTTTATCTTAGTTCAGCACCCAAATACAGTATTCGAAAAACATTTATCAACGGAAATATTGAATCTGAGGAAGCAGAAGTTCTGGCAATTGAGGAAGCACTTATCTATATCAAATCAAACAAATCACAACTTCAAAATCGGAAAATTTTGATTTACAATGACAATGAACAAGCCGTCGGTAGAGTATTAGGTTCCTTTTAAATATAAGAAATTTTTTCTTACTCAAGTTAGATGTAAAGACCTTTTGACTGAACTTGAACACATAGGACTTAATACAGAGCTTAAATACATCCCTCGAGCATCTGTTCAAGGGAATAAACTTGCCCATCGATTGGCCAAAAAAGGAGAGTAAACGATATAAATTTATATATTATCTATATAGATATATACCAAACTAAATCCCTTAACTCTACCATCAATTTTTTTAATAAGCTTTTATTTTTTCAAAAAGAAAGTGGTTTGATTTTTACAATACAATAAAAGAATTTCTGTTTTAAAAATGGTTGCCAACTGCAACTTATCTGTTAAGTTTATAAGTTTCACAACCGATAGTTATATTGATATACATTGATGCTTCTAATTACAATGGCATTTCCACAATTAGCATTCACTGTGAAGATTATAAGAAGTACAACAGTAGTTATTGCGTAATATAGAGTCTCAAAACTGCAAACATATAGTTGTTTTTTGTTGAAGCCATGGCAGTTAATCGTGTTCTTTGGCTTCTATTTCAAAAAAAAATATATATATATAAACAATATCGAGGACAAAATTTTTTAAGATCCACACAGACAACATTGAGGTTTATGAGGCCCTTATATGCCAACTACAAAACTTTGAGTGGGGAAAATATGTAGCAAATGTACAAATTTCAGGTTCTAGAAAATATTGCAAAAAGGTTGGACAGTTTGGGATTGAACTTGATAATCTTTCATATGAAGAAGGGCTTACAATGAGGTCTAAGGAAACTAGGCTGCCCATAACGATGCCAACACACAAGAGACTTTCAAGGTGTTTAGTAGAGCAGAAATGCTACTGTGGGTGTGTGGTTGTATGTGATAAAATGAATAGCCGAAAAGTGTGCGGCTGAATATTTTTTAGTGCAATACAAGGCTTGTAATTGTAACATCTTTAGCCTTTTTTTTTTTCCTAGTTTTCTCCCCGCCTCTTTTTTTTTTTATTTTTTAATTCTCCCGCAAAGGCTTTTTTTCTTCTCCCTTTTTTATTTTTTTTTATTTTTATTATTTTTGGTTATTTTAATACAAAATAGCATTTCCAACTAGAATTTCCATCGTTTATTCTGCCGTCATCTTTGGAGAATAATTCCCCCCCAAAAAAAACAAATTATAGACTTTCCTAGGCTTTCTTTTTTTTTTTTTTTTTTTTGTTCTTCTTCCTGGAATACCCACATACGCGGTTCTTTTTCTAATCAATTACATCTTTTAATTAATACCCAGGACTTAAATACAATAACCACATAATGAGCCTTTTAGACTCGGATATCCATGACGCGTCTGGATCGTCCAGCAACTTGGTTTCTTTAGAATCAAAGCCATCTTCTTCATCTTCAACTTCGTCGTCAACCCCTCCGTCTGCATACTCTGCCACAGTTCTCACTCCAACTCCGTCGTTTACAGTATCGTCACAAAAGCCAAGCGAGCCGGCTACCACATCGAGCACCTCAGCCAATAACACCACGCAGAACCAGTAAGTAATCAATAATAAAAATAAAAAATGATTGCAACGCCGTACCTACTTTTTTTTTTTTTTTTTTTTGATAGCAACACAGTTTAGATTTATATCGAAAGAATTGAAAACTAACAATCCTTACCAGATCATCCAAAGCTGTGGAACCGTCAAAGGATGACATGCAGGGCATTCTTGACCAGTTTGATCCTTTATCGATAAGCAAGCAAAAGGCAAACAAGGATGAGAACAACACTGCGGCTCAGCCAGCAGCAGCGGCAGCAGCATCAACAACAACAACAGCTGAGCAACCAACCAAACCAGAAGCATCCACATCATCATCATCAACATCAACATCTCAAAAGTCATCTGAATCAGACTCTAAAAAAACACCATCGACTACTCCCGCAGAGCCTGTCCAGATTGATGAAAAAAAGTCATCTCTTGAAGCGGTCAGACGAATCGAACCCAATAGCCCACCACCATTTGACTTTCAATGGTTTTTGGATCTGCTGCGGCACAAGAGTGCGGATCCCATTGCTCGCTACCTTAAAAGTTTTTTGACTGAGTTTAACAAGCGAAACTGGACAGCTGATGAGCAAATCAAAATCATTACGGACTTTAAGAATTTTATTGCAGACAAAATGACCCAATACCCACCATTTTCAAACCTCTCAGAACCTGAAATGGCCAATGCACTCGAGGGCATGGAAAAACTTGTCATGAACAGACTCTATTCAAAAACTTTTTCACCAGAAATTCCTGATTTGCGCCGAATTGATAGCCACGAAGAGGATGTCTTGCGTGACCGCATTCTTGACGACAAGATGTCTATTTGGCAGTGGATTGAAGGCCGCCACCTAGATATCCCAAATAAGTTTCTGCGCAATGGCGAGTCCTTTGTTAAGCTTGCTAGTGACGAGTTGCGCAAAATTAACCACTATAGAGCGCCTCGTGATAAGGTTGTGTGTATTCTCAATTGCTGTAAGGTGATTTTCGGGTTGCTGCGCCAAACTAGCCGGGAAGAAAATGCAGACGGATTTGTTCCGCTTCTCATTTATGTAGTCATCAAGGCCCATCCAAAAAACCTAGTTTCGAATATCAACTATATTCAGCGATTCCGGAACCCCGATAAGCTATTTGGTGAGGCAGGGTATTACCTTTCATCTCTCCAAGGTGCCGTTAGTTTTATCGAAACCCTTGATCTCACTTCACTCAGTATCACGGAGGAAGAGTTTAATCGGAACATGGATGCTGCAGAACTGGCCAAGAAGAAGGCGCAATCTGTTCGCTCGGAATCAACACACCCACCGTCAACACCGGAACGTTCTGCAACGCCAGATCCCTCTTCTCGAAGACTCGACAGCCCCAGAGCCCAATCGGGCAATCTGACGCCATCTGCGGTATTGCAAAATTCTGCAGGACTTTTGGCAGTCCCCTTTAAATCATTTACAAAGTTCTTTGATGCCGAACCTTCGTCGCCGCCCACAAAACCTGCTACACCTGCAATTGAAGGCACAATTATTCAGCCTGATCAAGAAACGCTTCAAGATTCATCACGGAAGCTTCACGAGGCTGCGGCCCACGAAAAACAAATGTTGCAGCAGCAGCGGGCAGGCGACTTTTTCACGCCACCTCCGGATGCGTCCAACTCACGGCTGTCACCTGAAGAGCTTGCAGCACGCCAGGTATCTGCCGAAGAAGAAGAAGCACGGCGCATCTCGCGCAAAGAGTTCAAATCCGTGGTCAATACGCTTTCCCAAATGTTCCCTGCACTTGACCGCAATATTATTGTTGATGTGGCGACCGAGACGCAAGGCCGTGTTGGTGCTGCTGTTGATGCATGCTTATCACTAGTCACTGAGTGATGATGATTCTTGTGTAGTGATTTAATTTTTTTTTTTTTTATTAGACTTGTCAAAAATCTCATATGAGCATTTGCCTCTAAAAAAAATACTTGCACACAAACCCATATTTGTTTTTATTTTTCTATTTACACATACCACCATAATTTTTTTTTTTTTTTTGACATATGAATACTACAAAAGCAAAAGGATCACAGCAGCATAAAAAGTACCGTGCGCTGAGCAGGTCTGCTGTAGCTGCGTTTGCACGGTCTTCAGGTCTTTGCATGTCGTCCGAAGTTCTCTTTGACGAAGACCCTGAGGTACTCACGCTGACGTCACTGGACCATCTCTACAGTTTGGAACGAAGTCAGCGATGGTTATTTACAACCCCTAATGCCGAACGGTTAGAATCATCACAAGATTTGGATGTTCAAGAATCTGTTTTATTTGCGAAATTAAAGATGATGAGTTTGGACGAGACAATAACTAAAGAATTTCAATCTTCAAAACGATTAAATGCATTTATTCCAAGAGAAGTGAGAATTGTTTTCCCAGAAATCAAGCCATTGGATAATCTGCAAAAATATGATTTTGAATTATTGGAGCCTGCGTTTAACGTAAGCACTGAAATAAAGGTGGATGAAATTGATACAGGCCAACTAGAATTTTTACAGCATGTTAAAACACCACCTGAAGAGCCATTTGTAGATCCATCATACGAACAATTAGATGCGGATCTGACTGTTGTTCAAATATTAGATCCAATTGTTGCAACCACTGAAGAAGAATTATACGGTAAAATGAATCTTCCTGTTGATAACCCCTTTGCGGTAGAAATTCCGTTGTTAACATGCGACACACCACCAGAACAAAAAACACTTGCCAAAATCCCTACAATGTTAGATCCTGAGCCTGAAATGGTTGCAGAAATGGACTGCACTAGCCAGCTTGCAAATGAAACACTCTCTATAGATGGAGAACAGCAAATTGATTGCAAGTTTGCGTCGCCTAAAGGTGCAGACTTGTACAAGGAAATATACCCTGACCGTGACCAGGAGCTTGATTCTCCAATTGAAATGGTGGTAGATGATAAAGATTTCCGGATGAATTTATTGGATGACTTGGTGGTTAGTGGAGTAGAGTTTGATTTTGATAAAACCATGACAGAAGATTCTCTGGAACCTTTTGCTGACCCGGGGGTTTTGGAAGAAAGCATTGAAGAACTTGCCATTCATGAACTTCCCTTCCCCATTGTTTCAGATACTGGATACAAACGAGGTGGACCGTTACGTATTGTTGAACTACCGGAATTTACATACCCTGAATGGAATTTGCCATATTTTCTTTTGTATCAACTTAACTGGAAACCCTTTTCAAATATTGTGGCAAACTTTACAGAGGAAATAGTGGTGGATAATTTTATAAAAGTGGAAAAGCCTAAGTATTATGAGGATGTTTACGGGTCACTTGATACTTTGGAAAGGGAACCTGAAGATTTCCTAATTGAGGCTATGGAAGTACCTCTTGAAGGTCCTACTATTATCCCGTCATCAGCAGGTAGTGTCAAGAAAGTGGATTCCCCAGGACGGTTACGCAAACTGCCCAGTTATCCTAAAGATAACTGGGAGTTTTTATCGTCGTCATCATCTTCAGAGGATGAGACTATCAAAGAAAAGCTTCCATCTAAGATTCTTAATAGTTCAATTTTGCAGTACTCTGCAACAAAACGAGAGCGGTCACCTTCGGTAGAGATTGTGGGGCAAGTTAATAAACGACCAAACAATGAATCGATATTTGTAGGTCATTATGAATCTTTTGAAGATTCAGGTGATCAGAGTATAAGCGTGGATGACTTTAAAGAAAGTATATTAAAAAATGTTACTAGTAAAGGCACAATGAAGTTGCCTGACAGAAATGAGTCCAATGATGTTGCCCTTTTGACAAAAAGCGATGATGATTGGGATAAATTTTCAGAGCCAGATTTGGATTTAGATTTTTCGTGGGCAGAAACAGAAGAAAAAAAGAAGAAGGTTGAAATATCTCAAGGGAAACATTATAGTGAATCAGCAAAAAAAATACCTAGTTTTAATCAAAAACAAAAAAAGGGAAGTGATAGTGAAGATGATTTTGCAGTGTTGAGCAAAATGGCTACACAGAAAAGAAATACAGGGGGTGCCAGTCTTGCACCAAAGTTTATACCAACAGTTTCGGATGGATTAATATCATTTAGTCCATACTTTGCTGCCCAAACAAAACCTCCACAATCTGTTCTTACTACTATTTCTAAACCTGTACCGGCTCCTATTACTCAACATGGACTAAAACAACCGACGGCACGCGGATTACAAAATCATTTTTCATTTTCTATAAACACATCACTACAAACCACAACTAACCCAAGTATAGTTTCTCCAAAGGCAAGCAGTGACTCAGAAAAGCGTCAAACAAATACCACTCTTGATATGTTTTACCGTACACCTAGAGAATCATCAAAAGGTGAACCAATACCAGTGATTTGGAAGCATCATATGGGGGAAGCAGGACGAGATATGCGGGTAGTTGTGAACTTGGCTAATACCAAGTTGCGATTAATCCAACAACTCCAGAAGCACAGTAAGGCGCAACTAATTGAGGCTAATTTGGGAGAAGATGGTGCGCACCTTTACCTGAGTCACCAAACATGTATTGAGTTTTTTACACTGGAAGATTTGACACAACGAACAGTTCGGCGATCACCTGTGGTGACCCAAGCTTTGGCTATGGCTGGTTTAGCCAGTACAAGGGCTCCTGGGGTTGATACAGTTGCATTTGAGCGGCTGGTAAAACTGAATGTTTCAGTGAAGCTCGTTTTTGCTGTAATTTTGGTTGATGGGATCACAGTCTCAGAGACAGACTTGAGAAACTTGCAGATATTGCAAGCTGCATTGGCACCACAAGACTGGGTGCAAAGTTTTGTTGTTGGGCCGGCAAGCGAGGGTGTCAATGTGGCTGGGTTTGTTGATGGACTGGCGCTTCTTCATGGCGATGCTAGTGGGCAATTAGAACGTGACATGTTTTCTCGGGTACCTATACGGGCTCTCCAGTTTCTTCAGTTTTGCAATGTGAATCCAGTAGCAGGAGCGTTAGTATTAAGACAATCAGATTTGGTTAGTTTTTTGCAATTGGGGTCGTTAGAAATGAACATTAAGCATGGTGATGTATTATCACCTAGTCAGATTGTAAGTATTGTTGATGATTACAATAAGTGGAGATGGTTGGTTTTGAGAAAAAAGAATAGATTAAGTATATATATGTGGCGGTTATACTAACGGTAACGTGTTTTTTTTAGGAGTATTTGCAGAAACTGTTTACTAGTGATTGGCATATATGAAACAAAAAAAAAAAAAAAAAAAAGAGGGGAGAAAGGATTATTTTGCTATTTTATTTTATTTTGTGTGTGTTTGTGTGTGTGTAAAGCCAAGGAAAAAGGCCTTAGAAGAAGATTTGGTTTTTTTTTTATTTTTATTTTTATTTTTAAATGGAAAAACTCATTTGTTAGTGTTTTATTTTTACCGAAATAGGAAAACCTGGGGTAAAGAATGCTGTGGGGGGGGATGGAAAAAAATAAAATCTAAATTCAACAGTATTAACAACAACAACAATAATAATAATTATAACGGACAGATATCCGTTTTTGTTTAAATGAAATATTTCATTTAATAGAGATTGCCATCTTAATAATATTATTATTATTTTACAAAATGCTTTAAAGTAAAAGTAAAAAAAAAAAAAGGAAACACCATGTGGGAAGAGAGAGGGAGAGGGGGAGAAAAGAAAGTTTTTTTTTGCCAAATAAATTTTTTTTTTTTTTTTCCTTATAATTCTCCATTGAGTTTTTTATTTTTTACTTTATTATAGGAAAAAAAATTACCCCCGTATTTATCAAAAAAAAATAACTTTTTTTTCCATCTTTACTTCCATCTATCCAGAGCGAGATTTTATTTATTTATTTATTTTTAAAAGGGGGGGGGGGAAGGAAGAAATAAAGAAATAAAAAAAAAAAAATAAAAAAATAAAAAAATTCAATTGTTTTTTTTTTTCTTTTTTTTTCGTTTTTTCGTTTTCTCCACTTCATTTTGGTTTTTTTTTAAAAAAAATAAAAAAATCTCCACTTCTTGTGACATTTCTATTTCTCACGACGCAATAAAAATTCATATTTTTTTATTTTACCTCCATCCATCAATCTGTTGGAGGGCGCATGTAAGCACAAAAAAGTTCAATTCTTTCTTTCTTTTTTTTTTCTCCAAAAATAAATAAATTAATTAAAAAAGAGGAGAACCAACCATCATCACCATCATCAACATCATCAACATCATCAACATCATCAACATCATCAACATCATCTCCTCCTCTAATTATTATGATAAAAAAAAAAAAGTAACGTGCATCACCTATTCACCCTCTCTTCCACCTCCTCCTCCACTTCTCCTGTTACTTAGTCGTAGCCTGACGACCATGAAACAGCGAAAATAACGATGTAGTGCGACGTCCCGAGTTCTCATCACCCCCCAAAACACCCTCATCCGGTACATTACTTACATTCCCAGCGCTACCGCCGCCGCCACTTGACAACAACGCTGCATGTGCATGCAGGTGTGCAAACGACCCGGGCGACCCTTGTTTCTCTCCACTACTCTTCTTCTCTGTCTCCGGACTCCGGTGCAAGTCCCGGAAAAAGTTACGTCGCTTACTGGGCGTCGTCACCGGAGATGTAGGCCGAATCAATGCCGGCACAGACTTAGAGGCCTTGTTATTAGAACCTGGCGTAGATGCTGTTTCAGTTTTAGGCGAAGAAGACAAATTTGTAGTACCATCTTTGCCCGCGCGCCGTGTAAACGCATTACTAATCACGGACCGCGGTGTCGACGGCGATGCCTGTGAAGCAGATTGATTATTAGGATGGCGTTTCGGTGTTGATGGTAGTGGTTGTTGGGTGTAGTCTCCATTGCTACTACCGCTGTGCACCGATGATGTTGGAGTGACCGGCGGGTATGATGTTCCTCCGTTTGTCCCATTCACTGTAGCTGCTGCATGTTTCCCTGCCCGTGAATGGTTTCTAGGCGGTGGCATTAAATGATCATTGCTATTATTGACAGTACTTATGTCCGGTGCAGAGCAGCCCATTTGATGCTTATTGATTGAGGGCGAAGATGAATGGCCAGAAGATAACCATTTGGTAAACATCCCATCGCGCTTGACAGAAGAGCTGCGCTTCATGGTGGCCGGAGCCTGAGTCGGTTCAGGCAGAGTCACAAAGGAAGGACCCGTAGATGCTGTGGCAGTTGTTGTTGTTGTTGTTGTTGTTGTTGTATTATTATTCAGATTAAGTCCTGAAGGTTGCGCATGGCCGTTATTGTTTTTGTGGGGCTGCAGTTGGTGTTGTTGTTGTTGTTGTTGTTGTTGCTGTTGCTGTTGCTGTTGCTGTTTTCTGATGTTACTACTGCTACTAGAGCTCTCGGTTCTTGATTTCCTGCCACTGTTGATGCTCAAGCCGTTTTTCTTCTGCTTCTGCTTCTCAGGGTGGGGTATCGATGTGGCGGTCGTTTGTGTTGCCGCACCGCTGGGTTGAACTTTAAAACGAGGCATAGGAGGAACCGGCGGCGGAGGCACCGCCGCATTCATTACGTCATGACTGAAAAACCGCGTCTTGGACGCCAAAGGCATTGACGGTGACCGCGGAATTAAGCCCAAGCTTGCTCGTAATCTGCTTGCACTTCCTGGCCTTGACTTACTGGGACTTGGATACGGACTGGGATTGTCTTCATACAAAGACAAAATGTTTTCTTCTTCTTCTTCTTCTTCTTCTTTCTTTTGAGACGTTTCTGTTTCTGGTTTGGAAATGGTATTGCTTTGGTATATTTGTGATGACCGCCGGCGAGCCTTAATTGTTGCAGAAACATGTGATGAAGAAAACCCTGCATTGATGTTACTGTTACTACTGTTCCCACTGCTACTTTCACTACTGCCAGGTCTGCTCACAAACTGAATGCTAGGGTCCAAGCTGCTGATGCTCACAAAGCTATGAGGCCTTGGCAGTTTCGATCTTCGGAACCGGGTCTCTGTTGGTGTTTTGTTATCTTCTTCAAACGAGCCACGAGGTGATGATAGTTGAGCCCCATTGGTGGCATTTGTAAATGATTGTTGATGAGGTTCTGGTGCAGCTAACGCGTTAAAGTCTATAGTGCTAAAGGGCCGTGGCCGTGAGGTGCGGCGCGGAGGATCATTGGGACCCATGTTTTCGTCAGTGTACGGGACAAGAAACAAGTCTGTATCTGAGGGTTTACGAGCCGACCCGGGTTTAGATTTGATAACGGGGATGTGGCTATTTAATGGCGTTGTTTTTCCATTTGCAGAAGGTTGTTGTGTCTTTTGCTGTGGCGGTGCTGTTTGTTGTGTTTGTTGTGTCTGTTGTGTCTGTTGTGATTGTGACTGGGGTTGTTGCTGCTGCTGCTGCTGCTGCTGCTGATCACGTCCAGTAATTATGGCCAAGAAATGACTTGAATTAGATTTCGGAATTGTCGGGACAGGCGATGTCGGCCGGGTATTATTTGCCGTATTAACACCATTGCTGGGGACTCTACTCGAAGAAGAAGGAAATGTTGGAGATGCCGGGGTAGTTGGTGCTGAAGAAACTGGAATAGGAAGGGAGGACTTGAAGTTAGCTACCCGTGACTCAAGCATCTTCATCTGATCAAGCATGCCATGGACTTTGCGTAAACTGCGAGATGAATTTGCTATGGATGATACTGAGGACTGACTGGAGTGACGATATGCATGGCCCTTGACATATTCCGAATCCTGATGGTAATAGTAATCTTTTGAAGAATTTTGTGAATGAACCGACATGCGTTTAGAAACTGGACTCGATGTTGTAACAGCTACCACAGTAGCAGAAGCAGTAGCAGAAGCAGAAGCAGCATCTTCAAGAACCTTTACTTGAGCAGCAAGTGTTTCTGAACGGTTTGTGGCAATTGCCAATTCTTCATTTGTTTCTCTAAGCTCGTCTTTAAGCCGTTGGATCTGGACTTGGAGGTCTTCGTGACTTTCGAGCTCAGCTTCAAGCATAGCAACCTGTTCAAGTGATAAATGATATTTTTGTTCCATGTCTTCAAGAGTAGATTTTGCAATACGCTCGTTGCGTTCCATGTCATCATTAGTCATTTCAATTTCGCGTAGTCGATGATTTGATTGTTTATGAGCATCTCTGAGTGCAGAGATTTCACGTTGGAACGAAGCTTGTGAAGTTGCATATTCCTTTTGTAGGTCTTTATATTTATCCTAAGAAACATTAATATGATTTAATAAGAATAATTGATTAATTGAAATATTAAGGTTATTATATGTTTATTTTTGTAAAAAAAAATTAAATAAATAAATAAAAAGACGCGTCAAAAAAAAAAAAAAAAAAAAAAAAAAAAACTAACCTTCCAATCTTGAACTTCAGTTGTTAATTTATTAATTTGTAGCTGGGATTCTTTATGTCGTTCTTCGGATTCCTGAAGTTCAAGCTCAAGTTCTTGTTCGAGTTCACGAGAGGACGCCTGGAAATCAGCGAGCTCTGCTTCGAGCTCGGCAATATGATTTTTTGCCTTTTCGTAAGCTTCATTCTCTGCGGTGGTCATGAGAGAATGGGAGATATTATTGTAATGAATGGGAATAAAATGCAGGTAATATTAAAAAAAAAATAAATTAAATAAATAAATAAAATAAATAAACAAAAATTAAATTTTATAGGAAGGATATTAAAATTTTAGTGATGGTAATTCATAATTGAAATGGTAATATTTGCTATTTGATATTCTTCTTTATTTATGGAAAGGTTTGATTTGATGTGTTTTTAGGAATCTTCAAATTCGGCTTTCCAAGAAATCTTTATTTTTTTACGCCCAACAAAAAAAAAAATTGTGGTTTGGTGGCTTCTCATAAAAAAAAAGGTTGTAATAAATAATAACTGAATATTTAGTGTGGCTAATAGATGTGTAATAAATCACGTGAAATGTTGGTTTACATAAAGCTAAGACAGATTAGAAAAAAAAAAATTAACGAGAAATCATTTTGAGATTATGGGATTTTTTTTTTCTTTTTTTGATTTTGATTTTGAGAAGGGTAGTTTTTAAAAGAAAAAAAAAAGGTATTTTGTTTTAAAAAATAGATTTATTAAAATTGGGTTTCTTTAATTATGTTAATTCCAATTATTTCAAAGAAAAAAGTTAATTAAATTAATTACTTTCTTTAAAAAAAAAAAAAAAATATTTAAAAATTAGTTTAAATTTAAGGTCTCAAATAAAAAATAAGAGATATCTTTTTTTTTAAAAAAAAAGGAAACTTTAAAATAAAGTAAAAAAAAAAAAACCAAGGTACCAGAAATGTTTTTTCTTTGAAGATGAGCTCTTTTTTTTTTTCGTTCATATTTACCCCAGTTTTTTTGTTTCATTATTTTTTTCTTAAAATAGATTGTTCTTTTTTTTTTTATATATTTTTTAATAGAAATCACTTTAATACGGAATCATTGAGTACAAGCTCCGTAAAAATAAACTTAATTTAAATTTCTCGAGTTGAACATTTTCTTTATGAACCAAAGAGAAATAAAAGTCTTTTTTTTTTTTTTTTTTTTTTTTTTTGTATCACCATCTAATAGAATGAAAAAAAAAAAAAATATAGAATAAAGAGGGGTTTTGTGTAAAGATATAAATTTGCCTCGGTACCTTTAAAAAAAAGAAACTCACTTTCTAAAATAAATAAAAAAAAATGGGTTTGAATTCAATAAGAGGAGGCAGTGTTTGAATTGAGTGTAAAATGTTGAGTACTTGAAATCAAGTATTTTAGTTTGTATATTCACATTTAATATTACACCCTCAAATATTTTGTTTTTTTTTGTTATTCCATTTCTCTCATTGATGGGGGAAAAAAATATTATATTTTTCTATTTTATTTTATTTTATTCTCTTTTTTTATTTTTTTTTTTGCCTTGTCTCATTCACTTTGTAAAAATAGTGACGCCATACTTGAGGCCGATGCAATTCCGGTGGATTATCGGGCCTATATATAAGAGGAGGACGAGAAAAATGATGGTGGGGTTATTTTTGTGTGAGCATTTAATACCATTATTTATTTTTTATTTTATTTTTTTTTTTTGTAGGATGGATACAATACAATTTGAGTTAAGTTGATTTGATTTGATTTGATTTTGTACTTCAAGTTAGGTCTTCTTTTTTTGTTTTTTTTTCTTTCTTTCTTAGATGATAGATATTGATACTAAAGATGGTTACAATTTGGTATCAGATACTTTCACATGAACAATTCCTTGATATTTTGGGAATCTTGGAAAGTAGTGTATATTAAGATTTTTAGAGAAAAAGTTTTCTAGAAGTAGAAGAAAAATAATAAAAGGAAGGGCGGGCTTTTTTTTTTTTTTGAAGAGTAACAACATGTTAAGTTAAAGTACTTTAGAAGTATATACGTTTAAAATTGGTGGTATATATTACTTTAGATTTAGATTATGTATATAAATTTTTAATTGAATCTTTTAAAAATTTCAAAAATTTGATTTTTTTTTTTTTGTTTAAAAATCATTTTCCCATTAAAAACTATCTTATAACTTTTAAGTATTCAAAGACCGAATCACGGATTAATGTTGATTTGGTGAAAATTACTTGGCATTTGTTTTAAAGCTTTGGTTATTTAATTTTTTTTTTAAAATAAAAGTAAAAGTAAAATAGCTATACTTTTGACAAGTGATTTATGAAAAATAAATAAATAAATAAATAAAATGGTATTGAAAAATGAAAAAAAAAAAAAAGTTGTTTGTGTTAGAATAAACCAAAAAGTTTTTTTATTTAATTTTTTATTTAACTATGATTATAGTTAAAAATAAATCCCATCCACTTTATTTATTTATTTTTTTCCGAAACAAAGTAAAAATAATAGTAATAATAATAAAAGTTGACCTTTTCTTTTTTTTTTTTTCCTAACTGTTTCTCTCTTTTTTTTTTTTTTTTTTCTTTTCAAAGCCCTAAGGAAAACTAATTAGTTTTATAATTTGTGATTCTCTCCACAATCTTGGCACTGTCATCTTGTGTTTTCCGTTTTTTATTTTTATTTATTTATTTTTTTTTTGAGTTAAAGTAACAGCCAGTTGAGTTAATCCGTCCTTGGCATTTTTCAAAAATTTTTTTTTTGTTTTTTTTTTTTTGTCCGAGGCGAAAAAAAAAAAACAAAAAAAGTTTTTCCAGGCTTTGGATGAAAAAAAAAAAAAATTTAAAAAACAAAGTTAAAAATGATTGTTCTTTTATTTCATAATTAAACAAAAATTAAAGTATTTCTATTGTGTATATATATATATATATATATAAATATCTTTAGGCAAAGTTTGTGAAGTGGGTACGATTGGTTATTGTACCCTGTAATAGAATTTTAGAAGAAGGAACAAAAAAAAAAAAAAAAAAAAAAAAAAAAAAATGAAAGAGAGAAGGTCACTTGTCAGATCTTTCGGTTTCTCGGTCGTTTAGCTTTTATATATGACCACCACCGACATCTCGCCGTGCGTTAAAGACATTAAAAAAAATCATATTCATATTTAACAATAACTTTTACTACTACTATTACTACTACTGAAGAATTATCGTGACAACCCGAAAAATGAAAATGTCTTATTTTTTTTTTTATTCTTTTGGGTAATTTGAATACTTTAAAAAAAAAAAAATTCAATTTGGTATATTTGGTATATTTGGTATATCTATTCAGGCCTCGGAGGGGGGGTAGTTCTTTTTTTTTTTTTTTAAAAAAAATTATTCATATTATGGTCTTATATTTTATATACATGAGGTAGAGGAGGAGGGGGGGGGGGGGATGTTTTTTTTTTTTTTTAAAAAAACCATCATGATAATTATTATTATCATCATCATCATCTTATTTATTATAATTAAAAAATATATCACCATCTGTAGATAAAAGTCTTTCCTTTTGGTTTATTTTTTTTTTTTCTTTGGCCTTTTTACTAACCCTGAGACCTTTTCTTTGAAACTTTCCTCTTATTATTATTATTTTTTTTTTTTTTCAAAGCCCATACTCTTAATTATGATCATTAAGCTTTAACAATAAATAAAGTAAAATTAAAATTAAAAAAAAAAAAAATAATAATGGTATAACATTGGCCTCCCGAGGTTTCGTTTTTTTTTCTTCTTCTTCTTCTTCTTTCAATCGTTTGTTTTTTTTTTCGTTTCACTCTATGATTTTTTTTTTTTTTTCGGAATCACTCTTTATTCTGTCCGATGTGTGTAGACAAGGCATCATCATCATCATCATCATCATCACCACGCCATTCAAGACTAAATCTGGAATCTTGCGGGGCTATTTACCTAGTATTTAAAGCAAAAGCCCCCTCTTCTTCTTCTTCTTCTTCTGCTTATTTTGTTTGTTTGAAATATATACTTATATATCATTAATATTTCAATATTAAACTATTAATGATAAATGAGGGGCAAATATCAAAATCTAACTAAATGCACTATGATACTTTTAATTCTTGGAGGGGCTATTTGTTGTTGTTGTTGTTGTTGTTATTGTTGTAGTTGAGAAGTTTTTATTTTTTATTTTTATTTTTTTTCTTTCAATAGAACTTCACCCCTCCTTCTAACAAATTATTTTGTTTTAAAAATATTGCATTTTTTTCTTCTTCTTCTTCTCTCTCCATGTGTTTGTACATCTTCTTGTACTTATGCTTAATATATTTTTAGAAATTTGGTCTCTTTCGAAGGAATTCCTTCATTGTCAATTATCACATCCAATCCCGATATTTTTTTTTTTTTTTTTTTTTTTTTTTTTTTTTTTTTTTTTTTTTATCTTGTAACCCCCACCATCTTTTCATTTTTTTTTTTTTTTTTTTTTTTTTTTATTTTTATTTTGAAAAAAAAAAAAAAATTAAAATAAAATAAACAATCTCAAAAGTCTTCTTTGATATGTGGCTATCTTTTTAAATCTATCTAAATGAATATATACAAACAAATATATTTCACCCCACATCTACTCTATTTTTTTCAATCTAAAAAAAAAAAAAAAAATAGTTAACATTCAATGCTTGGTTTTATTTTTTTTTTTTACTTAACTTATTCTTTCTCTAAAGTCTTTATTTTTTTTTTTTACTATTTGAAAAAAAAAAAAAAGAAAAAAAAAGTGGCCTCAATATTAATGTTTTTTTTAATTAATTAATTAATTATCTCCTTTGAAAAACATGAAAAAGGTTTATTTGGAAATCTTTCTCCGAAAAGAAGCCGCAATATAGATGAGGGGAGTAATGAATTAGAGGGGACTTTTTCAATGTTTTAAAACTATAATTGTAAAAAAAAAATAAAAAAATAAATAAATAAATAAATAAAAGAAAATAAGAGAAATTAATGTGAAATTAAAATTTGGTATGGGGGTTTTCCTTTTGAAAGAAACCAAATAAATTTATTGAAGAGAGAAATAAACCAAGTTTAGTTGTAAGAAATAATAATAATAATAATAATAATAATAATAATAATAATAATAATAATAATAATAATAATAATAATAATAATAATAATAATAATAATAATAATAATAATAATAATAATAATAATAATAATAATAATAATAATAATAATAATAATAATAATAATAATAATAATAATAATAATAATAATAATAATAATAATAATAATAATAATAATAATAATAATAATAATAATAATAATAATAATAATAAACAAGTGAAAGAAATTTAATAAATTAGTTTCCTTTTGGGTAAATCTCCATCATCTTCATCTTCATCTTCATCTTCATCAATATCTTCTTTTCTTTTTATTTTTGTTCAAACTTTTTATGCTTGTCTCTTAGATAGATTTTCTTTTAACCTCAACTGGGAGTTTTTTTTTATGTTGTTGTTATTTCCGACTCTTAAATCTGCTTGGCAGGAACACCGTTGGTTTTTTTTAAAAAAAAAAAAAAAAAAAAACTCGGGTCTTTATTAGTAGTAGTAATAGTGGTGGTGATAATGATTATTATTATTGTTGTTGTTGTTGTATTTAAGTCTTTAAGGATAATTTTATTTTTTTATTTATTTTTTTTTTTACTGTTTCTTGTTCAAAAACAGTACGGCAACAGAGTCCTTAAGATAAAGTGCCGAGAACCGGTAGGAACCCGTGGCACGGACGGCTGTAACTGAAATGATGTTTGTCTATATAAAAGAGAGGGAGGCCTTAATGCCAATGTCCCGGGACTTTTTTTTTTTTAAATTTATTTATTTTTTTTATCTAATCTACTATCTACTTAACTACTTAACTAGGTAGTTATTACTACTTAACATTTACACATAATTATGTGTGAGTGTTAATATTAATATTTTTTTTTTTTACACAAAATAAATAAATAAATAAATAAATAAATAAAAGTGATGGCCTAGAAAAGACCCGACAAAAGCGGTGACGCGAAAAAATATATTTTCCTGAGACCCGAGTAGTCTTTTGCTTGCTAGTCTGTTTGTTTGTTTGTTTGATTGTCTGATTTTTTGATTTTTCTGATTTTTTTGATTTTTTTGATTGCTATCTATTTTATTTTTTTTTTATTTTTGTGAGGGGAAAAGGTCTTATATATAAACTAGTTGTGTTCCCGTGACCATTTAAAAATCCTCCTACTCCAGTTTGTGTGTAGACCCTTTTCAAAATGGGTTTTTGACATTTTAGAAAAGCAATAATAATAATAATAATAAAATTAAATAAAATTAAATAAAATTAAATTAAATAAAATTAAATAAAATTAAATGAAATAAAAACAAAACTTTAGAACAATATTATACATAAATATATATATGATAAAAGAAAATTTAAGAAAAACAATATTTTTTTTTTACGACTTGCCAAGAATTATATACATTTGTATCAAAAGACTTTACGAGAGGACTTTTTTATTATATTTTATTTTATATATATATATATATATATATATATATTTTGCAAGTATTTCCGACAAGCCTTAATATATTTAATAATTAATAATTAATATACCCATTAATCTGGAGGAAAAAAAAAGACTTTGGGACAAATAGAGACGATGTAAATTGTGTGAAGTTATATATATTTATTTATATTTATATATATAAATTATTTGTAGCAGCTAAATATTGAAAATATATATATATATATATATATATATTCAATTCAAGTTTTAATATTCACAATTTTTTTTTTATTTCATTTTTATTTCATGATCAATTAAACACTAGATTCGGTCATCCCATCACCCAACGCCGGGTCCTTTAAAATATATTATTTTTATATCTTTTCTCCATCCCCCTTCCCCCTCCTCTCTCTCAGTGAAAATGAAAGTGAGAGTGGTGTGTGTGTTTGTGTGTGTGTGTGTGTTTGTATGTGTTTAAATATATATGTTTGTGAATGAATTCTGACTAAGCCTTACATAATTTTATATATCTGACTAATCTTGTTGGGTTTGGGTTTGGGTTATTTTTTATTTTTATTTTTATTTTTATTTTGATTTTTATTTGATTTTTCAATTGATTCTATATAATAATAATAATAATAATTACAACAACATTAGAATTTCTTGCAACAGACTTTTAAAATGTTTAACAACAATAGCAAATGAAAAGAAATGAAAAGAAAAAGAAAATAGAAAAAACAACAGCGTTTTTTTTTTTTTTTTTTTTTTTTTTTTTTTTTTTTTCCGTTTGAATAGTTTTTTAAAAAAACAAAAAGTTCGGAAAGAAGGGACTTTTTTTTTTTTTATTTCGTTTTATTTAATGTTAATGCTAATGTTAATGTTATTATTGAACTTGTATTATAATAGATGTAATTACTGTAGAATGAATGATGGGGATTAAAAGATTAAACTTGATAATAAACTTCTTGTATGTACAAAAATATATTATTTCAAGATTTTTATTTATTTATTTATTTATTTTAAACTTCCCAGCATTAATTTCTGTAACGGATGGCCGGAGTATTTTCAATGTTCCTCCATCCACTTTCCATTTTCAATTCAATTTATTCAATTAAATTTATTTTATTTAAATTTATTTAATTTAGTTTAGTTTAGTTTAACTCAATTCAATTGTTTCTATCATTTAACTAAACACACCCACTACTACTTTTATTATTATTATTATCATCATCACCAAACCAAATTAACTATATCCAAGTTAATAATAATAATAATAATAATAATAATAATAATAATAAAATCTCTTTTAAAATATATATATATATATATATATATATATATAAATAAATAAAATTCAATTCTTTTTTTAATTCTTTTAATTCTTTTAATTTTTATAAAATTACTTTTCAAATTTACATTTTTACACAAGGCCTCTTTTTTTATTTATTTATTTAATTTATTTAATTTTTCCTTTCTTTATTTCTTTAGTTCTCTCTCTCTCTCTTTCTCTCTCCCCCACCTTCCCCCAAACTTTCCCCCTCCCTTTTTTTTTTTTTTTTTTTTGGTGGTGGTAACTGCAAATACAATGTCCCTTTTAGGAATGAAAATTATTATTATCATTAAATTATCATTAAATTATTAAAAGTCCTTATTTTTTATTTTTTATTATTTTTTTATTATTTTTATTATTTTTATTATTTTTATTTTTTATTATTTTTATTTTTTATTTTTTATTTTTCCAAAAATTTTTCCCCCTTTTAAAATATGGTAGACTACTACATTCATATACACATACAAAATGCGGGGAATCAATCATTAATACACTCAACCCCCATCTTTTTTTTTTTCTTTCTATTCTCTCACACACACACACACACACACACACACACAGACATAATAATAATAAACATATTTAGAGTGAGGGGAGGGGAATCCCACCACCTCCATTAAAAAAACAACCTTTTCTTTTTTTTTTTTTTTCTCCGGTCTGGAAATATAAATATCCTCAACTATCCCAATCTTAATTCAATTTTTTTTTTCTTTCTTTCTTTTATTCTATTATTCTCTATTCTTCTCTTTATATATATATATATCTATTTTATTGACATAATCAAAGTTTTTTTTTTTTTCAGTAAATAATCCTAATTAATTAAAAACAATAACTAAACATTTTACAACTACTCAATCTTTCCCAGCATCCTCAAAAAAAAAAAAAACAATTTCAATCAATCAACTTTAATTATTAACTTCAATCTCAAAAAAAAAAATAATATACAATAATTATAATGTCCGACCCTAAATCTGCAGTTGACTCCGAAGAATACCACATTGAAAGACATCCTAACCATGACTTTATGACAACAACCCACGGCATTGCACGAGTGCTCACCTCAGATACTCACGTCCAAATGGGCGACCTCACCTTCCACAAAGATGACTTTATGAGAGCATTTGAAGGTTACCTTAACCCTGGTCTTTCAGAAAGACCTTCGCGTGCTTTTGCAAACCCTGTTCCTCTTGGTGTTGCCTCCTTTGCCCTATCCCTCTTTGTTGTCTCTCTCACAAATATCCATGCCCGTGGTGTCTCAAACGGTGCAGGTGCTGCCGGTCTCTGTCTCTTCTATGCTGGTTTCATTGAACTCTGTGCTGGCATGTGGTGCATTGTCTTGGAAAATGCATGGGCTGCTACTCTCATCTCTTCATTTGCTGGCTTTTGGATGTCTTATGGTCTTTTCCTCATTGATGGCTTTGGTATTGTCTCCTCTTACACAAATACTGATGACCTCCACAATATGCTAGGCTTTTATCTTCTCGGTTGGACAATCTTTGCAACAATCATGTGGTCAATGACTTTCCGTTCAACTTGGGTCTTCTTCTTTATGATGCTTTTTGTCGTTCTTACCCTCGTCATTCTTTGTGGTGCTAACTTTACAATGCCCGGCAACCCTACTCGTGGTGTCAATCTCACAAAGGCCGGCGGTTACTTTGGTATCATCACATCCCTCATTGGCTGGTACGTGGTCTACGAGGCTCTTGCCACCAAAGAGAACTCACTTCTTGTTCCTCCCGTCCTTCTTATGCCTACCGCTGTCCTTGGCCGCGAGCGCAAGAACGACGAAAAGGTTTAAAGCAAGCGGAGAGGGTTTCTTTCTTTTGTCTTTAATTTTTTTTTTTTGCATATATTATATAAATAAAAAAATTCCTTGTTTTCTGTATAAACTTGTTTTAATAATAACATTAATGATTTTTTATTCTATTCTGTTATGATATGGTATGGTTTGATACTCGGAGAAATGACTTGGTTTTTCCGATGTTATTAAAAAAATATTTTAAGTGGCATGGAAGAGAGAGAAAGGGGGGGGGTTGGGGGATTTGGCCCCTATTATCTCGTAATTGTCTCGTACCGTCTCAAGTACTAATACGCCCACAATTTTTATTTTTATTTTTCGTTACATTATTAAATATACATTACATTACATTAATTACATTAAATACATTACATACATGTTACATAATCACCACAATCTTACCCTGCAGCAGCAGAAATTTGGTTGCTATTACTACTACTTTTATTACTGCGGCTTTCCCCAGATCCTTCGGACCCAATAACTTCTCGGGACCCTGACACTGATGTAGTCCGAGCCATTCGACTCAGCAAATGAACAGGAACAACATGAGCACCTCTTGAAAATGGGAATGCCCTATCTGTAGATCTACCGTCCTTCTTCTTCTTCTTCTCATTATCCTCATTATCCTCATTATCCTCATCATCCTCATCATCCTCATCATCCTCATCATTCTCATCACCCCCTAGCTCCATGGACCGGTCACTCGCAATATCCGCCCCTGAAGATGAGTACCCAGAACTATCACTATTCTCTTCCCCACCATCATCTTCCTCTTCACTGTCATTACTACCACCACCACTCTCCACAGCAGTTCCACCAACTTTTGCTCCACCATTCTCATAAACTATCCGTACTCCACGGCCATAATACTGTTCACGCCCATTACTCTTTCTCCTACCACCATTAGTCCCATTCATCCCAGACTTTGATACCCCTCCATCATAATTATCATTATCATCATCATCATCATCATCATCATCATCATCATCTCTACTACCAACAACTCCCATCTCAACAATAACTGCACCTGTTGCTCTTCCATCCCAGGAATCCGCCACTGGAGTCCGCGTCACTGCACCCTCTGTCCTCAGCATTCGTACTGCTGCAGGGTGTGCATCCAACAACTCCTTATACCGCGCAGCAATTGTTGCCTCAGGATTCTTCTTGTATGCCTCTACCCTCCCGCGTAACTCCTTTATCCACCGCGTCCGCCAAGATTCAGCAGTCCGCCATCGATGAGTCTCCGCATACTTTTCATACAAACTCTTGCCCCCAGCATTTTGCCCCCCAGACTCAAGCAAATACCGTAATAACTCCTGATCCTCTTCCATTGTAAACCCACGTACTCGATGCATTGCACGCCGCGCATCCACACTTACACTAGAAAGCCTCTCGCGCTCCTGTTCTCGCGCCTTGTTCATTTCCACAAACAATGTTTTCAGATTAAACGGTTTTATCCCACGCGCAGCTGCCAGATTCCGCACACTCGCAACAACAGTCTGTAACTTCTTCTTCCATCGAGATGATACACTTGAAAATGTCCGTCGCCCATTAAACACTTTCTCTGCAAGAACTTGAATCGCAAGTTCAACAGCCCCCCCATGTTCCTCCGTGATCCGTGGATCAGTCAGAGCATTCACAATCGTCAAATCTTCTTTAAGCGAAAACGGATGCCCGCCTAAAACGACATTCCCCACTGGAACAGTATGTCCAGCCGTAGATCGGGGTTCCTGAAACGAAGGAAGAGGTATCTCAGATCGAAGAAGACCAGCTTCTGCATGACTAAGCCGTGGCACTTGTGGTACTGACCCAGGCACCTCGTCAAACCCATCATCATCATCATCATCCTCAACCCCTGCAACCCCTTGATTTATTGTATTTCTGTTACTCAGATTTGAAGCAGCACCAAATGTATTGGCATTTGTATCAAGCATCTCATTCTCATCTTCGTCCTCCATCATAAATGGAACATCAGGCCCGCCCTGCCGCGGCCTCGGAGAGTGGATTTCAACAGATGGATGCGGTAACGGTGGTTTATATTGAAGTGCAGCCGCAAGTGTTATCTGTGCATCACGCGGCAACTCTTTAGTCTTCTTCTTCTTAGCCGTTGGAGCACTCTCCAGCACTTCAATATCATCATCATCTGGCTCTTGCTCTTGCTCATCTTCATTATCTTCTTGATCAAGAATCCCACCATCATAAACATCTCGTGGCTTGGGAAGAACCTTATCGGTATCAGGGTTATACAATAGGTATGGCTCAGGATCCAGCAAATGCCCCACTTGCCGCGATTCGTCAATCAGCGCCACGTTATAAAACCGAAATTGGTTCAACCGAATCGTCGACCGCAGCTCATCCACATGATCCAGATCAGTAAAATTAAGCGAATCTTGAGTCGGGAATAACAATAAATCTTCCCCAGACATGGACTTGACATCACTCGCAAGCTGTGTCCGGTTCGGAATCTTAAACTGGATAAACACTGGTATCGGTTTCCCATCCTTCATCAAAATCGAACTCGTACTCCCGCGTGTCCGCCATGAAATCACAGACTGAATACCTTCACCACCACGCACTCGATCTGGCGATGTTGTCCGGCTCATGGACCGTGTCATGCGTCCGCTTCGTCTCTGCCCATCAGGGGCTTCTTCCGAAACAACCCGCCGTCGAAATGTTGGCCGTACTCTCATGTTAACATTTTCTTCGTTGCCCTCATCATCGTCATCATCAGTAGGTGCTTCGCCCACACGCCGGCGTTTAGGAGCTTGTGTTTTGTCCTGCCGCTTTCGTCTCCGTTGTTTTACCGGGGGCCGCAGATTTACTTGTCCTATAATCTCCAAATCGTCACTATCGGAATCTTCTTCTTCTTCTTCTTTTTTTTTCTCTTCTTCATCTTCTTCCTCATCTTCTTGTTCTTCTTCTGCTGGCTTTTCTGTAGGTGGTTCCAAATCTTTTCTCGCTATACTAGTAGATTTAGACTGATGTGTTTCAATAGGGCTTTTAGACCGAGATGCCATTCTAGCTCTTGTAAGGGGTCTTTGCAAATTAGAAACAGAAGTTTTGGAACGAGAAGTAGATTTTTCTAGATTAGCAGTATGCGCATTGGTTTGAAAAGAACTCGATTGACGGGTTGTACTGGTTCTTACTGGACTAGCAGGTCTTTTTTGACCTTGCTGAGGACTTTTGGAAAGATTACTTTCTCGCGATACCGAATGTGTCTCTGAATTCTGCTTAGAAGCTGGCTGCAGCTGTGGTTTCTCCACGAAGGCAATATGCTTTTCTCTTCTCTTTTCACTTGTAGATTCATCTGAAGATTTAGAATTTTTTTTTACAGTTTCATGCTTATTTTGAGCTTTACTCTCGGTATCTTTTTTAGACCGACTCTCAGTCGTTTCTTTTGATTGCGGTTTGTGCTTTGTCCCAGTAGGTTCTTTCCCTTTCCCCTTAGAGGTTTCAGGCTCCTTGACTTTTCTGGGTGATTTAGATTTCGGGACAGCCTCTTGATCTCCAACAGAACTCGACCCTGGTCTTTTCTTGGTCTTGGTGGCACGCGTTTCTTTAGGCGCGCTCGTCACTGTAGGAGTTGCTGCCTTAACACTTGCAGCTCTCACTGGTCTCTTATGTCTTTTTTCATTCAAATTGGAATCATTGATTTTTGAAGAGTCTGGCTTCTGTTTTTCTGACGATTCGGGCCTGTCTTTTCGAATAACGCGGTAGCCTATATCTTCCTGTCCGCTGTCATAAAGAACCTCAATAATTACATCTTCGTCATTATTTTCGGCCGCCTGTTCTTGATAAAAGCGGCGTGTTTTGGGTGCTCTATGAGAGGTATTCATCAGGGTATTGACCACATCCAAAGGGTAGTTGGTATTATATTAAAAGTTGAAGTGGGTTTACAAGATATTGAGAGAGAGTGGGGGATGGAATTGTTTATTTACTTTTTTTTTTTTTTTTCTTTTTATAACGCGTGTTTAAGTACATTTCAGACCGCAATAATACGGCTTAAAAATTGTTTCAAATGAGTATCCTGAAAGACACCACGGGTTAGGTTTAATGATAATATTTTGTCCGGGTAACACCCAGCCTTGCGAATATTTGGAACTGATTAATTTTTTTTAGGCAACGAAATTTTTTTTTTTTTTTTGAAAATTTTCATTAAAACATTTTCATAACCTTTCCTTTTCCTTTTTCTTTCCATCCAACTTGAAAAGTTCCCATAAAACTTTCTTATCAACTCGGTTATAATCTTACCAAAGGCGAGCTTACTCTCCATATCCTACCGTTACCACTAAATCTCTTGTTTGCAAGGAACCTTTGTACCGACAACCCTCCCCTTTTCACTACAACAACCAAATAATTTCAAAAAATGTCTGCCCCTGATGCCCGTGCCTTCCCTCTCGCTGATGCCGAGTTGACTAACCAGATCCTCGATCTTATCCAGCAAGCTTCTCACCTTCGTCAATTGAAGAAGGGTGCCAACGAGGCCACCAAGACCTTGAACCGTGGTATTTCCGAGTTCATCATTATGGCTGCTGATGCTTCTCCCATCGAGGTTGTTTTGCACCTTCCTCTCCTTTGCGAGGACAAGAACGTTCCCTACGTCTTTGTTCCCTCTAAGGTTGCTCTCGGCCGCTCCTGCGGTGTCTCCAGACCCGTTATTGCTGCTTCCGTCACTTCTAACGATGCCTCCCAGCTTAAGGGCCAAATCATCCAGCTTAAGGACAAGATTGAGAGACTTCTTATTTAAAGGAAAATGGAGTGCTTATGAAACCCTTTTTTCTTTTAAAATTTGAAAACAAAAAAAAACAAAAAACAACATCACGAAAACTTGATAAAAAAAACTTAGAAGACGAATAATGACCTATAATGACCGCCAAATATCCTACTACCCTGACTGTAATGCTTACACCCCATAACCCCACCACCATCTTGATAGATTAATGCTCCATAAATACGTTTGATGAATTATGTACTATGAAAATCTGTAAAAATGACGTCTATCTGAGATGTTTTGATAAAGAATCGATGGCTGATTTACAATAAATATAACTCTTTTTTTTTTTTTTTTTGTGAAGATCAATACATTTATTTATGTTCCTATCTGATTAGTAGAGATTTTTCAGAGACAGGTTGACTTTTTATGTATTGCAATTGGTGCATGTTTTGCTAGTGTACTTACTATTCACTTATCGTAGAAAGCCTTGTGCCTGTCAATTAGAAATTGAAGGAAAGGCTCTGGGGAAAACGAGTAGTGCATACCTGCCATTAAATTTCTGTTCATTCCCTTGTTTATTCTAATACTAACCAATTCTTGGGGTTACAAATAACAGCAGTAGTACTCAATGATTTTGTAGTTAGTATATATTAAGAAAGATGGTTGATTGTTATTATTTATGTTCCCGACTTCGGGCTAAACCCGTCAGATCACATGATGCCTGAGTAATTTTGGGACTTCAAAAACACAAAAAAGAAACGAAATAAAAAAGTATCGGACTTGGTCGGGCATAGCGGTTCACAGTTGAATCAACTCGGATTTTATATTGACCCTTTAATTGAATTCTTGTTCAGGACATTGAAAAACTGTGCTTTCAATCTATCGTCAGAACCCGTTGTGTGTTTGAGTTTAGTGTTGTGGAGAAGACAAGTTTTGCTAGTTAATTCTTTAAAGTATAAAGAGCATTATATTTCCTCACCTGTTTTTTTTTTTTTTTTTTTTTTTTTTAATTCCTATCCACTATCCACTATCCATTCTCCATAATTCATAATCCAATCTTCAATAATCAACCATTCTAACTCCACATCTCAACAATGCCCAAGTACGACGTCATCACCCGTTCTCTCAAGGCTTACGCTAAATCTCCTGCCATTAAAGCACCTGTTGGTGTTTTTGTAGGCGGCACTTCTGGTATTGGTCTCAATACTGCTCTTGCATTTGCACGAGCTACTGCGGCTTCCGAAGAGTCTCCCAAGATCTACATTGTAGGTCGCGACCCCATCAAGGCCTCCGCTGCCGAAATTGAAATCAAAAAACTTAATCCCAAGGCTGTCTTCAATTTCCTACAACATGACCTCCTCTACATTGAACAAGCCAAACGCGTTTCCAACATTATTAACAACCACGAAACAAAGGTCAACCTCTTGTTTCTTTCCCAAGGTTGCTTCCCTGCAGGCGGCCGCCAGGAAACTTCCGAAGGCATTGATTCCAAGCTGGCAACAGCATACTATACTCGCTGGTCGATCATCAACGATATTCTGCCTCTTTTAAATGGCGCTGCAGACGCCGGAGAGTCTGCACGCGTTGTTTCAGTTCTTGGTGCTGGGTACGAGGCCACTGATATCGATGCAACAGATTTTGATCTCAAGAATAGCTACTCGCTTCTGCGAGTTCTCAAGGTGGGTCCTGCTTATAATACCATTGCCGCTGCGCGGTTTGCATTCAAGTATCCCAAAGTCTCTTTTATCCACACCAGTCCTGGTTCGGTGTACACTAATGTGTACCGTGATGTTCCATGGTACGCCCGCTATATTATGACGGCTATCAGCCGTCTTATTTCCACGACACCGGAAGTTTCCGGTGAATACCACTTGTATGCTGGTCTTACTGGAGAACAGTTTGGACCTGGTGAAGCGCACATTCTGAACAACAATATGGAGGAGGCTTATTCCGAAGCTGAAAAGAATTCCAACGCCGGGTTGTTTAGCAAGGACTTGGAGAAGCAGCTTTGGGATCATACAGAGGAGGTTTTTTCAAAGGCAGTAGAGTTGGACGCTACTAAATGAGGAATAATTTAGTATTTGTTAATGAGTAATTTTTTTTTATAAGTAAACGTATATGAATATTTATGAATTTCTAATTGAAAGTTGTATATTTTTTTTTATGAAATCACTGAATAGGCGTATCTGTTGGTCACGATATTTGCATATTTTTTCTTTTCTTTTCTTTTCTTTTTTTTGATAAGAAGATCGAGGAAAGGCTTTAAGCCATAACTTTTCAATTACGGAATATTCTTTTTTCCCCTGAATTTTCTTCTCGAACAACTTTCGAGGGTGTCGGTGTTTGGTTAAAACTAGTTAGTTTGTGTTATCTCCGTGGGGTTATCTCAAATTGGGAATCAGTTGTAAGGTTTCTCCGCGGAGCTCAGTCGCTTAACTTTTTTTTGTCCGTGGACTTAACTATTCAACTAGCTGGTTTAAGTCTTGTCTTTGATGTTTGTATGTTCACACTCATAAGTAAAATGATTTTTAACACCATTATTCTCTTAGCCTCATCAGGTAAGTCAAAGTGCAATACTTTAAATGAAAAAAAAACTATATAAATGAATGAAAGCCCTTCTTTTTTATTTTATTTTTTATTTTTCATTCAATTCTTCAGAAATCAATCCCTTTACTTTTTTTTTTTATTATTCATTATGCCTAACTTTGAAACCATCACCAAGTCTCTTCAAAACTACGCCAAAAACCCTACAATTAAAACCCCTGTGGGTGTTTTTGTGGGTGGTACATCAGGCATTGGTCTCAACACTGCAATCACTTTTGCACGCGTCAATGCTGCTTCTGAGTTTCCTACCAAAATCTATCTTGTGGGTCGTGACTCTTCCAAAGCTATAGAGGCTGAAAATTTAATCAAAGAAGTCAATGCCTCTGCAGTTGTCAATTTTTTGAAGCACGACATGTGCTACATTGAACAGGCAAAACGTGTTGCCAATATTGTCAAAAATCATGAATCAAAACTCAACCTCTTGTTTGTGGGTCAGGGTGGGTTCCCCTCAGGTGGCCGATCTGAAACAGAAGAAGGTATTGACAGAAAAGTGGCAGTGTGCTACTACACTCGCTGGCAGGTTGTTGACGACTTAGTTTCTTTGTTGGCCAAGGCTGCAGAAGATGGCGAATCTGCCCGTGTCATTACTGTTCTTGGTGCTGGTCGCGAAGCCAAAGCTGAAACATTAGACATTACGGATTTTGAAATGAAGAATAATTACTCTGTGATGCGTATTCTTTCAGACACTCCTGCTTACAATACTCTTGCTGCTCAACGCTTTGCTCGAGAATACCCTAAAGTATCATTTATTCACACCAGTCCAGGGTTTGTTACCACATCGGTTTTCCGTGACACTGCTTGGTATCTGCGTCCGTTTCTTAAGTTTGCGACTTGGTTTTTCGCAGTTACACCAAAAGTTTCTGGAGAAAGTCATTTGTATGCCGGCTTGACTGCGGCTGAGTATGATCATGGAGCTCACATGTTGAATCAAAAAATGGATGAAGTTTATACCGAGGCTGAGAAGGAAAGCAATAAGGGCCTATTTTCTGTGGAATTACAGGAAGCATTGTGGAAAGACACGGAACGGGTATTTAACCTAGCGATTTCTCGAGATGCTTCACAGTAAATTGATTAATATTAAATTTATATTTTTTAGCGTCTAATTTGAATAAACCAATTATTGGTAAATTTATATATATATATATATATTAATATTTAATATTTAATATTTAATATTTATAAAATAGTTTTAATAAAAAAATTTTTCAAGATTGTTTCCAAGTTTGGTAAGTGGATGGAATTGAAAAAGCCTTGCGGGGCAAATCTCTCACAAGACAATAAGGTGGGGAAATTGATTTGTCCGATCGGCTATTAAAATAGAACTTTATACCGATGACTGATTTCTTAATATTTCCCCACACTTTTGTCTTTAAAAATAATCTTTGTTATATTTGAATTTGGTTGAGACTAACTAAAGCTTTAGAAAAAAATTTGAATTCTCAAGATTTGCTGAGCTTTCAATTAGGCTGGGGAAGGGGGGTTTCCATGATCTCATAGTTAAACTAAATAACAGACCTTAAACGGTCATTGTTATCAAAATTACACGTGACATTCACATGACTTACCGACTATCACATTCTTTGGCCCCTCGAAAATTAATTTTTTTTTTTTTAATTTTTTTTTTTTTTTTCCCTGCACATGAAAAAACCCGCTCATTTAGGTCTCCTGTTTTTTATTCTTCTTATTTTTGGATTTTTCCAAAATCTATATAAACATTTAAGATTTTCTTAGTTCTTAATAAAAAAAATTTTTTTTTATTATTATTTCAAGAAATCTTCTTTCCCTTCTATTTAAAACCCCTTTTCCACCCATGACGACAGCTTCTCCAGGATCGTCTTTTATTTGCTATTGCACATTCGCTCATTTAATTTCAAAATAAATCATTATTTACCATGTTTTCTATGGGAGCTACCCCACCCTCCTCGTCATCCTCCTCGGCTGCGTCCTCCTTCCAAGGCGATGACTATCTTGCAGCTCGGTTCTCTAAAGCTGCTTCAGCCGCTGGTGCCGCCACTCTAGCGGCGGCGGCTGCGACTGCATTCAGTACACGAACCAGTAAACAAAAACGTACAAAATACTCTTCTGATATCCGGCACACCCCCACCCGCAATCAAAACATTCTAGATAACTCATATACTTTGAAACTGGATCAGGAACAGCAGAAGAAGAAACAGGCACCAGGATTCATTGAATCAACTAGAGATCATGTGGTTGACAAGGTAATAGAAACAATTCTTGCGGCCAGTATTCCAGAAGCTTCAGATTCTAACGTCAAAGCTGATTCGGAGGCATTAAGTCAAGATGAAGACGAAGAAGATGATGATTCAGAAGAGGAAAATATCCAGGACGAAGATGAAGACGAAGACGAAGAACTAGACGAAGATTTGACACAAAATTTCGACACAAAAAAAAATGGCCTAGTAGGATTTGATTACCAGCAACTGATAGACTCAGATTTAATAAACACTCCACAAAATACCCGTCCCAGCAAAGTAAGTGCTTCCGATAACAATGACTACAACACTATCGAAGTGGTTTCCGGTACATCTGCCAAACGCAAGAGAAGGAAATCAAAGCACAAACCCCAGCAAGAGCTATCGCTTTCGATTCTTGCTTCCAACATTCGCAAGCTAAATTCAAGGTATGTAACATTTCATTAAACTCATGCTTATGGGCATAAAGAGTTGTACTTTTTTTTTTATCTTTACCCCCACAAAACCTTATTGTCTCTCTTTAAAAAAAAAAAAAAAGAAAAAAAAACAAATCTCACAATGTTCCCCCTTCTGAAATTCTAACTTTTATATTTACAGAGCTGGTCTCTTGCTCCAGCTACAATCCAATGTGGTCCATATTCTTTCCTGGCATCAACCCTCAGCCACCATCTCCATTCTCATTCTTTACGGCATAATATGCTTCAATCCCCACCTGCTTGTTGCTATGCCAATCATCCTCATCCTTTTCGCCATAATGGCTCCCGGATATAACCAGCGACATCCTATACCTATCGAATTGACCCCCACGCAGTTCTACCGTCACAAGCTTGGTCACAACTTTGCTGACGCTGAGGAAATATTTCGCGACGAACAAAACCTTGTGTTATCGGCGCGCCAAGCCCAAGAACTCGAAGAGCGCCGCATTCAGGAAGAAGAACATGAGCAACAACGCGTGTTGCGCGAACGGTTGCGCGATTTACAAAATATGCTTTCCGCCTTAATCAAGTCTATTGAAACTCTCGAAATATTTGTCGCGCGAGTCGGCAGCTTTGCAGATGAAGAAAAGGCTACGGCCATTTACCTCATCCTTTTAGTTACCCTTGTTACAACTGTTTACTTTGCATCATTTGTTCCTGTAAGCTTTGCCATTTTATGTGCAGGCTGGACCCCAGTTCTTCTTTTGCACCCTAAACTAGGCCGTTATGCCAAAAAGGCCAAGGACAAGTACCTTGATCTTGACGAGCCTGTAGTGCTGGACATATTAAATTATGTACAGGAAAATGATGTTATTATTGATGACCCCCCAGAATCCAGAACTGTTGAAATATACGAATTACAGCGCCAGGGTCTCACTCCGAGACAATGGACCCCATGGGTTTTCACAACTGAAATCTACGACATGACAAGCATTTCGCGGCGTGCCAAGGAGCGTCCCGTAGGGTCACGATTCATGGGCGATGTTAGACCTCCTAAGGGCTGGATCTTTTCAGATGACTGTCCTTGGGAAGAAGATACTCAACCAAAGGATTGGGTGCTTTACCGTGGACTGCGCCATGTCGACATTGATCTTGACACTAACTGGGTATATGATTATTCAATTCCTGGCGGGTCACCTGAGGAAAAAAATCGTAGACAGAAAGCCAAGGAAATGAAGAAAAAACGATATGCAGAGCTAGTGGATGCTGATGAATACTATATTCCTAGCACATCTGAAGGCGAAGCAAACTTTGATGATGACGATGCCAGCGATGACTATTTATACGATGGCGATGAGTATTATATGTATGGAACAGAGTCTGTCAATGAGGCGAAAATCAAAGCCATTGAAGAACAAGACTTATTGGTACGAGGTGAATGGCGACGCCGGCGGTGGATCCGCAAGTGCTTTCGACTTTGAACCTCGAACCTTTTTTTTTTCTTTCTTTCATGGAAGAGCTAATGAGCATAATTGGTTTAATAATTGCATATTTTAATTAAATAATACAATCTTTTTTTTTTTTTTTTTTTTTTTTTTTGAAATTTTATAAAAATTAGGGGAAAGAAAAAAAGACTAATTTAATTTTTAGTGAATAAAGAATGTCACACACACTATTTTAATTTGATGATTGTGAGATTAACTTTAAAGATTATTGTTATTAAGAATAAAAAATAGTTATTAATTATAATAGATACAGCATTTATTAAACTTTTCTCTTTAAAAATAAGAAATTTTCAAAAAAAAAAAAAAAAAGAATATTTGAGAAAAAAAAATTTTCAGCATTAACAATTTGTTATCTAGGAAAGCTCATGATGATCCATTGTCATGTGCTATATTTCCTAGTCACAAGCTAGCCTAAAAAAAGTTTGAGATTTAAGACATGTGGTAAATATCTCTGTGTGGTTTTCAAGGAAATGACAAAACTGGATTTACTTGTATATTTTTTTTAGCCAATCTGTTTTTTTATAGATTAAATCTGGCAATAGCCTGATGCACACCGTTTGATTTTATTTCAAAATCAAAAGAGGCTCATCATAGAAATATATATATATATATATACTCCATTCAAATAATTCATCATGGTTCTTTTCACATTATCTCCTAACCTTCTTATCAATTCCAATAGAAATACAATCTTATCAAATTTGAAATAAAAACTTACTATGACAAATACACTTTCTTGCACAATTATAAATCTCGACTTGGCAATGTCTCCAGTCATTGAATTTTACTCAGACAAACCAAGAACGGTTTCATCGAAAAACCTACCACAGGCATACTTTTATGATCCTTCTGTTGTTATTTCTAACCAGCAGACTCATTTCAGTACCAATCTTGCTGCAAACCTATACGAGCCAACCCCAGATTTCTTCTTGTCAATGTACTCAACACGCAATGCTACAAACATGTTCCCGAACCAGTTTCGGTATGTGAGCAAAAAAACTCCAAACACATTTTTTGAACCTGTAATATTCGAACCGCCAATACTTCTTGGAAATTTTAAAAAAATTAAAGACAATGAAGTTGAAGCAATATGTAATAATGAATACGAAGAAGAAGAAATGGCTTATGGTCAAGAACCAGAGCCTGCGGCTACAAACGAAAGTGAAATCGTACACTTGCTAAAAGATTTTCATTTAATAAAACTCTAGAAAAAAAAGATTTGTATAAAGAAATGGAAAATATTTCATAAAATTACGTTTCCTCTAATGCCTGCATCTTGACGAGTTGATAATACAATCCCTTCTTCTCTAACAATTCATAATGGGTACCTTGCTCTGCAACAACACCCTTATCAAACAAGTAAATTACATCTGCATTTTGAATCGTAGACAATCGGTGGGCCACAGCCACTGTTGTACGACCACGAGCAGCAGAATCCAGCGCTTCTTGTACCACCTTTTCCGACTCGCTATCCAGTGCAGAGGTAGCTTCATCCAACAGCAAAACCTTGGGATTGCGTATCAAAGCTCTTGCAATAGCAATACGCTGCTTCTGGCCACCAGACAAAAGTGTGCCCTTTGTTCCTGTATCTGTATTGTACCCTTCAGGCAACCCCATAATAAACTCGTGTATATTTGCCTTTTTGGCAGCCTCGTAAATAACCTCGTCATTAACAGTCTCCACCTCATCATCTGACAACCCAAGTAAAATATTATCCCGGATTGTACCTCCAAACAAAACAGGTTCCTGTTGAACAAGCCCGATAACTTTGCGGTACTCGCCAATGTTAAGTGTCGTTACGTCCACTCCATCAAGAAGCACCTGACCCGCCAGTGGATGATAAAACCGTTCAATCAAGCTAATTGTGGTACTCTTACCACAACCAGATGTTCCAACTAATGCAACATACTGCCCTTGTTTCACTGTTAAGTTTATCCCGCGCAATACAGGCACATTAGGCCGTGTGGGGTATCTAAAATGAACATCCCTAAACTCAACATCACCAATAACATTTTCCAAAACATCACCTTTTGTAGATGTTGGATCAATCGTGGGCTGTACATCAAAAATCCGGGCAATGTTTTGCGCCGCTTCCTTGGCTTTGCCCATACTGGGCGCATATGAAAACACCTCGCCGGCATTTTGAGCACCAAAAACAACAGCAATAAAGGCTGTGAAAAACATATAAGCATCACTTATACCTTTGCGAATCAGTGTCGAACCATACCAAAACCCCAATCCCATAATGCATGGTACCAATCCCTTTGACAAACCGTAAAAAACTGCCGAGCGTGATAAGGGAATTCTTGAGGCTTTAACTTGAGCTTCCACAGTTTGAGAATACGTTTGACACACCAATTTCTCCTTAGTCAATGAAGCAACGGTTCGAATAGCACCTACACTTTCACACGCATACTGGCCAGAGTTGGCATAGGTCTTTTTAGCTCGTTCTTCGAGTTTTAGCAAGACATAAACACGCAAAAACCCGCAAACAACAAGAACAGGCACACAGGAGGTGCAAACTAAACCAAGACGCCAATTAATGACAATAGACATGATGATTCCACCAACAACCACTGCCAAACTGTTTAAGATTTGACCCAGTGTAACACCACCAAGGCCTTCGACGCTTTGACAATCCTTTGACAAAGTAGAAATCAATGCACCAATGGAGTTAGAATCTTCGTCAAAAAATGCAATATCCATACGCAGATAGTGTCCAAGAACACATTCTCGAATGCGTTTAACTAGAATGCTGGTATGGTAGGTAAATGTTCCCAAAAGACCACAAAAACAGAAAAACTCAAGCCCACCTAGAAGTACAAAATACCCAGAAAGAACGCCGACTTTATGACTCATGTAACTGTACTTGCTTGGTGGTACCATAACATTGTTCAAAATTTGACCATAAATGTAGCCCATTATGGGGAATCCTGCGCCGCAGCAAAGAGCACAAAAAGAGCCAAAAATTATAAGTTTATTGTATCCAGTAGTGAATTTAGTAAGCTAGAAATGGTTAATAAAAAAGGAAAACAAAGGGGGAAAACATACATAAATAGCAAGCCATATAGTAGATCGTTTTTTTTGCTTCAAAAGACCCTTTTCTGCCATATCATCAAGCGCTTCGTTGGATACAGATCTTGATTGAGTATTTGAGGTATCAGTTCTAGAAATTTCTTGATGAATAGTTTCTGTGTACTCTTTTTCATCCTTATAGCTTTTATCTGAAGAGTGAGATGTTGGGTGTCCATTATCTGACTTGATTTCCTGGGCTTTTACCAGCATATAATAAGCACCCTTTTTCTCCAGCAATTCATGGTGAGTCCCGGTTTCAATAACGTCACCAGAAGACATAACCACAATTTTATCAGCTTCCTTAATTGTTGACAATCGGTGTGCAATAACAATGGTGGTGCGGTCAGCTGCCGCACGATCCAAAGCGTCTTGAACAACACTTTCTGATTTGGTATCCAGAGCAGATGTCGCTTCATCCAGCAATAAAATCTTAGGTTGCGAAACAATAGCACGCGCGATGGCAATACGCTGCTTTTGTCCTCCTGACAATAAAACACCCTGTTGTCCCACATTTGTATCAAGGCCATTGGGAAGCTTCTGAATAAACTCCCATGCGTTAGCTTGCTTGCAAGCTTCTATAACTAGATTTGATTTGTCTTCTTCAGTGGCATTCTCGTAAGGTGTTCCAATTAATCCATAGGAGATATTTTCAAAAATGGAAACACTGAATAGCGTTGGTTCTTGGGAAACCAAAGAGAGCTGACTTCGAAGCCATTTAACATTAAACGAAGAAAGTTCCACACCATCTAGTTTAACTGATCCACCAAGATAAGAATAAAATCGTTCAATAATACCAATAATTGTGGATTTCCCTGACCCCGAAGCTCCTACAAGAGCAACTGTTTGTCCAGGCTCAACAGTAAGTGAAAAGTCTTTTAAAACAGTAATATTTGGACGAGATGGGTACGCAAATCTGACATTTTGAAATTCAATGCGACCAGAAAAGGTCTCAAGAATCTCACCTTCGCTGGAGGCAGAATCAATAATTGGAACACGGTCAATTGTTTCGTAAATTTTTTTAGCAGCACCAATAGACTTTGTCACGGATTGAAATGCGGGGGCGATACTTCCAAGACTTGTTGCACCAATAATGATGGCAGTTGCAACAGTAATCATAGCACCAACATCCATTTTCCCCTCTGCAATATATCTAGTGCCTTGCCAAAACGCAAGACCATATGACCAATAAATTGTAAGAAGCAAAAACGCAACCATGATGGCGATAGTCATGCCACATTTTGCAGCCTTTGTGTAAGAAATATAAACATGGTAATCATATTTTTTCCTAAGCCGTGATTGAATTCCAAAAGCTGTTGCAGTTCTGATAGCACTAAGAATACTTTCTGCAATTGATGAAGCTTTAGAAAAAGCATCTAAAGCAGCAGTAGTGTACTTCATAATAAACATAGAAGCAATGGCCATGGAGAAAAAAATTGCAAAAACAACAGAAAATAAAATAAGGGTGAGGCGCCATGAACGTGCAAGCCCAATGACTATAGCGGCAATAAAAGTAGCAAAGCAATTGAAAATCAAGTTTAGTTTTTCAGATATACCTTCTTGAATAAGGTTTACATCGGAAGTAATTCGATTGGTAAACTCACCAGGACCAACCTTGTCAAAATATGCAATATTTTGTCGTAATATAGCTTGGATATAGTGCTCACGAATTCGTGCGGTGAGTACATCACCGCGATCAACAATAACAAATGTCTGAACAGCATCAAGAACACTTATTGCAATAGCGAGGTAAACGAAATAAAGTGTGTTATGGTTGACTGCACTTTGGAATGCATCAGCACCTTGATTTGTTGTCAAAAAGGTTGAAAAGTCGTTTGTCAAACGGCCCATGACTAAAGTAAATAATGGAAGCGCTGCACCAGAAGCAATAGAGGCCAGTATTGATATGAAGATAAGAAACAAATCGAATTTGGTGGCATATCTGAATAACGTAAAGTATGTAACCGTAGTTTGTGGTAATATAATTTGATTTTTTAAAACTTCAGTCTCCTCCTCAGTACGTCCTTCATAACTAAGACCCTTGATGTAGTAATAGGGATCAATGACATTATCCTCTTTTTCATCCTTCGTTTTAGATTTACTTTTTTTTTCTTCAACTAGAGAATCAACCGTGATATTGTGAACAATATTGTTCCCTTCTTTTGATGGTTTATCTGCTGGCTCGTTAGAAGTTAGAGACGAAGCTTGGTCATTTTGTTTGGCTTCAATGCCAAAGAGACGAAGCTTAGATGGCGGCATATCATATATGGATAAAAAAATAAGATATGCTATGTTTTCGGTATTTAAATTAATAGAATAGAGATTTTCATATCTTTTATATTAAAAATAAAAAAAGAGAAGTGAGTAAAATTGCAAGTTGTTGGCATTATAATTTTTTTTGTCCAAGAGCTTTATGCGGCAATGGAAGGGCTGAGTCAGAAAACTATAAGAAGGCTTCTGCAAAGTTTTTTTTTTATAAAAAAAACAGCTATAAAAAGTATATGGTCAGTTTTATCTGCAAATCTGAGCTGTAAATAAAAATACGAAAGTCTTTTCCCTTGTGCAAACAGAAACGTTGGTTATGATATGCTATTTTGTACTTGTCTATGGGTGTAATTAGTAGAGACCAAATCTGCGTAAGTGATGATGATCTTTGCAGGCTTTTTAAATAAAGACTGGATCATCATCAGGACGACATACTGAGCTATCCCAAGAGGAAACCAAAATCAAAAAAAGGGGAACGAGCTGAGTCAAAAGGAATGTGGAATCTAGTTGTTTATTTAGACTATCAACATAATTTAATAACTTTTAATTATAACATTTTTTACAAGATACGCTTGAAACACGAATTCAAGTCATTTTGCGGGGAGATTCGTATTATCCCAGCAATCGTTTTTGAAATAAAAGATAACTTAATAGAATTACAAGAGGTTGTAAGAAGTAAAAATAGCAGTTACTGAAATCCTAAATTTGTCTATTCAAGTTTATTGTTAAAACACGAAAACCCATGGACTTAAATAAAAAAAACAAATTTCCTTCTGTTCAATTTCAATGTTGACATCAATTCTATGCTTTAAAAAGAAGTCACCAATTGACAAAAACAAGTTCGTTAATTTGGACATAGGAAACTTTAAATGAAGCTTGTAATTATATTTTATGCTATTTCTGGCATATTTTGGAAAAATACTCCATAAGATACCATATATAGATATATCAGCTATTTTGTTCTTTGTTTTTTATTCTATCTCAAAAGTTTGCAATATCATAATCTTTTTAAAACCCTTTTACAGCAAACATATTTATAAACTAATTATTCAGCATTAACGTAACAACATAAGTCCCCTTAAGATTAATTATATTAAAGATTCTCTAGATTAAAGATGCTTGAAATAATGTTTTGATGCTAATATGGTAGTTTGGTTAAGACTAGCAAGGGTCTCTTTGTTGTTGCTTTAAGATTTAAAGGCAGTCATGCTTACCAATTACAGCTGTTACAGAACTGGTAACTGTAATATTCAGAACACGCGTCAACAGTCCAAAACAATCTCTTTATTTAAAAGTTACCCGGACTATAGGCGGTATCTTACAGCACACCACTTATTGCAAGCTCTGCAAAAGGTAACTCAAACTAACTTTCAGTATCTCTCAACCGAAGCAACCATAACATGGCACCGAAACGACCACATCCCTCACTTCAGCCTAAAAAGAGGGCTAGATATCAGATTCCTGGAGAAGAAACCGAGACTTACGGAGGAATGTCAATGGAAAACCCAGCAATGACTGGAGAGCAAGAAGACGTGCCCCAAGACCAACCTACTACAATTGACGCGGAAGAAGAAGTACAGGTCACGGAGCAATCTGCTCCAACACAACCCCAGCACTTGGTACCTCAAAGCACAGTTACATCGAAACAACTAGCTGAAGATAACAGCGTAACTATTTCTCAACAGGAGATTTACGGCGACCTTACCGATGAAAACTCTCTTGTTCGCGCATCACAATCTCCCAAAGCAAATAAGCCGAGAAAAAACCGGTCCCCTTTAAAGCCAGGACATGAGCAAATAGTAATGCAAGCGTTTGAAAAGGCGTATGAAGAATATACTTCACAACTCAATCATTCTCAAGAAGATGAAGATGTGTTTCATGATAGTTCGGACCCAAAATGTTGGGATCTCCGGATTTGGAAAGAGGTATATGAAGGTGCTTGGAAATCTGTGCACCAAATGGAAAGCAGAACCGACTTTGGTACTGTTGATACTGTGAAGGAGTTTTATTTCAATAACAGAAAAACATATCGACATTTGAAGGCCGTGTTGAATTCTATACCGGGTGTAGAGTTCAATACTAAAACTGGTGCGTTTAGTAATCTCTCTGATGAGGCCTTGACAATCCTTTCGGCTCAAAAGAGTATGATTAGATTCCTTGGAAATAGCAAGCGGCCTTTCCTTCTTACAGAGTATTTTGAAAAACTTGATAGTGGTGCTGTCAAGGGCTGGTTTAGAAAGGTGCGGAAAGAGGCGCCGAATCTGTCAGCTCTTATACGCGACAACCCAAACCCTGTTGATGAATTGTCTTCAAGTGTAGGTACTTTGACTGCCCCAGCACACTCTGTGACCTCCCCTTCCTTAGTTGCAATCAATAAAGAGTCAAGCAATGATCTTGTGAACGAAACTATTGATACAGCAAATCTACCGCAGCAGATTATTCGGTCAGGAAACAACTCTATCTGGCAAAGAAAACAACAAGAGGTTCCTCAGGGAAACAGAGATCGAAAAGGTTGGTTTACAAGACTAGTGGAGAGTGGGAAATTTAGCTATGATGAACTCGAGGCACTACTTGTACACATTAGTTCCAAAAATGTGAAACCTTCTCTTGCCGCTGAATTGAACAATGATAATGACCAAGAACTTTTTCTTAAAATGAGCTACCTTTCCGGGTTTCTTAAGAAAGAAAAGGAAGAGCAACCTTCTTCTTCCTTTCTACCCCCACCGCAGCAGTAATTATATTTGATTTGATGGAAATTTTTTAATGAACTTTTTTTATTTTGTTTTTTATTTAATTTATTTAATATGTTAGCTTATTTTTTGAAATTCTTTTGTTGATGTAGTTGAATAATGCCATGAATTACTTGCTTAAATAAAAAAAAAAAAAAAAAGACGTAGCAATTGCTTATATTTAAAGAAAGTAAACTTCTAATGCTTTAGAAATAGGTAACTGAGATTCATTATTTAAAGCAAAATAGAGAATTTTAATCTGAATAAAACTATAATTAATGTAATTATCAAAGCCGCACTTTTTTGAAATGAAAGAGATTTTTTTTTAAAAAAATACAACCCCCATGTTCATTCTGATGAAAAAATCCTAGCAATAGTAGTTGATTACTATCATAAGACCTGAGTAGATATATCTAATGAATATTACACGGATCCCTTTATATCACCTATAAGGTTCATTTTTATTCATTTCTGTCATTTAATAAGCTCAACTTCATCATCATCATCATTGATAATTATCAAACCTTGTTGCAAAATTCCGACGCCGAAGGGCAAAGCCCATGGGTGCCGTGGCTTTGCCGCACTTTGTATGAGGATTTGTATATCCGATTTACAGATACAAACACACCTGTATCAGACTAATAACTAGCCACACTGGTGCCACAGTAACACGCATTCCGAATTGTGGCTTGCGTGACCACATACACACTACTAAACACTGTGCGGTAAGCCAGTTCCCCCACTCCCCTGTCTTGTCGGATTTTCCTCAGAATTTCCGTCTAATAACACTGGGTAAGGGTTTCCTTTTCTAGAGTATAAAAGGCAGCAAAATTTCCCCAAAATCACACAAAATTGCGCCATTTCACCTGACCTCCTCTCTAACTGACCCACCACCAACAAATACTACTATCAACTATCTGCTACTCCAAAAGCTTGTTTTTTTTTTTTTAATATAAACAGAGCCCTGGGTAAATCATATTTTATTCCTAATTCGGTATGTCTGCTACTTTCGTTTTTGCCTTTTTGCGGGGTCCTGTTCAAAGGTCCCTTAAATGTTGTGAGCGGCTCAGTTGATTGTCCGTCGGCCCCCGGTCCAAAACATTAAGTACGTGATGGATTCTGGGTTTCTGACTTTATTTTTTAAAAGAAAAAAAATTTTTTTTTTCCTTCATAATTACTACTCCCTTCATCAATCACTGCCCGTTATCGTGAGCCTTAATAGACATTAATAAAGATTTAAGCCGATACTAACTGAAATGTAGACTGCTTTTGTGTTATCGCACGTTTTTCATCGCAATCCGCAAATTCACACTTTATCTACTATTATTCAAAATGGCTCCGCTTACCGTTTCTCCATACTCCTCTATGAATATTCATGATCATCCTGAAAAGGTGATTGATTCTGAGGAGAGTTCCGAATCTCTTGTTGTTCGTCCTCTTAGCACTTCTGCTGCTAAAGTGTTTGGTTACATTGAGACGGATACCGGTTCCTATCATGCTTATTTTAACCACGATCTTCATACTGTCAGCGACAGCGACGAAGATGCCCTTTCAAGTTCACCATCCTCCTTTTCTTCTTCAGTAAAGCTCACCAGTTTCAATACTCTGGTTGAAGATATAAAGGCCATTTTAGGTCCTTCTTCTGGTATTGACAGTGATGACGTTGATGTCTCATCGATAATGGAAACAATGCGTTCTTATGACCCTCGCGAAAACTCGCATGAATGGGGAAAGTATGCTCTGAGTGATCCTTCTGCCGGATACTCTCGCAACGGCGTAGACGAGTGCAACGATAAGGCCAACCTTCTTATCCTGGTTTGGAACCCAAAAATGGGATCCATGATTCACGATCACGCCAATGCCCATTGTGTAATGAAGATTCTTAAAGGTTCGCTCGTCGAGACTCTTTACGATTGGCCTGAGGACTATAAAACTGATGAAGAGTACACACATCATACTCTTGACGTCAAGAAGACTACTGAGCTCCGTACTGGTGACGTTGCTTACATGTCTGACAAGCTTGGTCTTCACCGCATGACGAATCCAAACCCTGATGATGTGGCTGTTTCTCTGCACCTCTACACCCCTCCATATGCTGCAAAGTTTGGCTGCCATGTTTTCAATGAAGCTACTGGCGAAAGCACGCATATTCCCATGTCTACCTTGTACTCTGATAAGGGTGTGATTTTAGGGACCAACGGCTGTACCTGCTAATTGTGATTTACATCACGGTAACTTGCTTTTAAAAAAATCTTTGTTGAGCAGAGTTTTTTCAAGATCTGGAGCCTTTATTTTACGAGTTATGATTTTAAATTTGTTTCTGTTTTTATTTATGTAGAAAGTACTAATACAATTTTTTTTTCCTTTTAATAATAAAGGTGATTTCGATCACAGCAAAATGAATGTGTTATAAAGCTCTCTTTAATTCTGTAACAGGTATAGCGAATTCTTTCTCTTTTGTTTGGAGTAAATTCGTGATTGGGATATGGTTTAACACGGGTATTTATGGTTCGGTTGTTGGTTCTTATGTAGCTGCTAGGTGAACTGATTAAAATTTGACTCTGTTTAGGGGAATGGTTCAAATTCAAGGTATTATTGGAATCCATGTGTTCAAATAAAGAATCACTGACAACGTTGAATGTTGTTTCTAAAGACGTTATATTAGAGCTGGTATGCAATGGCTCCGCTTCCGGGTCTTCTAAAAACATCATTTGTAACGGTAACACATTTGAATCGTTTATCAGGGCTTCTGCCAATACATCATCTTTTTGTAGTGTATCTTGATTTGGGCAATATTCGCCATCAAAATCTGGCCATAAGTTTGGTATTGAATCTTGGTCTGCAATAGAAAACGTAGAGGTGATATAATTCTTACTTCCAAATATTTGTCCTGCTGGCTCCGACTGCTTAGAGCTCTTACTATTGTCCTGTCCATTATCCTTTCCATTGTCTTTTCCATTGTCTTTTCCATTGTCTTTTCCATTGTCTTTTCCATTGTCTTTTCCATTGTCCTTTTCAATTGTGCTCTCTGGGTATTCAGGTCCAGTCGGGTCTTTATTAGTGGCCATTGAAGTTTGAAAACAATTGTGCAGGGTTTGTGTTGTTGACAAACCCCTGTTTGTTGTGATAGTTTTGTTGCAAAAAAAAACACAAACGGCTGTGTTAGCGGTTTGTTGTCATAGCAACGTTAACAAAAGCTGTGTTTTGAGAAAAATAAACAACAGAAAAAAAAAACTCCACCCTTTCCCCTTTACTGATCCACATCAATTTTCACATTTTTTTTCTATTTCTTCATAAAAACTACATTTCCCTCAGTTTACAATGGGATATTTTTCAGACTCCGATGATGGCGGAGCTTCTGTGAAGTCCACCACCACTCGCAAACGTGTAGCCAAATCTAAGACGTTTGTTGTTTCTGACGACGACGATGAAATGGACGATATCAATGGCAACTTCTCTGATGATGATAACGATAGCGATTTCGGACTCACTTCAAAAAAAACAAATTCTTCTGGTTTTTCTAAAACTAAAAAAACAAACACGGTAACTAAAACGGCTGCTGCTGCTCCTAAAAAGCCTCGTGCCAAAAAGGTTGCTACAACACCCCTTTCTGAAACTTCCGCAAACGAGGTTGGCGAAGAGGAATCAAAGAGTCTTCTTGATCATTTTGCCCAAGAAACTGACGACAAAGAAAATAACCCTGTTAATGGTTCCACCCCTAAGGGAAAAAAAGATGCATCCTCCCAATATCAAAAGCTTACCCAGCTTGAGCACATTCTGAAGCGTCCCGATACTTATATTGGCTCTGTCGAGCCCACTGAAATGAAACTCTGGGTCTTTGATCCGGTATCCAAAGACATGGAGTTTAAAGATGTCACAATTGTTCCTGGTCTTTACAAGATTTTTGATGAAATTCTTGTCAATGCTGCAGATAACAAAATTCGCGATCCGTCAATGGATATCTTAGAGGTTAACATTGATGTTGACACCAATACAATTTCAATTTACAACGGTGGCAAAGGTATTCCGATTGAAATCCACAAGAAGGAAAAGATCTACATCCCAGAGCTTATTTTCGGCAATCTTTTGACATCGAGTAATTACGATGATAACGAAAAGAAAGTCACTGGTGGCCGAAACGGTTATGGTGCAAAGGTATGATAAAATAAAAAAAAAATCAATATATTTTTTTTTTCAAAACTGACTTTCTTTTTAGCTTTGTAACATTTTCTCGACAGAATTCACTGTTGAAACAGCCGACAAGTCTACCAACCAAGTCTACAAACAAACCTGGACAAAAAATATGTCTCAGATTGGAAAGCCACACATTACGAAAAATACCAAGCACAAAGAGTATACCAAAATCACATTCAAGCCAGACTTGTCTCTTTTCCATATGGAAAAGATTGATAATGATCTTCTCGGTGTTTTATATCGACGTGTTTACGATGTTGCTGGTTGCATGAATGAATGTAAGGTTCTTCTTAACCACGTCCGCCTTCACATTAAAAACTTTAAGAGTTATACCGAAATGTTTGTCAAGGCTCTAGAAAAGACTGCCAAAGAAAATGCTGTTCCTGGAGAAGAGTCTGAGGCTAATAAATCACCCGTTATTGTTTACGAAAAGATCAATGATCGATGGGAAGTTGCCTTTGCAGTCTCGGATGGCTCATTTAATCAAGTCTCATTTGTCAATTCTATTGCCACTACCAGCGGTGGTACACATGTCAACTACATTGCTGATCAAATTGTAAGCAAAATCACTGAGCAGATCAAAAAGGCCAAGATTCCAATCAAGAATTTTCAAGTTAAAAATAACATGTTTTTATTTGTCAATTGTTTGATTGAAAATCCTGCATTCACTTCCCAGACTAAAGAACAACTTACCACAAGAACCACTGCTTTCGGCTCCAAGTGCGTTTTACCTCCAGAGTTTTTGAAAAAGGTTCTCAAGACTCCCATTCTTGACCGTGTTCGAGACATTGCCACTCGAAACGCAGATAACCAAATTCGCAAAACCGATGGTGGCAAAACCCGTCGTATTAAAGGCATGGCTAAGTTGGAGGATGCTAACAAGGCTGGTACAAAAGAAGGATACAAGTGCACTCTTGTTTTAACAGAGGGTGACTCAGCCATGGCCCTTGCCGTTGCTGGTTTGGCTGTTGTTGGCCGTGATTATTATGGTGTTTTCCCCCTCAGAGGTAAACTTTTAAATGTCCGTGAAGCATCTCACGATCAGATTATGAAGAACACAGAAATTCAATCCATCAAGCAAATTATGGGTTTACAGCACAAGAAGCAGTACTCATCTACAAAGGAGTTGCGATATGGTCATATTATGATTATGACGGATCAAGACCATGATGGAAGTCATATCAAGGGTCTTATTATCAATTTCCTTGAGTCTACATTCCCTGGATTGCTAGAAATTCCTGGATTTTTAGTTGAATTTATTACACCTATTGTCAAGGTTTCTATTTTAAGAGGAAAAAAAGTTACTGAAGTTATCCCCTTTTATACCATGCCAGAATACGAATCTTGGAGAGAAACCACTGGTAAAGAGTGCACATGGAAAAAGAAGTACTACAAAGGTTTGGGTACGTCTGATCCAACAGAAGGAAGAGAATACTTTTCTCGCCTGGACAAGCATCTCAAGACATTCCATGAGCTAGAAGCTGAAGATAAGCCTCTTATTGAGCTTGCATTTTCCAAGAAGAAGGCTGACGATCGTAAGGACTGGCTCAGACAATTTAGACCTGGCACCCACTTGGACCCTAATCTTGACAATATTCCCATTTCTGAGTTTATCAATAAGGAACTCATTCTGTTTAGTATTGCAGATAATATGCGTTCCATTCCTTCAGTCATGGACGGTCTCAAGCCAGGTCAGCGTAAAGTCATGTACGGTTGTTTCAAGCGTAACCTTGTGAATGAAATCAAGGTTGCCCAGCTTGCTGGTTACATTTCCGAACACACTGGGTACCATCACGGTGAACAGTCGCTCGTTTCGACCATTGTCAACTTGGCTCAGAGTTTCGTTGGTTCTAACAATTTGTATTTGCTGATGCCCAAGGGCTCCTTCGGTTCGCGTGCTGCCGGCGGTAAGGATTCCTCTGCTCCTCGTTACATTCACACAGAGTTGAATCCCATCACAAAGTCCATTTTCCACCCGTCTGATGAAAACATTTACAATTATCTGGAAGATGACGAAGCTACAGTAGAGCCCGAGTGGTACGCACCCATCATCCCCATGATTTTAGTTAACGGTTCTGAAGGTATTGGTACTGGTTGGAGTACCAACATTCCTCCATTCAACCCTGAGGATATTGTTAGTAACATTCGCCGACTCATGAATGGTGAAGATATGGATCCTCTTACCCCATGGTACCGTGGTTGGACTGGTTCTCTTGACCGTCTCCCTGACAATAAATTTCGGGCCTCTGGTATTGTTAACCAAATTAGCGATACTGAGCTGGAAATTACTGAGCTGCCGCCTCATACTTGGACCATCAACATGCGAGACTTTTTGCTCAATCAGTTGCGGGACAAGCGTGACAATAAAGCTGGTTGGATTGAAGACTTTACAGAAGATCATGGTCTTGGTGTGAAGTTTAATATTACCCTCACGCCAGAGGAGATGGAGAAGACTCTCAAGGTTGGTCCATTAAACCGTTTCAAGCTTACTTCCACAGTCAATCTTAACAACATGGTTGCATTTGACCCTCAAAACCGCATCAAGAAGTACTCATCTCCTGAAGAGATGATTAATGATTTCTACTACGTGCGCTTAGAATGCTATCAAAAGCGCAAAAACTTTTGGTGCAATTTGCTTAAAAACCAGCTCATCAAATTGACACAGCAGGCCCGCTTTGTTAAGATGATTATTGACAAGGAAATTATTGTTACAAACCGCAAAAAGATTGATATCATCGAAGATTTGCAGAAGCATGAGTTTCCATCGTTTGGCAAGGATGGTACTCCCAACTACATTAAGATTAAAGATGATGACTCGTTGGAGGATGGCGATATTCCCGAGGGTGTTGAAGATCCTCGTAAAAACAAGCCATCATTTGATTACCTGTTGGGTATGGCTATTTGGTCGCTTACAAAGGAACGCTATGAGCGATTGCTGAATGAGCGTGACAATAAAGAGACAGAACTCAATGTGCTTTTGGGCAAGACTCCAAAAGACTTGTGGAATGAGGACTTGGACGTATTTTTGGAAAAGTGGGAAACCTTTTTGGAGGAAGATCGGGAGCAGCGCGAGGCTCTTATCCCCAAAAAGAAGCAAGGCAAGGGCAAAGCCAAAGGTAAAGCTAAAGGTAAGGCGCCGGCTAAGAGCAAGCGCAAGCGGGATGACAGTGACGATGACGGTGATGATAGTGATGAAGATTTTACTGTGTCGGCCAAGAAAAAGAAAGCAGGGGATACCGGGGGAGGTACAAAGGCTGCGCCAGTGAAACGAGCGCAGAGGGCAAAGAAACCGGCGGCCACGTCGACACTTGACGGGTTTATTACCAAATTAGAGGAAGAAGAAGAAGATAATGAGAAGAATGTTAGTGAGAAAAGGACAACGACAAGTAGTAGGGGTAGTAACACTAGCAATGGTACTATCAAACACACTAGTGAATTTGACAAGAGCCCGGAGGATTTGTTTTCAGCGTTGTCGAGTTTTTCTTCAAGTACCAAGCCCAAGGAGACAGTGAAAAAGGAGGCCAAAGAGACTGATTCTGAAGATACCAAGCCCAAGCGTCGGGTTCTTTCGAAGGGCCCTAGCGCGGCGTCAGTCAAGTCGAGTTTTATTTCTAATATTCTTGACGACAGTGATGATGATATTTTCAGTTTTAGCAGCGTCAAGAAGAGTGTCAAGCCTAAGAAGGAGGAAACTGTGTCGCCTGTAAAGGCAACTGCTGCTCCAGCTTTGTCAAAACCCTTGTCAACTACCTCAAACGTTAAATCTGCCGGGTCAAGCCGAAGCAACTCGAGGGCATTGTCTGCGGAAATTATAGAGGACAGTGATGAAGATGCGGATTACGATTTGAATGAGGGGAAGAAAGAGCAGGATGAAAAGGACGATGAAGTGGAGGATGAAGAAAAAGATGAAGAAGAGATCATGCCAAAGAAACGGGCGGCTGCTAAACCTCGCAAGAAAGCTGCAGCATCTGCACTTGTGATTGATGATAATGATAGTGATGTTGAGATGGAGGAAGTGAAACCTGCGCCCAAGAAACGAGGTGCTACCAAAGCACCTGCCAAGTCATCACGCAAGAAAGCAGACGTGAGCGATGTGGAAGAAGTTGATTCGCCCAAGCCCAAGGCAAAGGTAAAAGCAACTAAGGCCGCAGCTGTGGTGAAGAATAAGAAGGAAGTTGAAGATGATGATGATGATGATGATGATGATGATGATGATGATGATGATGATGAAGAAGAGGAAGTGACGCCGCTAGGACGAGGCCGACCTGCGCGACGGGCTCGCGGGGCAGCGCCTAAACGATACGCCTTTGATTCTGACGAAGAGGAAGAAGAAGATGATGATGACGACATGTTTGTGGTGGAAGATGATTGATTAGATTTGGATGCTGTATTTATATAGAAGGAAGAATTTCTACTGGAATATATTAACTTGAATGTGATAAAAAAAATTTTGAATTCTGTTTTGTTTTTTTTCTTATATTATTTTTTAACAGTCCAAAGTCAACATTTTTTTCAAATATAAACCAATTTAGCAGAGCAGAAAATATAATATGAGCAGCATTGTTTTTTCAAAAGCAAACAACTTTACACCTGCATTTAAACCAGCTCGTTTTGGGGCCTCAATTATTTCGGGCAGCCCAGCCAAGGTTGAGGTTCTCCCCGAGTCGCCTTCAATTTTGTCATCTTCATCATCATCTGAGGACGATGAAAACACGAGCGAAGAAGAGGGTAATTACCAGAATAACAACAGCAGCAAAAGAATGGGAAAGTTGTTGGGAAGAAGTATGAGCAGTGCAGAAAAAACACACTGGCGACTAGTTGGAAGTGACCGAGACCGGGGGTGTGAGGCAATGGACTACGGGGCACCAATGATGCCACGATACCCTGCGTTTTGTAAGAAAAAAGAAGGAGAAAAAAGAACGGGAGGAACGGATGGGAATAGAGATGGGAATAGAGAAGGTGAAATGGATACGGAGGTTGTTGCAATAACGCATTATGGAGCAGTGCCACGAGCAGAGAATGAAGAGGAGTTTGTGTTGCGGATAGATTTGAGGGATGCAGGAAGGTTAGAGCAGGCAAGAAAGAGTGGAGAAAGAATTGGAGAAGAAGAAGAAGAAGAAGAAGAAGAAGAAATAAATAGCAGACATATAAGAGAAGAACGACAAGAGCAAAGCCAAGTTGAACTGCGGATGCCTGTGATTGAGGTCGAGCCTCGTGGCGGAGGGACTTTGTTTTCTGAGCAAGACGACGATGATTCTGGTAATAGTGCCGAGGATGACGAAGACGACAATGAAGACGACAATGAAGATGAAGATGAAGAGGAAGAAGAAGAAGAAGAGGAAGAATTAAATTCCCCTACACAAGCTCGATCATCTGTTTCAGGATCCTCCTTGATCATGCCAGTACCCTTGACCAGTGCTCCATACCCGGCCACTGTCGCCGCAACAAGTTCTATTTCCATGCCACCTGCTTCTACAGCTTCTCCAGCCGTCACTGTACGATCACTTGCCGCTTCTGTATTTTCCTCCACTGCTACCACTGCAACCGCAACTGCTACTGCTACCGCTACCGCTGCTGGTAGTTCCAGGCGCGCTCCAACAACTGGGAGACCAGCTCGTAGCGGTACGTTCAGGTTCGCACCACCAGCATCACAGCATTCGTCTTACGCTAGTCCTCTTGCGCATCCGTTCCATCGGGCACCGATTATGCGTGTAGCAGGTTCTTCAAACAATCACGGGAGTGGCTCTGCAACAGCAACAGCAGCGGCAACGACAACGACAACGGCAACGGCAACGGCAACGGCAACGGCAACGGCAACGGCAACGGCAACGGCAACGGCAACGGCATCGCCGACAGTATCCAGCTCGTCGGTGTTTGCACATAGACTGTGGCGGGGTTACTCTGCTAGAAACAGATCTAGTGCAGGAACTAGAAGCCAACAGAGTAGTAGCAGTGGCTCGTCGCCAATGCCGGAACCGGATTATATGAGAGTAAGTAGGAGTCCTGGACAAGTTGGAGGGTCGCCGCAAAGGCAGCAAGGACAACAAGAGAGTGAGGATGTGGGAGGGTCGACATGGTGGAGTCGAGTAGGAATATGGATTAGAAGTGCAGCCATGTGTGCGTGGTGATGAAAAAAAAAAAAAAAGTCAAATATTTAGAAAAACAACAAGACTTATTTTCCTATTTAGGTAATTTAACTACATGGTAATGAATGATCAACATTTTAAAAAAATTTTTTTTTTCAATTAATATTAAGAGATTGGAAATAATTCAAAACAAATTATATATATATAAAAAGAAACGACATTAAAGAGCTCAAAAAAATAAAAAGGTATTTATGTAAAGAGGAGGAATTTGGAAAAAAAACTACTAAATATGCAATTGTACTTGGGGAGAAGGGAAGATTATTTTTGTTTTTCATTTTTTCTTCAAGTACATTTACTCAGCAGCATTGGCAAACTTCTCAACAATGTCATTTTGGAGCTTGTCGAATTCAACCTTGAGCTCTTCCTCACCGCGGCTGGGTTCAAAGAACTTGGCCGAAGAGACAGAGTGCTTAATGTCGGCGGTGGACTCAGCAATGCGAGCCCAAGGAGCGCCTGTGGCAACAGCCTTTTGGGCCTCTTCAAAGTAGGTGACAAAGGCCTTGAGCATGGCATTGGTCTTCCAAATGGGGCAAAAGGCGTCATATGTCGAGTAACCATTTTGCTGCAAAAAGTCGTCCTTAATCAAACTGGAAACGTCAAGAGTAATCTTGTCCGAGTCAGAAAGGGCAGACTTACCAACCAGCTGGACAACCTGCTCGAGCTCCTCGGCATTGGAGAGAATACCCTTAACCTTGTCACGGAGAGTGGGGAACTCAGGGTAGCTTGACTCGTAGTACTTGTTCAAAATGTTGGTGTACTTGGAGTAAGAAACAGAGGTATTGACCGAGGGGAAATGCTTTCTCTGGGCAAGCTTCTTGTCAAGACCCCAAAAGACTTGGGTAATGGAAAGAGTGGACATGGTGACGGGATCCGAGAAATCACCACCGGGGGGGGAGACGGCAGCAACAATGGAAACGGAACCTTCACGGTCAGGGCTACCAAGAGCAGTGGCCTTACCAGCACGCTCGTAGAAGGAGGCGAGCTTGGCACCGAGATAAGCGGGGAAACCCTGATCAGCAGGCATTTCACCGAGACGACCCGAAATTTCACGGAGAGCTTCGGCCCATCTGGAAGACGAGTCAGCAATCATGGCAACATTCTTACCCTGGTCACGGAAGTATTCGGCAATGGTGATACCAGTGTAAATGGAAGCTTCACGGGCAGCGACAGGCATGTTTGAGGTGTTAGCGACCAAGGTGGTACGCTTCATGATGGGTTCTTTGCGGCCATCAACAACGGTAAAGAGTTCAGGGAATTCCATCAAGACTTCAGCCATTTCGTTACCACGTTCACCACTAAAGGAGTTAGAAATAAAAATAAATATAAAGAATGAATAAACACATACCATCCAACGTAAATAATAACGTCTGAGTTGGAGTACTTGGAAAGAGACTGGGAAATGACAGTCTTACCACAACCAAAAGCACCAGGAATACAGGTGGTACCACCCTGGACGACGGGGAAAAGAGCGTCAAGGACACGCTGACCAGTGAGAAGAGGGTAGTTGGCGGAAAGCTTAGTGGCGACGGGACGGGGCTCACGGACAGGCCAAGTGTGGAACATGGAGTACTCGTACTTGTTTCCTGCAAACTCAACCTCGACAATCTTCTCCTCGACAGTGTAGGAGCCTGGGGCAGCAATGAAGGTAATGGTACCCTTGCCCTTGGGGGGGAGGAGGATGTGGTGGGAGGACATGAGAGAGTTTTCAAAGACGGAACCCAAAATGTCACCGCCAGTGACGTGGTCGCCGACCTTAAGGTCCTTGGCTGGGGTGAAGTCGTACTTGACGGTTCTACTGAGAGCTGGGGCGTCAATACCGCGGGGGATATAAATGGACTGAGACTTTTCCTGAATAGCCTTGAGAGGACGCTGGATACCGTCGTAAATAGTTTCCATAAGACCGGGACCAAGCTCGACCGAAAGGGGCTTACCTGTGCGGAGAACGGGGTCACCGACAGTGACACCAGCGGTTTCCTCGTAGACCTGGATAGTGCACTTGTCACCATCAATTCTAATGACTTCACCAACAAGGTTATCGTGGCCGACCTTGACAAGTTCGTACATGGCAGAACCAATCATGTTTTCGGCCACAACGACGGGACCGGAGACGGAGTAAATGGAACCTAAGTGTGGTTAGAGAAGATTTGAATAGAGAGGGGTAGAATGAGTAGAGTAAAGGAAGACATACCATATTGACTTTCAGCAATGTCATCAATGTTAAGGTTCTTCAGCTCTTTTCGGGCATTTTCGATAGCGCCAGCCTAAGAGATATTATGAGGTTAGAAAGAAAGAAAAAGAACATATAAAGAAAAATACATACCATTGTGATATGTGTAAATTGATATTGGGATTAAAGATTAAAAGTTGTTGTTGTCGTTGAAAGAGTTATAGGTATTTGATGACCAAAGGTTGAAAGTGATGTATAAAGAATTGGAATGGTTTAGATTGAGTAATTCTTTTTATTGAAAGATTTATATTTAATAAATGACGAAAACTTTTGAGGATATATGTTTTATATATATATATTTAGTTATATATATATATATATAGGTTCTGCTGGGAATTCAATGTCAAATATAAGAGGATATGATGGTTGTGGTGGTGGCTTTTTGGTGGTGGTGAAGAAAAAAAAAAAAAAAAGGAGAGGAGGAAAGAAAATAAAAAAAAAAAAAAAAAAAAAAGCGAAGATTTAATGCGCAGGCAGTTGAATGACAAACCAAATAACTTCAACTACAACAACTACAACTACAACACGCATGGAACGGCTGGGCGTGTTTGGCTTTAAGAATTATCAAAATTATTTATTTATATATCCTAAAAAATTAACATAAAAAAATAAGATAAAAATCATAAATAATAATTGTAGAGTTAGCTGGTTGATGAAGTTTGACTGACTATATCGACACAAAAGGCAGCCAAAAGGGTTTCAGTATTTCTCAATTGACTGTGGAATGGCATTAAAAAGGCTTGATTTTGCATTGAAATAATTGAAGTTATTGAATTTATTAATTTATTTAAATATATATATATATTAAAGAATTAAGTTTTGAATTGTTTAGCATTAATAGATTCATAACTACAGACTTAAGTCAAGTCAATGGACTTATATATATTATATATATATATATATATAATATATATAAGTCTTAATATAGTAAATAATAATGACTTTAACTCAATGCTAACTACGGAACTTTATTTAAAACTTCTTTTAATAGAGGTGAAAAAAAAAAAAGTTCTGAATGCAAACAATTGAATTCCAACATTTCTTTCTTCCTTTCTTTTCTTTCTTTCTTCATTCATTCATTTTCTTATTTCTATAAGCTGTCTTCTAGGTAAACAATTCAACAATTTAACAATTTAACAATTTAACAGGCAGCCAGTGAATAAAAAGTGAGCAGCACTTTGTTTCTGTTTTGGCTGCAAAGGCTGTACAGTAAAGGCAGCAAAGGCAGCAACAACAACAACAACAACAACAACAGCAGCAGCACCAAAAAAAAAAAGGCAGCAAAGGCAGCCACTTTTTTTGTTTTGCAGCAACAGAAGAAGCAGCAGCAGCAGTAACAGCAGCAGCATCAACAGCAGCAGCAAGGCGGCTTGAACCGGTCGTGACCGCTTTATTATATGATGATTAGTTAATATTAGTAATCTTTGATAGTTGCCATGACAATTGAAACCAAAACTATTAACAGTAACAAAGAATTCTCTTCAGCCAATGGCCACCTTTTATAATCACATAATCACATTATCACATTAATTACATTAATCATATAATATATCATATAATATAACTTATCACTTAGACCTTAAATCTTTGGTACTATTTAAAAATAATGATACTTAGTATAAATTTACAAAACAACCACCACTTTCATCAACTCATTGCCATTTCTTTCAATTCATGATTTAAAATAAATAAATAAATAAATAAATAAAAAAACAAATCATTTAGTAATAACATTTTCGGTAAATATCCTAAATCGGATCCAGACTTTATTATTATTTATAAATATATTTACACGATGATCATCCTCATCGCTTTCTTGTAGTTAACTTTTTTTTTTCTTTTCAAATCCTCCAATTAAAAATATAAAAAAATGACCCCCCTGGGGTATTCACAAGATTTTTTTTTTCATCTTTATACTTCATATTTATACGTATATATAATAACAATAATAAATCTCACACATCATCATCATCTTCTTCTTCTTCTTCATTTTCATTCATACTATTACAATCATCATCATTATTATTCTTCTTCTTCTTTATTATCATCATTACTTCTTCTTCTTCATCTCAAGTCTTGGGAAATGTAGTAATAACAACAATGATAACAATAACAAAAATAACAACAACGACAATAATAATAATCCCATTTAACCTCTCTTCTTAAGATTGGTACTTAACCACTCAAGACCCTCGTAAAGACCATCGCCAGAAGTGGCGCACGTGGCCTGAATATACCACGACCGTTGTCTAAGAGAGTGCAGACCAAGCTTCTCGGTAATCTCGGCAGCATTCATGGCGTTGGGCAAATCCTGCTTGTTGGCAAAAACAAGAATCAACGCGTCGTGAAGCTCATCCTCATTGACAATGCGTTGCAGTTCTTCAGCAGCCTCGCCTATACGTTCGCGATCGTTCGAGTCGACAACGAAAATAACACCCTGGGTGTTTTGGTAGTAATGTCTCCAAAGGGGACGAATCTTGTCCTGTCCACCAACATCCCACACGGTGAATGAAATGTTCTTGTATTCGACAGTCTCGACGTTGAAGCCAATGGTGGGGATGGTTGTGACGATTTCACCCAGCTTAAGCTTGTAAAGAATGGTGGTCTTACCGGCGGCATCAAGACCAACCATAAGAATGCGCATTTCCTTGCGGCCAAAAAGACCCTGGAGGAGCTTTGAAATAGACAATCCCATTCTAAATTGTGATGTGAGTTAGTGAGAGAAAGAGATTAGATGATAAGGGTTTTGAGGATATAGGATAAAAAAAAAAAAAAAAAAAAAGAGAAAAAAGAGAAGAGAAGGGAAGGAAGAGAGAAGAAAAAAAAAAGGGTGAGATTAAGGCTATGTGGTAGTAAAAAACCTGGTGGTGGTGATAAAAAAAAAAAAAAAAAAGCAAAAAGGGGCCACAGAACAAAAAAAATGCCAGCAAAGACATTAAGGTGGTAAATAACACCTCAGCAAAAACAAAGTAACAATAATAATAATAATAATAATAATAACCACACAAATATTATTATATAAACACAACAGAATAGGTGCACGCGCCCAGCCGCCACTTGATTTGAATTGGGAAATTTCTTGTTTTAAACCACTACCACCACAACTTAATCATCACTCAATTTATATATATTTATTAACCAAAACAGACACTCTTAAAAAAAACAAAAAAAAACAAAAAAAAACAAAAAAAAAAAGTCAAACCAGCCGCTTGTGAAATTTCTATCGTTATCTGATTTCATGCTTGAAAATAGAAAAATCAAAAGACTTTATCTATACTTAAATAATAACAATAAGTAATAATAATCAAACTTCAGATCAATTGATAACTTATCCGAATTTTTCACGCTGCTGCCACTTGGATTTTTTTTTTTTCAATTTCTTTATTTCTATAGAACCTTGTTTTTGGTGTTTTTTTTAATAATGGTAAAAGTGATAACAATAATGTGGTGGTCCTCTTCCATTCCTTGCTTTCTCAAACTGTAAACTTTGTCAAAGATAATGAAAATCTGCTGGAAAATTGCCGTCGCTAAGAAAACAAATCAAGGGAAAATTGAGGGAGGGGTGGAAAAAAAAAAATAAAGGGTATACCAAGTTTGATTCATGAAAGGTTTTGGAATATATAAAAAAAATGGCCATGGATAAATTATAAATAGTCTGGGGGAAAAAATAGATAGATAGATTTAAACTGTCAAAGTTCTAATCTACCCAAATTATGTGTGTATATTTTCTCAAATCCATTGATAAAAAAAAAAACTTACTTTTTATATGATTTTAAAAAGAAGAGTTAAAGATAAGATGCTTTGGTAAAAAAAATTGGCTATTGGATTAAAATTGATTAAAGTTCCTATTTTTTTCTTCTTTGGACTTTTGATTTGATATCCAAGAGAAAAAAAAATTAATGGTATTAATGAAAACGGTAAACTAATCCAGAAATTTAAGAAAAAAAAAACAAAAAAAAAGATAAGAAGAAGGAAAAGAAGGAAATTAAAAAGGAGGTTTAAATAATTAAAAAAAATTACATGTGGCAACTGACGGAATAGTAAGCACACTTAACAAAAGTACACATCACTAACAATAACAACTAACTTTCTTTCTCGGCTGGTTGACCGGTGATTTTTAAAAGATCCGATCATTCTTGGATTTTTTCAAAAAAAAAAAAAAAATCTATACAAAACCTTTCGTCTGAATGACTTGGCTTATTCTAAATGTTTTTTTTTATTATTTCTTTTCTTTTCTTTTTATCTAATGTAACTACAGTTCAGCTTCTTAATATCTGACTCTTTTATATCGTAACCATGACGAGGAAAAAAAATGAAAACAAGGCATATAGTTCTTTGAGAAGGAATGGGGCTTAAAAGATATCGGCTTTTTGTTTTTAGATGTTTGATGACAAAAATTAAAAAAAAAAAAATAAACTTTAATTAATGTAACACGTTTAGATTAACTTAACGTAGATAAACTTACCAATTGGTTAACTTACACACACACACACACACACAGGTAACTTTATTATAGCTCTTATGCAATCAGTCGCTTGTGTGAGCAAATTGCTGGGCGTACTTAAAAAATGAAAAAAATTTGGTTTATCGTTTAGATACGCACCTAAACACACACACCCTTTTCTGTTACAAATCACTCAATGACACGTTTGTTGCAACAATTCTAAAAAAAATCCACCACTTCTTGTAACATTTACTTTGTAACAAATCCAACCTTCATTTAAACCACCTTCTACAATCGCGTTACACAAACCTCCCCAAAAAAAAAGGGCTCATCACCATCATCATCACCACAGCCTTCTTCTTATATTTTATTCAAATCCACTCTTGTTTTTTTTTTATCACTCAAAAAAGAAAAAAGAAATATCAACATATCTATATCCATAATGCCTCAAATAGAACAATGGGAAGTCCAAAAGTACTGGGAAATCTTTTCCGGCCTTAAACCAACCCCAGCTGGCCTCCTCTCTGGAGACAAGGTCTCAACCGTTTTTAAAAACTCACAACTCTCCGAAGACAAACTGGCCAAAATCTGGGATCTGGCCGATGTAGACCAAGACGGTAACCTCGACTTTGAGGAGTTCTGTATTGCCATGCGAATCATCTATGATATTGTAAATGGTGTTTACTCAGACCCCCCAGAAACTCTCCCCCAATGGCTCGTCCCTCAATCCAAATCTTACCTAGTCGAAGCAAACCAAGCAATCTCTGGTAACGGCCCATCACCTTCTTCCTCGCGTCGAAGTAGTTCTTATGATGACGATGAAGACCTTTCTCTCTCTTCCGACTTTGATTGGTATATCTCACCATCCCAACGTAACGAGTACAATGCAATCTACTCTGCAAACGCAGACTACCATGGCCTCATCTCATTTGATGCTCTCACAGAACTCTACCAAACTTTAGATAATATCCCCCGCACTGACATCTCTTCCGCTTGGAACCTTGTCAACCCCCGTTCAAATGAAAAAATAGATAAGGAACAATGCATTGTGTTCCTTCACATCCTTTCCACCCGCTCAAAAGGCTTCCGCATCCCCCGCTCTGTCCCAGCATCTCTCCGTGCAACTTTTGAAAAATCCGCCCCAGAATATTCCCTCAACTCTTCCCAGTCAGTGATCCGCCGTGGCAATGACGACACAGACTCTTCTTCGAATAACAAAAAATCCTTTGCCAATGACTACCTCACCCGTCTAGGACTTGGTGGTCGTTCAAAGGGTGGCATTGATAATACTCAAGGCACAGACTTTTCATCAACTCGTGACACGGATTGGGAAGAAGTCCGACTCAAACGTCAGCTCGCAGACCTCGAAGATCTCATCAAAAAAGCAGAGGCTGCTACCGAACGCCGCAAACGAGGCATTGAGGATTTCAATTCATCTAAAACTGGTCTTCTCAAACGCGAACTCGAACAACTCCTCGCTTATAAGGAAAAACAACTACTGGCATTACGCAATGGTTCCCTGAAAAAGGGATCTTCTGCAGATGACTCGGAAAATAGAGCCCTTCAAGACTCTCAGGAAGAAATTGATCTTCTTACAGTTCAAATCGATTCCCTTAAACAGCATTATACCAAACGTCAACATGAATTAGAAACCCTTAGGCAACAGGTCGAAGCTGCGCGATAAAATTTGCACCCTCTACCTGCTAGTGTATAAAAAGTACTCTTTAAAAAAATGCTAATCTATTATTATCTTTATTATTTAAATTTTTTTTTTTCAACTCTTTATTTTCTTTTATTCTTCTTCTTCAATATTCAATCTTAGGGAGATAAAAAAAAGTATTAAATGACCAAAGCATTACTTTCTTTACTTCTTCTCCTCAGCCTCAGGTTCGGGCTTTGGCGTGGGCAACTTGAAGCTCTCAGGTCTGTCGTCACGACCAGGACCCACGGGCTCCCAAACAGTAGCACCGACCGAGAAGTTGCGGAATGCCTGTGTCATTTCCAAAGGCTCATAAACAACACGCTTCTTCTCCTCATCATAACGAACCTCAGTGTAACCAGTGACGGGGAAGTCCTTGCGAAGAGGGTGGCCTTCAAAACCGTAATCCGTCAGAATGCGGCGGAGATCAGGGTGGCCCTCAAAAAACACGCCAAACATATCGTAAGTCTCACGCTCGTACCAGTTGGTTCCCTCAAAAATGCGAGCAATGGATGGCACCGGCGAAGTCTCTGAGGCATAGGTCTTGACACGAATGCGCGAGTTGAAGCGCACAGAGAGCAGGTTGTAAACAACCTCAAAGCGGTTGGTTCTCGAGGGAAAATCAACAGCTGTAACGTCCATGACTGTCTTGTACTGAGCAGATGTGTGATCCTTAAGGAATGTAATGACTGGAATAACAGCTGAGGGTGGGATAAAGAGGGTCAACTCGTCTTTCCACACACTAAACTTTTGGATAAACTTGGGCAGTGCCGTAATCAAGTACTTGCCGTACTTGTGCAGGTCCTCGACGTGCTCAAGGTACTTGTCCGCAGGATTCACTATAGGAGCATTAATCTCTGTGGGCTGCTTTTGTCGTGGAAGACTCTTCAGGTCCGGAAGACCCTCGGGTGTGATTTGCACGGGTGCAAGGCGGGCACCGCCGCTGGTGCTCAAGGGTCGCACGCCCATAACGGCGCTACGCGCAACCTGTCGGGAAACTGAAAATCGGGCACTTTGGCCAATTGCTGTGCGTAGTAAAGCCATCGCTGCTGTGTGTTTAGGGAAGGTTGATGATGAATGAAGGAGAGGTGTTGTGTGAGTGAATGTGTGTGTGTGTATAGGAGAGGGAAAAAAAAATAGGTAGTCCCAGAGAGAATGGAATATAAAAAAAATTAAAGCCAGTGGGAATGGAGGAGCGAACGGTTATCGAGACATTTTCAAAGCGCTTTCCTATTGCTGCCATTGGTCCAAAATGTAAAAGAAAATAATAGATTAGTAATGATTAGGTAAACACATAGTTATTATACTTTAAAACTTACAACTTGCACCTACTAGCCTATGTTGAAAATTTCTGCAATTTTTCTACGTCAACATAACAATAAAATATAATAAAAGTTAATAACGTTAACTTAAAAATAACGTTAAATAAACTGGCATTTCATGTCAAAATCAACATTGCCCATTTATAAAGGCATTACATTTAGTTTTGTTTTATCACCGGGCAGACATTTGCACATTAACGAGCCTAAAATATCAACATATACAAAAAACAAGCGTGAGGGTCATTAAATTTTTCTTTTTTTTTTCTTCTCAATGGGGTTGTGTTTGGTTGTACATCAAAGTATTTAGGCCTTGATGGCAAACTTTCTCTGGGGGAAAGCGGCAGCCTTCTTAAGCTGAGCAGGAGTCTTAGCATTGAGCTGGGAAGCAGTGAGTCTTTGTCTAATGGCTCTGGTTTGCTTGGCTCTAAGATCCTTGGGGACGTACTTCTTGCCCTTGTACAACTCGGCGAGCTGCTCACGCTGAGTGTTGTGGATGATGGTCAAGATGCGAGCAATCGACTTTCGGACATCGTTCAACTTGGAAGACTTGACGTTGCTGTTAGAAGCGTGCTGGACGCGAAGCTTGTTAAGCTCCTCCTTGAGGCTCTGGAGTTCTTCCTCGAGCTCAGCCTTGGATTTGTTCTGGAATTCAGCAGTCTTAGGGTTGGCCTATTTGACAAAGTTCATGTTAGCATCGTTGTTATTTTTTTAAAAATTAAATAATAAATGAGGTATCAAATATATATATATCAGAGAGACAGTATCTAAGTCATCTGGTATTTTCTTGAATCTCAAAGGACGGTATAGGTTTCACATACCATTTTGAAATGATTCTAAGAGGTGTCGATGTTGAACGATTCAGTCGAAACAGTCGAATAAGACGGGGGGAAGGGGGAAAGGGGAGGGGAAAAAAAAAAAAAAAAACGAGAGGTGGGAAAGTCTGTGTGTGTGTGTGTGCCAATACTGTCCTACTACCATCTTACACATAGAACCTCGCTCTCTCCCACATCACTGTACCTATACGGGAGCCCTTTCCAATTTGGCTCACCTAATACCTCCCGCGAAAATTTTCCACCGCCCTCATCCGTCAATAAGATGTAATATGTGTTGTAACAAGTGTAACGCCGCACTTCTAAAAAAATTTTCTTCACTGACTCTAAATAGACTTAGGTAAGTTTGTACATGTATATTACGTAACTGTACTTGAAATTAAAATTGCGTCGTTATAATTCAAAAATATTCAGCCGTATGGGTATTTAAAAAACCTAGACTCAAGGCAAATCAGACTGAAAAATACTGTAACAAGTGACTGCTAGGGTATAACCCTAACTAGATTATACGGCTGACTTGGGTTTTAAAATTTCCCCAGAATTTCCTAAAGTTTTACTCATCTTTTCTTATCAAGTCTATTATCAGTATCAGTAAATAATTTGTCCTGGACATATATATATACTTCGCTGCTAATCTATACCAAATTTTACTTGGTCTTTTTCTTCAATGTCTTCTTCTGTGTTTCCACATACTCCAGCTTAGAAGGAATTCCTAATCCAACTTCTTTCAATCTACCCGCACGGCAGATGCCGCTCGACACAAGGCTCTTGTAAGACAACCCGTCATTGACCACCGATGATGGCGTTATTTGGGCATAGTTTTCACGCAGCCCAGATACAGTAGCTGATGATGGTGTAGATGAACCAGATGCGCTTGCAGTTCCGTATTGACGACCGGCATCAAGAGGCACGCCAAATCGAACGCGCACAAACCCATATTGGAACGCATACAGAGCGCGCCACAGCCATGCGGCAGCTGAGGTTGGCGTAGGCGTGGCAATTGATGAGCGGCCGTACTTAATGGCTGTCGGATAAGTTGCACCAGCAGTCGAACTTTCAGCAGTAGAAGGTTCAGGCTCCGTCAAAAGAAGCGGCAAAAGACTTTTCCCGTTGGAAGATGTACCTTCAGCAAACACAACAACAACTTTCCCTGAGCCCTTGGCCTCACGACTGTACTCTTCGAGGGACTTTGAAGAAGAAGAAGAATTTGGCTTCGACAAAATGGTGGGCAAGCTTAGGGCTGCCAAAATGGCGCTGACAAGCGAGACTTTATTGTAGACAACAGATTTAGTATCGGCAGTGGCTACGGGAATGACAAAGATGGAATTAAATCTAAAAGAAAAACAACATCAGTAAATTGATTTCTTTTGTAGGAAAAGCAAAAAAGAAAAGAAAAGAAAAGAAAAAAATGCATAGTAACTCACATTGTTTCGTAGACAAGTGCATCCAAGGGAGAAACGTAATTGGTGATAATGATCGATCCAGGACCTGGCAAGTACTTGATTGCGTCTCTAATCCCCCACGCTAGTTAGTTTAAATAAAAAATAAATATAAATATAAATAAATAGTCCCCACCACCACCACCACTGTACTCACTTTTTCTTGGTTCCTTCTGCTTGAATATCCCAACTTGAAATACCTAAGAGAAACACTAGCAACTTCAAAAGCGGGCGCACAATGCCTGTGTATAGAGCTGCGGGTGAGGCTGGCACGACAGCGACGACTGCAAACAAAATGGCCACGAGTGGGGTCCGGATGATTGCAGAGACTGCAGCAACAACAAGTTCTACTAGAGATGCAGGTGAAATTCCATCCGTGGTAAGTTTGGCACCAAGTGGGTTTGCAAAAAATGGCCCAATACCCGTGGCCTTGTCGCGAAAATGAGAGTACTTTTCCATGGTTGGGATGTATAGATAGTTGATGTTTGTTTTTTAAGTAAGTTAGTGAATGAAGGGAAAAGAGGTGTAATGGCGATTTTGAATTACAAAAAAACGTGCGAAAAAAAAAGGGTTTGGAGACTGCATTTTGCCAATAACAAATACGGAAATTGCAACATCAAAGACTACACATTTTATTTTTGTTAATTTTTCAGTACGGCGATGCAATTCTCGGTTTGGTGTTTATTGATGATGGATGGATCCAAAGACTTTTTTGTATCAAAACAATTCTATAAGCTTTAATCTTCTATATAAACTATATTTATAAATAACCAGATAAAAAATAATAACCAAAATAATAAAAATAATAATAAGATCCCATTGTATAGTCTTCATATACTAATAATAATGATTAAACTCCTGTAATTTCCTTTACTTCTTTGCAGGACTACCAACGTGCGGGCTGCTAGATCGATGTTTGTTACTAGCACTGTGTCCAATACTTCCTCCTCCTCCATTACTGTGCCCCGAAGTTATGGTCCCCGGTGACGATGCCGCAGAGATTGAAGCTCCTGCACCAATCCTCGGCGACGGCGACCGGTACGGCTGGCTAAAGTGTAGAATGCTACGCTGCCGTGGTTGTGGTTGTGGTTGTGGCGGCGTTTCAGACTGTCCAAATTGTTGCTGAACAGGCAACGGCTGAATGTGCCCTTGCTGTTGCTGAAACTGTAATTGCAACGGTGGTGGTGAAACCGAAGATGACGGCAAGTCTGTACGGTCAAGAGAAAATGTATACCGATGTCCACGCTGAACCGACGAGTTTTGCTGTGACTGTTGTTGTGGCTGCTGTTGCTGCTGTTGAGGTGAAAGTGGTTGCTGCTGTTGCAAGCCTTGCGGCGACGATTGGATTGTGGGCGACGAAAGGCCTTCAGACAATGGCGCAGGCGATGCGGCACGTTGTTTGCGCGGCTTTTTCTTGCTTTTTCCCAGTGGTGTGCCTCGCAACAATACTTCTAGCCGGAACGGCGACTCCGAGCTACCATTATTCTTACTACTGCTCTTGGTCGAAGATGACGATAACGACGTATTAGGTGGAGGAGACTTACTGCCGGAAACCTGGCCAGGCACCTCAGCACCAGACACAAGCTGTGAATCCGATCCAAGCTCCGCTGCTGCAGCTGCTGCCGCCTGTTGCTGCATCGCATTGTAGTAAAACTGTTGATATCGCTGGTCATACGAGTCAATGGCGGCAGGCACTGGTGCAGATGGATACTGATGATTGTCCAGAGCAGTAATACCATCCAAACTGTATGCTGCTGATTGTGAAGCATGCAAGTCCAAATTTTCTTCGCTCTCGCTGCTCGGGTCCCCAAACATAAGATACGATTGAGAGTACTCAGGTTCGCTGCTCATACTAACAGACCCATGCTCTGAGGTTGGTGAAGCAATGCTGGCCATACTCAAAGAAGGACTTATCACGGATGCTGTGCTTGCAGCTGCATTGTTGTTGGTATTGATGTGCGACGACAAATGACCATGGCCACGCCTCAAGTGATTATAGAACCGTGTGCCAATTGTATATCTCGAATCAGAGTGCGAAGGTTGCGTGCCCTGCAAAATTTGCAATGTATGTTGTTGCTGGAGCTGTTGCAATTGTTGCTGCTGCTGAAGCTGCTGTTGCTGTAAAAGTTGTTGCTGTTGTAGAATAAGTTGTTGCTGTTGCAATTGCTGGAATGGACCCACGGGTTGCTGCTGAAGTTGCAAAAGCTGTAACTGTTGTCCAGTTGGCGACCTAGGATCCTGTTGCATATTTTGCTGCATCTGCAGCTGCTGCAATTGCAACTGATACAACGCTTGTTGTTGTGTTGGCGATGACGGCAACGTGACCTGCTGCAACCCATTATTGTTGCCAATCGAGTCTGCAAAAGACGTCTTGAACGAGGTCGAAGAAGGCGTGCGTGCTAACGAGCGGTTCAAAATAACAGACACTTTTTTATCATAAATCTGCGGTTCAGAGTCGACCGCATCAATAACATCGCTGGCATCTGTGTCCGTGACTGATGCGTCGCGTGTATGTGTTGGCGCAATAGTTTGGGCAAAAAACATGTCCAAGGTGTTGAGCTCAGCATACATGTGACTGAGAGTACCAGGCTCGTTACCAGACGGCGCAGATACATTATTGGCATTGTCGTATCGATGGTGATGGTGGTGGTGGTAGCGCGGGTTAATAACCTCTTCGCGATGAAACTGAAACTCTTCAGCAACAGGCATTGGTTCGTCAGTGACAGAACAAGTAATGTAGACCGAGTGTACATTGCTGCGGCAAGCCAAGCTCGCAGTTTTGAGTGCGGGGACAGCCCAACCAGTGGAAGTGGGCACACCAAACATTGTAGAAATAGATTCATACTCCTTGACAATAGCCTCGTCTCCTAAAATCATCTTGAGAACCTTCATGTCGAGCGGGCCAGAGTTGATATTTCCTGCTTGGTCAATGACATTAAGTGCACTTTCTGCATAAGTGGTTTGAAGTAAGCGCAACAGCGGCGAAAACAAGTCTGCTCCAACCCCTGAAAACTCACTACCTTGGAGATTGATAAGCGGCAAAAGCTTTTCCAAAAATGCAAGCGTCTCGGCTTTGATCCACGGCGTGCGATTGAATAACATTCCAAGCAAAAGAACCAAACAAGAACCAGCGTGGTAGGGGAAAAAGTTGGCCGAAATGGCAGATACACACTGTACAAGGAAATCCTTCTTAGACCGGAACTTATTTTTGGAAAGCGAGGTGAAGATGCGTGCCAGCCCAGGACGGTCCTCAGCTGTGCAAATTTGTGATAACTGGTTGGTTGACTCAATAACCTCCGGTGTGATATTGTTGGTCTCAAGAGCATGCAAAAAGCGTGGAATGTTGGCTACAACAGTGACACACAATCGCGACTCGCCCATGATTTGGCTATCCATAATCATACTAAGCTTGAATAGCATCTTCAAACACGGCTCATAGCCAATTGACGACTTGAGTCCACGCAAAACACAATTGTGGAGACCCGTAAAGTTGCCACGCCACTTGGACTGTGGGAAAACAACAACAAGGCGGTCCACATTTTCTTGCAGATTCAAATCAATCTTAGAAATGATGCCGTCAAAAATGCGGAGGGATTCGATAAACTCTTGCTCGTGAACAGAACCCAGACAAGCAACTGCAGCCCAAAAGAGCTGTGGGATATTCATGAGCTCTGTAGACGAAAGTTTGATTGTGATTTCGCGCAGAGTCATAAGAATTTGCATCGCAAACCCTTGAATGTCGGGCTTCTCATCCGCAATTGTGTTGCACAGCCGTCCCAACATATCGCCAAGCATGCTTGCATCAACGGCATGCAACATGCAGCGGAAGATTTGAAATGAGCGGCAAGCCACGTGGCGCACGGGGCAAGATGTGGCCCACGAGAGTGCCACGCGCGACCACTGCTCACGTAGGTTTGGCACGTCCTCAGCAAAAATGTCAATGATGTCATGGATCGTCTTGTTCATGCTCTTGGGCGTGCGCGCACCAATCTTGTCACTTGTCAGCTCGTAGTAAGACCACGACGTGCTTGAATCCCAGCGACGTAAAACAGTGATCAGCTCGTCAGCCTTGTTCGGATTGGTTTTGGCTAATGAGTGGATAACCATGATGAGCATTTCGCGAGCTTGCGCGCTGACAATGGAAGTATAGTGGTCAAGTAAGACATAGCACACATGAAGCAGGAGTGCAAAATTGGACTCGAGATACTGCGGCTTGTCAGTTAAAACATCCACCAAAAAGATAACAGCCAGCTGGCCCTTGCTAAAGCTTGCCTCCTTTTCGCCAGCGTCAAGCAAAGTGGAGATGTTGGAAACATGAGGGAATTGTGAAGCGGCATCGCTAATATCATGTGGAGATGGTTTTTCAGGGACAAGACACTTTGGTTCAAGATACGAAATCAAGTCATCAATGAGGCTAGCACCCACAGCTGTTGAAGACAGATACACCAAAATTTTGCGCACATGCTCAACAAACTGGGGGCTGCGACGCACAAGACAGTGGTGGATAATGTAGTTGAGTACAGCCTTGACATTTCCTGGGTATTTGCCGTTACCAATGGCAACCCATAGTGCTTCAACTTCATTTTGAATCTTAGGTGAAAAGATAACTGTGATTTCAAACAAGTTGTTCATGACCATGGTGGCTGAGGGACTCGGAGTAGACCCGTCAGCCTCAACTTGCAGCTCGACGGACTGGATCCACGGTAACAGGACGGCCAAAATGTCGCGGCGCGAGATATTGTCAACCTGATGGAAAAACATAGTCATTTCCGAGAAAACCATAAACGCCTCTTCTGGGTGCTCGAGAGCAAATCGGCTTGAGAGATTAAACATTGCTCGCTTGTAAACCGCAGAGGTGTTGCTCAGCAAACCGACCTCGTAGTCGCGCACACAGTTCCCATCATAAAACTTCTTTTCTGTGGCGGTCAACAGCTTGAGAGCAAGACGGCGCAGCTCCACATTACTGTCGCCACACTCGAAAAGACCAAGCGAAAGCACTTGCCACACCTTGCAAGGGTACTCGTCAAGCTGGAGAAGTACCTCGGCAATCGCCAAGAAGTAGCTCTGAGCAATTACATTGCCCGAATTTTTCTTGTAGCAGTTAGCAATAGACTCGCGGAAAATAAGTGTTTCCTCAGGGTTTGTGGAAAGCAGGTTTTTCAGCGCACGGCATGCAATCTCAATACTGTGTTCCTTAGAAGACTCAAACATGGCTTCAATTAGACTCAGCAAGCGAGATCGGCTAAAGTTCTCAAAGTATGGTGACTGCTGAGGCGATTCGCTGCCATTATTGTGAATGGGTCCCGAGCAGAGAGTGGCCATGGCACTCAGTGCCTTTGTTTCCAAAGACGTGCGCTCTACTTCAAACCCAGCAAGCGCAATTCTGCTGCCGTCGCGGGTATAGCCAAGAGACTTGAGCGCCGACTTCATCAACCCAATACGCCGCTCAGCAACACCCTCGTTGGGTCCAACACCACACCATTCCTCAATAAAGAAAAAGTACTTGACACGCATCTCATAACTGAAAAGAGCCCGGTTGGACGAGTCTTCTGGGTTACGTTGGACGCCAAGGTAAGCACTTTCCAAAAGGGAAGCGAAAAAAATTCGCAAGCGTTGGCACCCTGGATCATTTTGGACTTCTGTGCGGGACAAGAAAAAGCTCTTGATTTCATTTAAAAAAGTCAAGATTCGTTCAAGAATCCAAGTGTCCTCGTAAATGTGTTTTTCCTTAAGATAGTGGGCTGTTGCACTAAAAACATGCGCAATCTCCGTGGCAACGTGCTCAATCTTGTTCTTAATCGAAGGATCCTTGCGCGGCTGAGATAGATACGACGCAAAATCTTCCTTCCACTTCGAAATGGCCGGCTCCAGACACTCAAGCAAAGTCTTGTAAATGTTAATATTGACCCACGTCAAACTGGTGACCACCGCATCACGGATAATGGGATGCTCTACACCAAAGAGCGGGATGACGAGGCGGAACACCGAGCGTGCTGACGTGATTTTCTGGTGGTGGATCGTAATTTTTTGGACAGACTTTTTGCGGCCGTGCTGGTACTGGTTGGTTGGAACATGAAGCTTTTGCTCGTCGGTTTGAGTAAGTGTTGTACTGGCTACAATCAAATACATACGCCACTGCTCAATGACAAGCTCAGGATGCGTACGCATTGGGTGTTTGGGAGCAAATACTGACTGGATGGTTTGTGTGGCACAAAACTCCATGACTGTGTCGTGCATGCGAACCAGCTTTCCGCAAATGGTATTGCGACAAAGGGCAACGACAACAGGGTACGACTCAAAAATGGAAATCATAACAAGCGGAAATAGTTTGAGCCAGATTGCAGTGTCGACACCATAGTCGGACTCCGCAACGTAGACAAGACCACCTGTATGTTTCCCATAAAGTTTGTGAATGCGGCGGCGCTCGGGCGCGCTGAGCACAATTCTGTATGAAACGCTCTTGTAGAGCGTAAGAGGCTCAGTAGTTTCGAAAAATGAAATGAGGCGAGTAGACAAGCTAGGAGATTTGTCACTGTTTTCTTCGTTATTGTCGTCATCATCGTCATCATCGTCATCATCGCCATCAACATTTTCGGAAGAAGCCTGTGGAGGTGGGACAGAAGAACTAATGCTTGATTTTGTTGACTTTGAAACTGAGCTCAACAAAGTGTCAAATTCAGCAGTGAGTCTAAGTAAGCGAATAGCACACTGGCGAATGGCACGGTCTTGAGAGCAAAGGAAAAACAATCCATTGCCCTCAGCTTCCTCAACAATGTTCCAAATGCCGTTAAGTTTTTGGGTATCACTACGCTTTGCGGAATCAGTCGAGTCGTCGTTGGAGTTTGCGTGGCCAAAAACAAATGCAGAGTTGTTATTGTTGTTTCCATTGGAGTTGTTTGAATTGCCGCTATTGTGGTCCGTATTGTTCCATGGTGGCCATGCAGGTTGTGACCGTTGATTTTCTTCCTTTTCAATCTTGGAAGCAGCAACTTGATCTTTCCATGTGACGAGTAAGTCAATGTAAATGTTGAGAAGAAGTTTGAAGTCTGAGTGTGAAGAGAGAGAGGCATTGAAAGTGGAAAAAATTTTAGTATCGAGGTTGAAGAGGAAATTTGTGACAATGGGAAGGATGGTGACAGGGTCACGGGTAGAAATGAGGACCTTGAGGATGCGAGAAGAAGTTGAGCTAATGTTTGAGTCAGGGTTGACGGAATTGCGGCAAAGAAGCTCAATAATTTTGGTGGTACCGAGGGAAGATGGGAAGCACCATGGAATAGACTCAAGGATAATGCAAAATAAATCAGAGATGGCTTGTTTGTGAGAAGCAGCATTGCTTTCCTTGTCTCTGTTTGTGCCAAAATGAAAGGCAACGGGTATTTGAGTTTTGAAGGGGGTGGGGGTAACGTGAGCTTTTTCCTCAGTTATTAAAATATTGTAACCAAGGCTTGAATCGCATAGAATGAGGAGCTTGCCAATGAGCCTGCAAAATTGATCTTTTGTTTCTGAAAGTGTGATGGAGTAGTTTTTGACAGGTTTGGCGGCAGTTTTTGTAGGAAGGGTGTGGTAAAAGCTGTCAATAGATTCAGTGGTGGGGAACTCTGGGCGGGTGTTTGTCTCAAAGTCATTGAGTGTGTAGATAAAGGCTCTAATGGAGATTATGAGGCGCTCGGGGAAAATATTGTCAAGGGTAACTGTGGAAAAGTCCGTCATCGTTTGGGTGACATTTGGAAACATGAGCTGAAAGAAGATAGACTCAAGGGTATATTGAAGATGGCCGTATCCCACAACGCGAATAAAATAGCCGAGGGAAGCGGCAGAAGCTGGGTCCAGCGAAGTCCAAAAGCGCTTAACGCCGTGGGCTATTAGCGGCTTACATATTTGCTCCAACTTCTTGGTAGTGTTGTTGAGGGAGTCTGTACAGCGGAATAAAAAGACCCAAACAAGTCGAGTCACGGAAGTGAGGAAAATATTGCGAAGCTCCTTATCCTTGAATTTTGAAACGTGGCTTTCATAAAGAGGAATCCAGTTTGGCGAGAAGGATTCTGGTGGGGAGACACTAAGGATAGAGGTAGCCAAAGAAAAGGACCAGGTCCAAAGACTTGGTTTAGAAAGAAGCTTGGTGGCAGAGGCGTATAGAGTATCCATAGCTTTTTCCCAAGTGGGGTAGTTAAACTCAGCGGTAGCCGTTTCCGCAACAGGAAGGAGTAGATCACAAAAGACCTGAGCGTATGCAACCTTGATGCTTGGGTTGTTGACCAGATTGAAAAACTTGGCCAGCGAAGACAAAAAATCAGACGATTCTTCGAGTGCGTCCATAGGGTAGAGTTTGACCTTGAGATACTTCATTCCGTGGATGACGAGCTGGACATTGAGCTCACGCTCTTTGGCAATGGTGCCGGTGTGTTTTTCAAGTTCAATTATGAATTCGTCTGCAACGCCGGCAAAATGAAAGTTTGACATTTCACCAAGGAGTTCAGCAAAAAGACTCCAGTTGCCGGCGCGGAGGGGGCTTTTGGAAAGGATGTTTGGGTCAGTGCTTTTGAGCTGCTTGAATACGATTTCAGCGAGCTTACTTATGAGGGAATCGCCCAAGATATCTGGGGGGGTCTTTTTGACAATTTCCATGAGTACTCTGCAAAGAATAAAAATGGAAATAAAGCTTTTACGGTCAGCAATGATCTCCTCTTTACGCAGCTGGTCAACCTTGGACCCTGCACCACGATTATCATGGCCATTTGTACGAGACTGTTTTGCTAGAGCTTCAGTTAAAGCATTTGTGGCTTTGGCAGCGGCGGTAGCTTTAGTTTTGCGCCAAAACATGACTGAGTCTATGACAGGCTTGGGTTTACTCTTTGCCGTATCTCCCAAAAGTGAGATTGCATGATCAAACTCAGGGTCGATGCCCGGCGATAGCAGAGCCTTTACTGGTGGTTCTTCTTGACCAGAATAGGCATAACTGACACATGCATTGAGCTTCTTTTCCGCATATCTCACAAACTTTAAAAATTAAAAAAAAAAAGTTAGAAGTTTAAAAAAAAAAAAAAAAATAAATAAAAAAGCATACTCTAGTAAAAATAATGTGAAGAGCGTATTCAGAAGTATTTTTAGATTCAGCTGTCTTAGTACTAGTAAGAGTATTACTGGATGAAGAGAGGTTACGCGAGGCCGAGTGACCATGTCGGGAAGTGCTAATAAATTCCAGAATGTGTGGCGGATCAGCAGGTTTCTGGGGGGCTATAGGGGATGGCTGGGAATTTTGTTGTTGTTGATCTTGCAATATTTGAGTAGGTGGCTGGAACGTGTCTGCAATAGGGGATAACGAATCAGGGATGGTGATTCCTGCAAACCCGTCAGTCATGTCTGGAATTAATATTGTAGAAGGATCAGTTGGAGATAAAGGCATTGATGTAGATTGATCAAATGATAACTGTTGTTGAGGAGGTGGTGGTAATGAAATTTGTTGAACAAATGGTTGTTGTATCAAGGGTGCGTCAGAAATTATTTGGGAAGGCTGTTGTTGTTGATGAGGGGCGGGTAGCACCACATCCTGAGATGGTATTATAATTTGCTGAGCATGCAGCTGTTGTTGTTGTTGTTGTTGTTGTTGTTGTTGTTGTTGTTGTTGTTGTTGCTGCTGCTGCTGCTGGTCTGATGGGGGGATAAATATTTGAGCCATAGTTTCAGGAGGTTGAATGACGTTATTGGGGCCCGCAGTCGCAATAGCTGAAGATGAAGATGAAGATGAAGAAGGAAACTGGAAGAAAGTGGAAGCTGGGTCTTGCATGGTGGTAGAAGAAGGAGCTGAGGGGGCAATGCTAGATATATTTATAAGACTTGGTGTAAAAGAGTAGCGCGCAGACGAAGCAGACGAGGGTGGGTCGTGGGCTGTTGTGGCTGCTCTATTTAGGCTGACCTTGTAGGGCTGTTGATCAAACTGCTGGGAAGAGGCTGCGGGAAGGGATTGATTCCGATCATGGTGGTAGCCTATAGAAGGTGTAGTAGTTGCTGCTTGAGATTGAAGTTGTTGTTGTTGTTGTTGTTGTTGTTGTTGTTGTTGTTGTTGTTGATGTAGTATTTGAGCTTGCTGCTGCTGTAATATTTGGGCTTGCTGGTGTTGTAGTATTTGAGCTTGAGGTTGTTGTATTGAGTAAGCTGGATGAGGATGATTAAGATTATCTTGAGGTAAAGCCATGGACTGCGCATGAAAAGCAGCGATTTCAGCAGAAGAAATAATTGGGGTAGAAGCATTTTGAGGAGGATGAGGATTGAATTCAGCTGGAAAATCTTGTTGTAGTTGTTGTGATTGGAGCTGGTGTTGTTGTTGTTGTTGTTGTTGTAATTGTTGTTGTTGATACATGGCTGTGCTGGTGGTAGTAGTATTTGGAGTATTTGACAAAACAGCCACAGAAGCTGGTGGGACCATAGGATGGTTTGAACGAAGACTTGCGGAGCGTGAGATGCTTGTGATGGCAAATTGCTGGTCAAGTTGAGGGAGATTTAGGGGATCGATGCCAGTTGCGGCATCGAGGTCTATGGTGGCAAAAGCTGTTGTAGGGGGTTGTTCAGGGGGGTATTGGAAATGTTGTTGATGTTGTTGTTGTTGGATATGGATGTGGTGTCCCAAGTTGGGAGCTGTGGGAGTGCTTCTGATGTTAGAGGTGGTGGTGGGGAAAGATTGTGGTGGGACCACAGAGGCAGAGGTTCCCACATTAGCATTAGCATTAGCATTAGCAGCAGCAGCAGCAGCAGCAGCAACAGAAGCAGCCAAAGCCAAAGCCGGAGGGTCATTTTCTGGAGGGTCAAAAAATCCCGAGGAACGGAGTTCTTCGGCAGGGGTATTTGTACCGCTTAGCATTAGATATTTTGGTGCATTGAGTGGCAAAAGATGAAGATTCTAAAAGGATTTGGTTGTAGTGATTGTGTTGTAAAGAGATGTGATGATGAAAAAAAAAAAAAAAAAAAAAAATTGGCTGACAGGTGGTTTGAGGTTTGGGTTTCTTTGTTTTTTTTTTTTTTTTTTTTTTTTTTTGACTGTATTATTCTTAAGGAGGGGACGGGTGGGTAGAAAGAAATAAATTTAAAAGAAAGAAAGAAAGAAAGAAAGGAAAAAGAAAAGTCTGTGTGTTTGTGTTACAACATATGTTACATCCACTGTTACAAGTCTAATTGTAAATAATGCACGTGATATAAACATGTGATTAATAAAAAATATAATGTAACACACCGTTAATTTCAGCTCAAACGTGCGTAAGTCAAACAGCCACCATAAAAAAAAGTTCTGTTTTTTTGTTAAAAGGGATTTTTTTTTATTATTTATTTTTTAAAACTTCTACGACAATTGAAATTGGGTACACTCGTACAGTTTCTAAAGTCTTTTTTTTTTTTTTTTTTTTTAATATACAAGTTAAAAAAAAAATATAGTGACATTTCAATCACCCCCATATTTTTAAAACGATAAAGAAGAAGAAGAAGAAGAAGAAGAAGAAGAAGAAGAAGAAGAAGAAGAAGAAGAAGAAGAAGTTTCAAAAAAGGGTTTCATCTATTAGTTAGAATCCATTACACACAAATACACCACCTCCTGTGTTGTGTCTTCTGTCAATCTTCATCATTTCCACCCAACCAACCTCCTTGTTGATCTTTTTTTTTTTTTTTTTTTTTTTTTTGTAAAGCGTTCAATCATTTATGTTACTGTTACGGAGTTTTTTTTATATATATTGTATATATTTTTTTCTGTTGTCATCTTTAAAAGGTCTTCCTCTCTCTTATTTTTATTACTCGGGGCGTGCCTGCAGGATCCCCACACGCCTATTGGATCTTTTAATTTTTCACCACCGCCGCGGCTTACATAAAATTTTTTTTTTTTTTATTTTTATTTTTATTTTTTTTTTTAAATAAAATTGTGTCCAGCCAAGTCAATCAACCAACTAGCCAGTAATTCCGACAAACTATTGAACAACTATAGAAAGAGTAGCCAGAATAACCCAGCAGTAGCATTTACACCCTTAAATCTTCTTAGTTTTATCTATATATATACAACTAAAAGGAAACAATATTCCAACTGGCTTTTAAGACTTGAATAGTACTCTTAAGATCTACCACATATTTATAATATAATATATATATATATATATATATATATATACCCTTCATTTACACCCATATATACCCAAAATGTCGTTTGATGGAGTGCAAGATAATGGCCGCCAGTTTCTAGATCTCGGCGGCAAACGCAGAACCAAGTGGTGGCATGGCCTTAGTTCCGCCACTATTTTCGCCACAGGCATGCTAGCCAAAGGGTTTGCCAGCCTCATGCTCAAAGATGTCGAAGTATCAAATCTCGATATTCTTCAAGAAGCCCAAGAACGATGCAGGATCGAAAAGCGGGGGCTTATAACCATTATGAATCACATGTCTTTACTTGACGACCCATTTGTATGGGCTATTTTACCAACAAAAAACTTTACCAGCCCTGACCAAATTCGTTGGAGTTTGGGAGCAGATAATGTTTTATTTTTTAACGAGTAAGTTATTCTTAAGCAAAATAGGCTATCATATCTAACTCTCGAATAGGTTTCTTGCTTCGTTTTTCTCGTTAGGACAAGTTCTATCAACAAAACGGTTTGGTGAAGGACCTTTCCAGGGATCCATAGACGCTTCGATTGCACTGTTATCAGGATACAATACCCAACAACTACAAGACCCCAGAACCAATCTTCCACAAAAATACTGGATCAAGCGTGGGGCCGAAGCATCTGACCTACAAGCATCTTTTAAAACCAACTGGGTTCACATTTTCCCTGAAGGATTTGTGCACCAGGTTTACCCACCACACCGCTATACGCTGCGCTATTTCCACTGGGGTGCCAGCCGGCTGCTGCTAGAAGCAACCAAGCCGCCCATCATTGTGCCGATTTATGCGTACGGCTTTGACAACGTGATTCCAGAAGACAAGCAGGATGATTACTCGCTGTGGGGGCAGCGCAACAAGGCAACCCTGCGTGTGAAGGTGGGGCAGCCCATTGATGATGGTCAGGTGGCTTCGTTTCGTCAGCGATGGGCAGATTTGGTGGAGGAGGAAGAGGAGAAGAAGAGAATTAATGGTGGGGCCAAGAAGATTGTTGATGTTTCTTCTTCTTCTTCTTTGACAGACAAAAATGTAATTCCATTAAGACATGGCAATATGCCTGAAGAACTCAAGACTGGGACCCGAGCACAAAAGTTACGAAGCGAAGTTGCCTTATTTTTAAGGAGTGCACTGGATTCTGTACGCGAGTCGATGGGGCTACCGCGTGAAAAACTGGACTTTGGGAACCCTGCGTTCTGGGACCCCGAGACGGGTGGATGCAAGGATGTGCCTGTGATGGGAGATGTCAACAAGTTAGAGGTGCACAAGCTAAAGGACTTTTTCCATTTACTGGAAGATGAAGTAACACCTCCAAGTGTAACTGGAGGATCTGCGGTCCGTGGAACAGCGGGTTCAGTGTCGTCTTGTAAGTAAGAAGAGGGATGTTGTTGTTGTTGTTGTTGTTGTTGTTGTTTTGAGTGTACATAGTATAGTATATATATACAAATAAAAAAAAACAAAATACAGGTCAGTCAAGGTCTTTTGGTGTGTGTGCGGCTTGCTGGACTCAGGGGTATGCGTCGCAGCGTCCAAATAGACCTTTTGCTGCTATAAAAAGTGCCAGATCTGGGACTTTTTTTTTACTATTTTTTTACTATTTTTTTACTCCCTAAAATTTTTGTATTTTAACTAAAAAAAAAAACAACAACAAACAAACAAACTAAACAAACTAAACAAACTAAACAAAATAACCAAGTTTTTCCTTCACTACCACCATTTGGTTGCTTGAATAAATCTTTTCTAAATATCAGAATCAATCTCAATCTCAAATACCCACTTTATTTTTTTTTTATTGTTTTCTCTTTTTCTTTCTTTTTTTGTTTTGTTTTTGAATACATCCTCAAACTATGCTACATATGGCCTCATCGTCGTCGTCGCTTGGGTCAAGGCAACGGACTACTACAAACAGACCAAACTCTTCAGCAAGTATCGCAACAGCAATTACTCACGGTACATCATCAACCAAGTCAAGTTCTTCGAATACTCCAGAAAAAGCTTCAAAGAAAACTTTTACCACCTCTAATACCTCCATAATCTCAGATACCTCATCCGCATCATCATCTTCATCCACATCTCGTTCCATCAAACGTCTCAGTGGAAGGTTTTCCTGGCGTCGTTCAAGCATATTTTCTTCATCCTCTTCACCATCTTCTTCACAAGCTTATCATTCATCAACTTCTTCTCAAGCTTCTAACGGCAGAAAATATGGCTCTACAAGTACTTTTTACAATCCAGGTCACTTTCCAGTGATTTCTGAACCCATTCTCGAGTTCTCAACAGCTGACTTTGTCAACTCAACAGCCATAGATACCCACGCATTTGATGAACCACCAGCTGTGGTCCCACATCCTTCAGCAACAACGTCACCTTCACAACAAATGATAAGGCAATATCCTCCCTCGCAACACGCAATCAATACTCGCAACTCGTCAGTACTTTTGGGCCGCCGCGAAAGCGTACTAATTTCTGCAAACACAACAAGTCCATTAAAGAAACGACCAGAAAGTACTGGTAGTGGCAGGAATCTTGGACTACAACGGCGAGAATCCATAGCTACCAGAAATAGCCTTGTTTTGGGCGCTGGATCGCCCCCAATGGTCCATGCTATCAACATTAAAAACAACTCGCAAATCCCGGCAGCTAATGCTCTGCGGCCACCTGTGGGGCTCGATGCACGGCAATATAACCATCAGCAGTATGGGGGATCACAGAACAGAATGAGCGTTGCGAGTCATGCAACGGTCATGAGCGGCAGTGGAGGAGGAGGAGGAGGAGGGCTGGTAGGTGGGTTGTTGCCTACACAGTATACAACAGTTGAACAAGAACCAGGCACAAATAATAATTATAATTATAATCATAATAATAATTATCATTTGGGAGCAACAACAGCAACAGCAACAGCAACAGCAACAGCAACAGCAACAGCAACAACAACAACAACACTCGAGGGACCCACCCAGCAGCAACTCCAAAGTCAGACAAACCAGCAGCAAGAAAAACACAAAAAGCCAGTAGAGCAGGCGACTCAAACTGAAGCGTACCCAGAAACAGTTGCAGAGCTATATGAGCGATTGAGCCCCAAAGACACAAAGGCAATTGATGTACTACTGGAGTACCAAGAAAAGCTCGGGGCTACGCGCCGGCGCGTGGCAGAGCTCGAGTCGCGGGTTTCGCAGGAATCTAAACTGCGGCGGGAAGCAGAAGCAGCTTTAGCAAAGGCTGTGGCTGGCAAGAAGGAACGAGACGAAAAGGTAGTATCCAAAACAGTGCACCGGCCACCACACTTGGTTTTGGTGAGGCCGCAGGAGCAACAAGTACACTTGTCTGGGTTAGTAGACCACGAGTCAGCTGGTAGTAACAGTGAACTTGCAGGAACTCGCGAAAGCGCAGCTACTATCTTAGTCCCTCCGCTACACTTGAGTTCCAGCTCCAGCACTCTAATTCGACCCCGGAGCCCTGATGTGCCACTAAACCACCAGGGAGCATCGTCTTCTCCATCCACGACCTCTGCGCTACGTGCGGGCTCGCCATCGGCACTACTTGCAAGGATTGGGGCGCTGGAACAGCAGCGTGAGAGTTTACGAGAAGCCCTCAAATCACTGCGTACAACTAAAGACCTGGAATCCAAGCAACACGAGGAAACAGTGGCACGGCTGCGGCGGATGGCGACGCAGCAGCGGGTCGGGCGGCCCGGGTCTGCGACATCGGGGAGCATGTTTTTGTACTATAATGGAAGCAGCGCTGGATCATCGCCTTCGGCGTCACCCATTAGCTTATCTCTACAACAGCAACAGCAGCAGAAGCAGCAACATCGGGACGACGCGGAGGTGGAGGATAGCGAGATGGAGCTGGAGCCAGAGAATGAGAGGAGTGGGAGCAGAGGTAGCAGTAGCAGTAGCAGTAGCAGCAACGGTAGCAGCAGCGGCAGCGGCAGCGGCAGCGGCTGCAATGGGTCTATGCAGAGGGGTGTGGCAGCGGCAGGTTCCGGCCACATTCGACGGCCTTCGCTCATGTTTTCAACACCACATGTTCTTGACTATAAAAGGGCGGCAGCTACGAGTTTAAGTTTGAGTGGAGTTGGTAGCTGCAACAATAACAACCACAGCAATAACAATAACAATAACAATAACAATAATGGGTTGTCTATAAATACGGCAGCAGCAACAACTAATATAATTTCACCAAGGTCGCCGCTATACCAATGCACAGATTTGTTTGGCGATGACCATACGGAGCCCATGTCTGAGGACCTTGATCACAGTCTTGTGTCTAGCACTCACTCGTCTCCTGGGTCATCATCATCGTCGAGTGGTGTGCATACTGATTTGTCTATGTCACTGAGTTTTGAAGATGACTCGGTGACCACCACTGAACTCCTCTCCTCTCCTGAGCAGTTGCAGCAAAATCAACAAACAAGGACAGGGACAGGGACAAGGTCGGATTCTAAGGACTTGTTACATAAGAAAAGCAAACCCAAATTGAGACTTCACGAATCAGCAAGACTCAATATTTCGACTCTCACGTTTGGAGCAGGCTCTGGCACGCGCTCGCGACCTAGCGTCGCAACCCCAGTATCCGCATGCAGCACTGCTTCATCTGTGACAGAGTCAGAAGAGAGCAGCGGGACTCCTACGCATGCACAAACCATTCAGTTGTAATTTATTTTTTACTTTATTTTTTAATTTATTTATTTATTTTTTTATCATTAATTTATTATTATTATTATTATTATTATTATTATTATTATTATTAATTTAATTTAATTTATTTTATTACTTCATGTATTTTTCAAACTTCAAATCTAATAATAATCACCGGCGCCGGGCCACACCCCAAAAGCTACACATGGACGAAAAAAACAAATAGTAAAACAAGACAAAAAACAAGACAAACACATTAAAATTAAACACCGCAAATAGTACCACAAAGCCTGCGTAATCACGCACTAGCCTCCACTGCAACAGGCGAGGAGTTTGCTGCAGCCGCTGCTGCTGATCCAAGACTGGTTGTTGACGAAGTGGCATTTGTTGGAGTGGTGGCAGTGGTTGCACTGGCAACGGGGATAGCTGTTGGCGTGTCGAGATTACCAGAGTCAATGTCTTCTGCTGAGGTTGTTGCTGCTGCTCCTTCACTAGTACTCCCCTTGCTCAAACTCTTCAAGCCTTCTCTAGTCGATGTCAAAACATGGCCTGCATATACAACACCTTCACCAGACAATTGCTTAAAAGTAGCCACAGATGCATACACTGGTCCTGTAACAATCTTATCTTTACCATAAGCAGTCAGTTTTTCATCATAAACATGTAAAATGTGTTTACGAGTAACTTCAGGCAATGTCTTCAAGTGGCTTGCTTGTACATCAAGCAATGGTCGCGCTTGCTGAAGAGCAACATGCGCCAGGTAAACAGTTCTAGCCACTTCAGCGCTGACAAATTTTTCCGATGGTGCTTGTTGTTGATCTTCTTCTTGCTGTAACGAAACACTAGATTCAGGGAAAAAGTGTTTAATCAAAAACTCAAAGCGGTCGTTAAGAGGGTGGATAAGAGGGTCCACTTGGGACTTAATTGTAGAGCTTTTAGAGTCATAAACAGTGGTATAATGTTCCTTAACACGCTCGCCAGCCTTTTTAAGAGGCTCGACAACAGAGGTACTCAAGCGGTCATGGGCAGCGGTAGAGTAAGCCTCAGCAGTTGACTTTACAGTTTCATAGGGTTTGCGGGCCAGGTCCACAGCATCAGCAGGGGTGGTAGTCTTGAGCAGAGGGAAGTTTTCATCGACGCGTGACAAAATCTTATCTCCGAAAACATCTGCCTTGGCCAGGACTGGAGTGGCGCGCTTGACAACGGGCTCAGAAATGGGCTTGGAGCGTTCCTTGAGTGAGTCGAGATAAGGACGGGCCGAGGTGGAGAGGCGTTGGACAACTGGGATATGGGTTGCATAGTCGACAGCAGCATTGACAGCGGGGTACGAGTAAAGGTGGGTGAAAAAGAGGGATTTTGGGTATGAAGATTGCTCGGGTGCAGTTGGAGTATCTTGGGGAGTGTCAGCAATGACAGAGCCGTTTGTAGACATTTTTAAAAAAATTTTTTTTTTGTGTAGTAGATAGATAGATAAGAGATTAAAAAATGGAGAGATAATAGGTTACTCTATGGGAGAGATTGATATAAAGATCCAATCGAGAGAAACAGCGCTTGGAGAAGCAGAGAAAAGGGTCAATGGAGATGAGATGAGAATAGATAAGAAAAAAAGAAGAAGAAAAAAAAAATTTTTGTAAAAAAAGGTGAGCAGGTCGTCGAGTATTTATAGGCGGAGCACAGACGGAGTTTCTTTTGTATATTTGTATATATATATATGGATATTGATGGGGTGGGAGAATAGAAAAGGCCCCGACAAGGGTGATGTTGCGCCATGTCAAAAAGCTTGTCGCAAACGTGTGAGAATTACCCGGCCAACCTTTTAGAATGGCTTTTTGTTTATTAGTGCGGCGCAGCAAAGAAATAAATAATTTTTTTTTTTTTTTTGGCATGTGAAAGTTTGGGTGGCCCAGGAATCATCTGGAATTCCACCAGTGACAAACCCAAAATCAAAAAGACTTTAGGAATTTGATGACGATGTTTGAAAAAAAAAAATAAAAAAAGAAAGATTGAGATCAAAAAGAACCATATCTGACTTAGGTTGATAGGAAAATATAAAAATATAAAAAAAAAAAAAGTTTGATCGGGAACTCATTGAAGACTTAATGTTTATGCTGGATGGCAAGAAAGGGGCGTAAATTTAACAATTGGTAAATCAAAAAGAAAAGAGTTTCTTTATTTTTCAATTCCTTTTTTCCGTTATATAATAACATTAATTCATTAATGTTTCTACATGATTGTATCATTGTTTATTTAACAACTAAAAAAAAAAGATGGCCTGTTTGAATTGAATTCCATTCACAGTAAAAAAAAAAAGAGATAACAATCCTAATATCATAATCTTCAAAGTTTAAATTTATATATATATATATATATATATATATATAGGCCTTTTTTTTTCACAATTATATTGCTTAGACTGGACCCAACAAAATTAGAGTTACAAAGGGTTCTTTAGTATTTTTAAAAGAATTGGGAAATACAGTGGAAATCTTTTATTTTTTTTTTTCAGATATAGAAGTTCGGAAAAACAAGACGACGTAGAAACATTAGAGAACAATTGCGGTTACCGTCGGGAAATGCAAAAAAAAAAAGAGAAAAAAATAAAAAATCAAAAGAGGAGGAGATTTTGAACATTTTAAAAAGGCCTTTATGAAGACCAAATGGTTTTCATTTTTTTTTCATTTTTTTTTTTGCTCAGAGTATTTTTTTACTGACATGTGAAAATGAAAATGAAAAAAAAAGACAAAGCAAACTTTTTCGTCTATTTTTGGGAATTTGTCATGACTTTTTTTTTTTTTAAAAAAAAGGGTCTATTTATTGTCTATTGAATAAATCAATAAATCAATAAATCGATCAATCAATCCAATCTAATAATTGTTATTATATCACAAAGCAATTTTTTTATTCTTGCTTTCAATGCTGTTTAAACTTAATAAGCTTATTCCTTTAAAATATTAGAATAGAATAATAATAATAATAATAATAGTAATTATTATTATAATGACTGTAGACGGCAGGAGAAACCGCTTATCTAACCAAAAAAAGAAAAAAAATACAAAGAACAAAATTGTTCCGAGGCACTTGAAACTTAAGACTTAATAAATATTACATGTGATATCTGACATTAAAGATAACACATATGCTTTAAAACATAAAGCTGCAAGGCTGTGCAAGGTAAGAAATATTGTGTATGACGTTAATATGACGCAAAAACAACAATAACAACAATAACAACAAAACATTGAGATTAATATTTGGGTAGATTTATGGATATAGACATATGTTTGTTACACGTGAATAAGTTTAAATAATAAAAAAAAGAAATAAGAAAAAAAAAAAAAAAAGAAGAACCCATTTTTTTTTATTTTTTTTTATTTAAATCTCAGATGTTTTTTTTTTTGTGTTTTTAACTCCCTAACTCCTGATATTTCTTTTCAATCGCTTATTATTGTGTTTATAAATGCACTTTTATGTTCAGTTTATGTTTTCCCCTGAAAAAAAAAAAAAAAAAAAAAAAAAACCAAGATCCTGAGCCCCCCGTGTAAAACTTCTCCTGCTTTTTTTTTTTTTTTTTTTTTTTATATATATGTATAAGAAACATAAACAGTTTACTAATTGCAGGTTGACCCTAAAGAATATTTCTTTTATTATTGTATTTTAAATTTTTTTTTTTTATTTATTTCCAAAATCAAAACAAAACAAAACAAAACAAACAAAACTAGCCAGTCAACCCTTTTAATCTGTTGTTTTTTGCCCACACAAAACAAACACGGCCCGGAGGGACCACTGTTGTTATGGTTACCCGTATGCCTATTTATTTATTTATTTATTTTTTTTTTTTTGAGGTTGTTTTGTTGTTTTTTAAGTTACCTGGTTAACGCAGTTTGACCGTTTTGCTTTTTGAACAAAAAAAAGACGCGTTGTTTTTGTTTATAAAATTTGTTTATATATATATATATGAAAAAAAATTCTTTTTTTTCGTGTTTGTTTGTTTATTTATTTTTCAATTCATTTTTTAAATAAAAATTTCAATTAACAAAAATATTCAAAAATATATATCCAACGTTCCTTTTTTTCTTATTTTTATTTATTTATTTTATTTTGACCCAATTATAGTAAAATGTTTTAAACACAAAAATAATAATAATAATAATAATAAAGTCTCTCAATAATAAACAAACAAACAAAAAATCCATTTCATCCCCTACTTTTTTTTTTTAATTTTTTTTTTTAATTTATCCCCCTAATATCATTTGTACATATACCTTCAAAAGCCTTTGAAATTCTTCAAAACTTGTCTCAAAACCAAACTTTTAATCAATTTCATCAATCATGGCCTTGGATCCAGAGCTTGCCTCAAACTCCTGGCGTGGAGTCTTTCAAACCCCTCCTCTATCAAACAATAACATTAACATTAACAATAACAATAACAACTCAGATACTCCACGTTCATCCATTCATCAAATTCATCCAAACAATAATCAAAAAAATTCAATCCCAATAAACAATCATAACTCTCTTCATCCAAGGCATGCTCATCATCCATCAACTTCATCAATAGACTCTTCTCCATCTGCAACTTGCTCCTCCTCCTCCTCATCGTCTTGCGAGTCGCCTCCCATCGACTGTGTCGATCCAGCCCTTTACCTTCTTACAAGAAACCTCGAGGACCTGAACATCTCACCATCACTCGCGTCTCCCCAAAAGCTCTCAAGCCAAACAACGTCTTCTACACCCTCTAAAACTGCTATTCACAAGACTATCCCTCCATCAAAGTCTCCAGGACTCGCTATAGCAAACTCTCAAGGTGTTGTTCTACAATCCTCTCGAACACAACACCCCTACGCGTCCGCGTCAGTCCCTAAATCTCCCGTTTTTAATGACTCTTTCGACCCAGCAACTGCAGCATCCTTTTCCCAGTTCTTTGACCCGTACGGTGACTCTACAAATCTCCACCAGCATCATCACCACCGTCTTTCACTCCAACAGCTTTCGCCATCTCCAGCTACCCCGAAATCTTCGGCGCGAACAGTCGTTGCCATGGCCGCAATGAACGGTACCCCCTTAGCGCGTACTTCTCGCGCGTCTTCTCCAGGTGCAAAACGTTTCCCCAACTTTTCGCGACCCGTCTCGAGTCCAATAATTCCTTCAATATTTTCTCCTGAAACTGATGCGCCTAGGGGTCCTGCATTATTAACTACCCCAGACATTTCAGAATCTCCAAAGCTCTCGTCACTGGACCAGTACGCGTACAACACGCTCCACATGCGAATTAAAAAGAGCCCACTGACTCCGGGACCTCTTTCAGCAGCCGCAACTGTCGCAGCAGCAGCAGCAGCAGCTGCAGCAGGGGACAACAAAAGCAGTGGCAAAGATTCTGGGCAGATCCGCAACTTTGAGCTGTTTTACGACGTCGAGGACGACAAGAACTACTGCGATGACATTAATGAGGACATACAAAACTTGGACCCGCTACCGGGATTCAAACTCCAACCGGCCCCGCCACCGCGCAAAAAGTCTCCACCCTCGGTGCTTCCTAAAAACAAACAACCGACTTGCATAATACCTCCTCCAACTACTACGGCCACTGGAATAAAATCTACGAGACAGGGTAGGATCCTACCGCCGCCGCCACCTCAATCCCCGCGTCGAGGACTTAAAAAATCTGCCCATAGTGACTTTGTGATTTTCGAAGACGCTGCTGCTCAGCCACCCAAACAAGCTTCACCTCCATACTCGTCACCACTCTCGGCCGCACCTACCACCCCACCCCAACAAGTACATCAACCAGCAAAACCTCTCAAACCCACGTCAGTGACTGTGTCCGCAACCCCTCTTCAAGCTCAACAAGCTCTCCACCAACATCAACACCAACATCAACATCAACATCAACATCAACACCAACACCATCTCCATCTCCACCCTCACCATCATCATCACCAGCACTCGCGCCAAAACCAAACAGCTCTTTTGTTGACCCCCTCAAGGTTCCAGGATGCTCCTCTTGCGCTCCCGAAACAGCGCAAAAGCCCATCTCCGTCGCCAACAGGTACCGGTAACAAGGAAAACGCAGGTATTTCGGGGATCTTTCCAAGTGCAAGTAGCCCCACCCCAGGTGCAAGCTCGACTGGCACTTCGCACGGCGGTCCTTTGTCTCCAGGCATACACTCAGGTACCACCAGTCTTCCACGCTCTCCGCTTCTGCCAGCCCCACCAGTCGTCCACTCACTACCAGCGCTGCCAGCACTTCCTGGCCTGCCTCAACCGTCGTCGCCAGCCCTCAAGACTACAATTAACAACATCCACAACAGTGGTGGTGCCAGCGGAGGATTGTCGCCGTCGGCTGCACTTTCAATGCGGCTGGGCCGCTCGGTTGGTGCACTGGAAGTCAACCGATCCGAGCTTGATGAACAAACAGCAGCGGCCTCTATTGTGTTAGGACCCAGGCCACGACGATTAACACGATCTGTGGCGCGGTCATATGCTAACGCTCCATTGTCTCCTGTATCATTACGAGCTGCTGCGGCCGCTTCAGGGAATGGAGTATCGAAGCGTAGCGCCGTGGTTGTTTTTGATGACTTTAATGATGAGTTTGATGACAATGGAGAAGATTTCGGGTATCTCGAGAAGGACAATAGATTTTTATTGCGGGGATGCGGGCCCGGTGGGTTGTTGTTGCGCGAGGCTTCGGAGCAGACGGCTTTCCCACAGCAAAATACCAAGAATGAAAACAATAACAATTGGGTTGCTGAGGAAACACAAGAAGTGGCAGCAGCGGGGTCCGACCAAAAAACATTGTCGGAAACCCGCCAATCTGCTTCTTCAACCACTTCAACAACAACAACAAAAACAACAGCCACTTCACCATCATCATCATTATCATCATCAACAAGCTCAAATTCAAGTTCAACATCTGTTTCCAGCACGATAACTGAAAATACGACGTCTACCACCTCTTCGAAGAACAAGTCCAGGAGTTCTTCTATAGATACACCAGTGATACTACTCTCAACGTCATCATCTTCTAATACCTCTTGCACTACCACCACAGTTCCCACCACCAAAAAACGAGCCAAACGGGCTGCAGGCAGCCGTGTATCGGGCTCTAGCGCATTGGCTGGCTCCAGCCCGCTTTCCATTTCTGGTACTGGATCTGGAGGCTCTTCTTCAGCCCCATTTGTTCTTCGGCGTTCGCAACGGATTCGAGAACGCGAGCGCGAGCCTAGACCTCCTTCTCCCGGCCGGCGGTGTGTTCCACGACACACGGAGTTGGCACCGCTCAAGTCTGTACTTAAGAAAAGCCACAGCGAGTATCCACAGATTGTGGTGAATAGTAGTGTGACTGGAAGCCCTTCTTCGCTAGTTACGGCATCGACAACATCTGGAGGCAGGGGAAGGAAGCAGGGCCTGAGGCCTGTAGCATCGCGGTACCGGAAGCGAGTAGCAACGGTATCTGTAGGAAGTGGAGGGAGTAATAGAATAGGAGGAGGAAGTTTTGTGTCATCGATTCATGAAGTTAAGAATAACGGGAAAGATGAACATGCTGATCTGCGGCTGAAACGGAAACGAGAAGTTTCACCCCAATATATACAGCGGCAGCAGCAAAAACAAGAAGAACAAGAAATTAAGGCGGCTTTTAAAGAAGAGGAGTTGAAGAAAAAGGGTGTTAAAGAAGAGGATGAAGAGGAAGAGGAATATGAAGAGGAATATGAAAAAGGGAAGGAAGAGAAGCAGGCAGATGATGACAATGATGAAGAAGACCGGAAACAATTGTTACCAGCTGTGATTATTACAGGACTTGAAGAAGAAGAGCAAAAGTCTAGGAATGAATCACAGGGTGAACCAAAGGAAGGAAATGAAGAAGAGGGGATGCGGAGTAGTCCTCATTTGGGGTTCTATAATGTGGAAGATTTGAAAAGGTTTGAAGAGGAAAATAAAAAGAAGAGTAAGAACAAGAATAAGGAAGAAGAAGAAGAGGATGGCTGGGAAGAAGCAGAAGCAGAAGCAGAAGAAGTTGAAGTTGAAGTTGAAGTTGAAGAAGAAAATGGAAATGGAAATGAAAATAAAAATGAGAAAGAATTATTAAAACCACAAAGGGAAAGTGCAATTGAAGAAGTTGAAATTGCAAAGTCTCGGGTTTCACCAGTGCAACAGATACGATCTGAAGGCCGTTCTCCACATAAACGTGTTGAATGGGCTGCGCAGTTAGAGTGGTGAATAAGGTTTTTTTTTTTTTTTCATTTTAGGGATTTATATATATTTTATTTTTTTTGCATTATTTAGATTTTATTATTATAGTTATTAAATTATTAAAAAAAGAGATAGAATAAAAACAAAAAAAAGAAGAAGAAGAAGAAGTTATTAAAAGAAGAAAATAAAACGTTTAGTAGAAAGTTGGGCTATCTTAAAAAAAATTTTTTTTTTTTTTTTTTTCAGATTTAATTTTAATGCCATATACTATCGAGTAAATTAAAATAAAAAACGAAATTAATGCAACAATTCATTAATAAATGGAGTAAAAAACATGGGGGTATGAATAAGATTATGAAAAATTCATTTAAAATTCATTTAAAATTTAAAAATATATATATATATATATATTTGCAAAATATAAAAAGCCCTGAATCTATCTGAAAAAAAAAAAAATTTCATTATTAAATCAGATATTTCAGATATTTCAGATATTCCGGATATTCCAGATACTTCAAATATTTCATTTCATTTCATTTGAATAAAAATTAAAAAATAGTTTGTCCACTACCACCACCATGAAATTTTTAATTGCTTTCCTTTCTACACTTTTTATTTCTGTTGCATCTGCACAATCTGTTCCTCAGTGTGCATTCCAATGCATGAATCAATTTCAACAAGATATTGGGAACAGTGGGTGTGGTCAATTGAATCAGCAAAATAAGGCTTGTTTCTGTTCTAAACGCAATACGGCATTCCAAGGTTCAATGAAGTGTGTCAAGCAGGCATGTCCTTCGAATGATGCAAATACTATTATTCAGTATATGATGACTCAGTGTTAAAATTATCCATTAATTAGAGAAGAAGCTTAGTCTAATGAATTAATGATAATTTCATTATTAAAATAATGAGTAATTATTAGAACATGAAGGTTATTTAGAATATACTTTTATAAACAATATCGATATCATATGTTGAACCAAACGGCTAAACAAGAAATGGGTGACACTATGTAATATGACGACGACGCATTTGAAAAACACCCAAAAGATTTCTGGTAGTAGAATTTTTATATTTTTTCATTATTACCATTATTATTATTATTATTATTATTATTATTATTATTATTATTATTATTATTATTATTATTATTATTATTATTATTATTATTATTATTATTATTATTATTATTATTATTATTATTATTATTATTATTATTATTATTATTATTATTATTTCTACTATACTAATAAATAGAAATAATTGTTCATGAACAAAATAGGTTTCAATGAGTATCATTTTGGGTCCAACTAGACTAGTTAATTCCAATTTTGGTTAGGAGAGTGATATTTCTTTATCAAAAAAAAAAAAAAAAAGTCTTTATATCCCCTTATTTCTTATTTCTTCTTACTCCTCCTCCTCCTTTTCTTCTTCTTCTTCCCCCCCCTCCTCCTCCCTAAATTTAAGTTTAGATTATCGTGGCTTGCAGAGAATGTGGAGATGTTGTTGTCGCAATCGTCATTGAATTATTTAAAATTCATTTGTTGTTGTTGTTGTTGTTGTTGCAAAAGTGGCTTTTTTTTTTAATGTTTAAGAATAATGAAGAAGTAAGATGTAGATCCATAATTTTGGGTACAAAAGAAATAAAAAAAAAAAAGGTGGTAATAATAATAATAACAATAATAATTTTTGGGTACTTTTATATAGAATGATTATTGATTTTCACATATTATTATAATAATAATGATAATAATAAAATCATTTATATGTGAAAGAAAGCCACAAAAAAAAAATGTTGATGTTATTTTTGTTTTTAACTATTCTTTTGTTTCTTCTTTTTTTATAATTATCACAGTTGAATATACTCTACGGAGATCCGAGCAGAAACAAAATAAATATCTCATTTGAGATTTAAAGAATGCCTAGTAAGAAAGAAAAAAAAAAAAAAAAAAAAAAACAAAGATAGATATATAGATAGATACACTTTAAGATTGCTTTTTTTTTTTTTTTAAAAAAAAAAAAAAAACTCTTCTAAATGCTTTTCCATTAAAGCGCCTTTTACTCTTCATGGGTGAAATCAATTATGAAAGATAAAATAAAATAAAAAAAAAAAGTCCCAAGTTGAAGGTAAAATTTGAATTTTTTTGAATTTTTTTGAATTTTTTTGAATTTTTTTGAATTTTTTATTGAAGATTTAAAAGTATTTAATTTTTTTTTTTGATAAATAAATACATAAATAATAATCAATCGGACGGAGTTGTGGCGCATGACACTTTTATTTTATTTTAATTTTTTTTTTTCCCTTCTCCACCAGATCAAGTAGCCTCAAATGATTTTCGGAGGTCCGTCAAGAATATTTGAAAAGTTCAGCCACAGTTCTTTTGTTTTGTTTGGTTGATATATAAATTTTTTTTTTTTTTTTTCAGTGGCTGTTACTACTGTGTAGATTTGAGATTGTATGTATGTATACATATAGATATATATAAAATTAAAATTAAAATTGTGGCTTGCTGGTATTAAAAAAAAAAAAATTTGGATTTTTGTGTGTGTTTGTTTGTTTGTTTGTGTGTTTGTGTGTTTGTGTGTTTGTGTGTTTGTGTATAAGTGTGGCTTTTTTTTTTTTTTTTTTTTTTTTTATTTCTTCCCTGCTGTCTCTCTTTTTTTTTTCTCTTAAATAAAATGACGCCATCTGTGGCTTTTTGTCACGTAACGTCACGTGAAAATAAAACTTTCTGTGGCGGGTTATATAGAATTATTTTTTTTTTTTTTGAGACGCCACAGTAGAGTACATTGACTAATGTCACGTGGAATAGCACCACTCATAGATGCTTTGATGGAGTAACAAAAAAAAAAAAAAATACAAGCAAAAAAATAAAAAATAAAAAATAAAAAATAAAATTGTATATCATCTATAATAAAAGATTCAATTGAAAATTCAAATCAATTAGAATCTCAATTTTTTTTTCTTAAAGATTAGAGATTCAATCAAAATAAAAATAAAAAAATAAAAAAATAAAAAAATAAAAAAATAAAAAAATAAAAAAATAAAAAAATAAAAAAATAAAAAAAGACGCACTCCGTTGGTTATCTAACAAAAAAAAAAAAAAAAAAAGGAGAACCGCTAAGGTGTTGGTGTTGATGTAGTTGAAATTGTGAAATTGTGGAATTGTGAAATTGTGGAATTGTGGAATGAAAGGGCCCCATTGCAACAAAAAAAAAATTTAAAATAAAATAATTCAAATCCCTAACCCAAACCGATCACTTTTTTAACATAAAAAAAAAAAAAAAAAAAAAAAAAAAGATTGGCAAGGTTATTTTTTTTTATTATTTTTTTTTTTATATAAAACCCCCAGGACTTCCCCAAATCTTTTATTTTGAACAAATCTTTTATACATACAATTTATTTATAAATATCCAAATATTTTCTTATTTATATATTTACAATATAAATATACACAATGAACCATCCAACATCCATTGCAGATCTACTAAACCATCCTTTACCTCCTCTTAAAGAATCTCTCCCATCAACTCCTCTACAAGACTCTTCAACCCCTTCAACTCCAACCGCATCTTCCTCTACATCCCCACAACCAGTCCTCTTTAACCACAATAAACCTGTCATCAACACTCGTGTCCCTGAAAACAGAATGAAAAAATACTGCTACAGACATCACCCTGAGGTCTCGTGTAATCGCCAAGCTGATGCAAACCAAATGACTGAAATCCAAGGTGATATCGACAAGCTCTCAGATGTAGACCGTACAGCCATCTCTCACGTCTGGTCAATATTCTCTGCTGCACCAGCAAGCCAACGATCTCTTATCCTCAAGGGCCTTCTTGCCCAATGTTGTTTCCCACAACTCTCCCAAGTCTCTTCCATGCTCGATAACCTCATTCGAATCGATTTCCTCTCAGCCCTTCCACCAGAAATCTCTTTTAAAATCCTTTCCTATCTTGACTCAACTTCACTCTGTAGAGCTGCCCAAGTTAGCAAAAAGTGGAAACAATTAGCAGATGATGATATTGTTTGGCACAGAATGTGTGAACAACACATTAACAAAAAATGTACAAAATGTGGCTGGGGTCTGCCGCTGCTCGAAAAGAAGCGCCTTCACGACTCTAAGCGCGCTATTGAGGCCCGCCTCAAGGCCATGAATGAGGGTGCAGCCACAATAAATGACCACGGTAAACGTCCAAATGAATCTACATCTTCCTCTTCAGAAATCCAAACCAAAAAACGACGAACCCGCCCATGGAAAGATGTTTACAAGGAGCGCTACTGCATCGAGGCTAACTGGCGCAATGGCCGTTACCGTACTCTCACTTTTGAGCACCCATCCCCAGTCCTGTGTCTCCAGTTTGATGAACAATATCTCATCACTGGTACTTATGATGGCCTCGTCTCGATCTGGGATGTGGAAACTGGCAAGCTTGTCCGCACCCTTAAGGGCCATCTCTCCGCTATTAGTGCCCTCAAGTTTGATAACCTCAAGCTCATCACTGCTTCCCGTGATACTACCGTCCGTGTCTGGGACTACCGCAAAGGTGACTGCGTTTGCACCTTTCGCGGCCACGAAGGCCCTGTCCTGTGTATTGACTGCGACCAACGTCTCATTGCCTCAGGCTCGGCTGACAATAACATCAAGGTCTGGAACTTTACTACAAAAACATGTTTCACTCTCCGCGGACACACCGACTGGGTCCAAAGTGTCCGCGTCCACTCGGCTTCTGGCACTCTCTACTCGGGCTCTCAAGATGCTACAATCCGCATGTGGGATCTCGTAACCAAAAACTGCATCCGTGTCTTTAGCCAACCTGGCTCTGAGGGCAGCCATGTCGCTCAAATCCAATCTGTCATCCCTCTTTACATTGATCACCTCCAAGGTGATGAACATGGATGCTCTGTTCCTCCTCGTCGCAACCTTGCTAGACCCCACCAGCCTGCTACCACCTCTTCACAAGAATCAGAAGACTCAGGTGCTCTTTCGCCCAACTCTTCGCGTCGCCAACTCTCTGAAGAACGTCAAACTTTTGACGACTCGGTTTCTCGCAGAAGTTTCTCTACTCTTGACTCAAACAACCAGCCCACTGTAAGACCATCCTTCTATACTCCTCCTCGCTCTTCAGATCCCTTCAGCGTCGAGGAACGCACCAGACGTATGAATGCTCGCCCTACACATATCTTGTCTGCATCTCTCGACTCAACCATCAAGATGTGGGATGTCAACACGGGTGCCTGTGTTCGCACCTTTTTCGGCCACATTGAGGGTATCTGGGGGATTGCCGCAGATAACTTCCGAGTGGTGTCTGGATCCCATGACAAGCTTGTTAAGGTCTGGGACCTGCAATCGGGCCGCAACTGGCACACCTTTAATGACCATACTTCTCATGTTACTTCTGTGTGTTTGAGCGATACACGTCTGGCCAGTGGTAGTGATGATGGTATGGTCCGCATGCTGTGCTTTGATGACTTTGAGGGGGAGAAGGATGAAGAGGCTGCTTCAGCTTCAGCTTCTACTTCTACTTCTAGTTCAAGTACACCTGCTGCTACTACGACCACCGAGACTTCTGAGGCAGGACCTTCCAATGCTTAAAAGTGGTCTTTTGCTTTTTTTTGTTTTTTTTTTTTAATGACTTGTTTACGATTATGAATTTGCCTTTTTTTTTTTTTTTTTTTTTGTTTATTACTGCTACTATTATTTATTATTACTGTGTATTTTTAATTATTAAAAAAAATTGTTTCTCTTGCTTTATTTATTTAAAACAAATTTATTTATTTATTTGGTCTTAAAAAAAAAAAATTATATACTTTAAATAATTGTGATTTTAACTAGCTTGAAAAATTATATTTTATTTTTTTTTATTTTTTTTTTCAGTGATGATGATAAGGAAAGTTTCGGAGTTTGGCATAGCCCGATTCTTGTAGTTAAAAAAAAAAAAAAAAAAAAAACTGGGTATATTTTATTTTATTTTATTTTATTTTTATAATTGCATATGAAAATCCAATTCTCTCACTCACTAACAATTGCCCGCGTGCGCACATATGTCAAAAAATAAAAAAATAAAAAAATAAAAAAATAAAAAAAATAAAAGATAAGAAATATTTTCTTACTCATTGCCAACTATAGTAGATATATTATAACATAAATAATTATTTACAATTAGAGAATGAGGAAGGAAAAACAAATAAAACAGTCAAAAAATAAAAAAAATTAAATGAAAAAAATAAAAAAATAAATTAAATTGAGCAAAAAAATTAAAAAAAATAATGCCGTTGCCCAGAATCGAACTGAGGTTTCTTCGGAATTGTTCGATTTTTGAAGCCACAACGAAGTGTACTAACCACTATACTACAACGGCGTTATTATGGGTTTTTAAAAATTCGTGACATACCTAATAATCTTGATATCAAACTGTGTAGTAACCTTTGCAAAAATAGTCTTTAAAATTATAGGGGAAAGGGCTGGATGGTTTAAAGGATAACACGTTTGCTCGACAGCGGAAGATACTGGGTTCGATTCCCAGAATACCCCCTTTTCCTGAGGATGTGTACGGGAGTATACACCTAGACTGAAAAACCATAGGCTACCCTGGTTACAGGAATGCCGACTCTTCCGTACAGTCTAAATAGCCTGCAGGTGATTGCGGGCCGTATCTCTGACGGAAGAGATTAAGAAATACATGGGCGTCGGTGAAGATAAGTGGAAATGGGTTGGGAAGGTTTTGGGACCGACAGACTGGTTCTCCCTGTTCCTCGTAAGCTGGCATCAGGGCCCATCTTCCGGGCTACCGGAGACGCACAGAACAGAAACCACCCGTACTAAAAAGGTACAAATGAAAACCGGCAAGTCACATAGTCAGACAATAAAAGGATAGCGCAGGTGCTGATGTTATATATAGTTCTATAACCCTTGAATAAAAACAAACAAACAAACAATATTTTTACAGAAACTGGAAAAAAAGAAAATAAATGAAGAGCAATTACTTACATTAGGTCTCACTCTGAATTACGAGCATTAACTACTAAAATTGAAAAGTTTACAAATCGAGATATGGTTACCATTTTGGTTAAAGACATTACAATTGTCAATGTCTATAATCAACCGAAACCATCCAAGAAATACCCTGAGCCACCGGTTTTTGAGTTTCTCAAACGGGAAATCAAGGAACAATACTCAAAGATTGTCATTGCAGGTGATTATAACTTACATCACAAGGAATGGGAATCAAGGGCAGGTCCGAATACGGAAGCAGATGAAGTTGTTGAGTGGCTACATGAAAATGATATGATGTTAATTACTCCAAGAAATCAAAAAATATACAACAATAGAACCAATATTGATTTGGTTTATGGTTCAGTGGACTTACTTCATAGAATTTCATTTAGTGGAGTGGATGAAAATACACTAAGTGATCACTCAATTGTGGAGTGGGACATCTCTATGTCTCAGAGTAAAAACGGGGATGAAGTTTTTACTTCGGTGAAGAGATTGAATATTAAGAATGCAGATTGGGAAAAGTTTGACAAGGAGCTTTCTTCTGCCATTAAAGATTTTAATGTGCATAACAAACCTCTAAAATCAACTGACCAAATTGATGACCAAGCTAAAGTTCTTGAGGAGGTTGTAAAAAGAGCAATGGCAAAGTCGATGAATGAAGTTAAGGTGATGAAAAAGTTCAAACGCTATTGGAATCAAGAATTAAGGGAGAAGTTAGAAAAAGCGCTAGAAGCTAAAAGGGAAGCCCGTCAAAGGCAACCTTCTTTGGCTTTGAAACGACAAAAAATCGAAGAGGCGAAAAAAGCTAGAAAAATTTTTGACCACAGTTTGCGTGAAGCAAGTACTGAGCAATGGAATAAATATTTGTCTAGTTTAGAAGGAAATGACATTTGGAAGATTTTGAAGTATATTAATCCAAAAAGCAATGATACCATTATACCACAAATTAGAAAAGAAGATGGAACTCTCACTACTACTGTTGACGAAAAAAGACATGAAATATGGAAGGCACTTCTACCTGAAATTGATCATGGTCTTGATAGAGAGTTTGAAATTGATGACGATTCTCGATGGCCAAAATTAGAGTTTGATGAAGTTGACTCTGCATTGGGTGATACCCCAAATGATAAAGCTCCAGGAGACGATGGAATTACTGGCAAAGTTTTAAAGATGGCATGGCTGAATAAAGACTTAAAGGAAAGGTGTTTCAAGCTTCTCCAAGCTTGTGTGAAGTTTGGATACCACCCAAAAGTCTGGAGACATGGCATTATTGTTGTTATACCTAAACCTAAGAAACCTGACTATTCAAAGCCAAGAGCATACCGAACGTACCAATTTGTAAGTGAAAGAGAAGCTAGTATGCTCATGGACCGAAGAAAAGGATCAGTGCAAAAAATTAGTACTGGAATTCCACAAGGCTCACCTATTTCACCACTACTTTTTTTGATATATTCCACACCAATGTATCATGCCATTAAAGAATGGGGTGGAACTCCTTTTGGCTTTATTGATGATGTGACTATTACCGTTGAAGGTAAAATTGAAGAAAATACCAAAAGCTTAAGCAACATATTAGAAAAATGTTGTAATTGGGCTAAATCAAGAATGACCAAAATTGATTTGGGTGATAAATTGGGTTTTATTCATTTTACAAAAAATGTGAAACCTAAAGATGAGAAAGTGCAACTTACTTTACCTAATGGAGAACTTCGTGAACCCCAGAAGGAAGTTAAATTGCTTGGAATTACTTTGAACAATCTGCTTGATTTTAAATCTCATATTTTGAATAAAATCAATAAAGCAAGAAAAGCTGTTGGTGCTATTTGGCATCTTGGTGTCGTGCAAAAAGGTATGCGAGGGTCTGCAGTCAGATCACTGTATATTGCTTGCGTGAGACCAATTGTTGAATATGGCTTAGAAATTTGGCATCATAAAGTCTTGAAAGGAGAAATCCACAAGTTGGAAGTGATGCAGAACATGGCTTTAAGAAGAATTGTTGGTGCTTATCGCACAACTCCTATTGCGGTACTACAAAAGGAAGCTGGTATTATGCCATATAGTATTAGGCTAAAATTTATGGTGGCACGAAAAGCTATTCGTTTACACCTAAATATTAGCAAAACTAATCCTATTAATGGTCATTTGTTAACATTGATTGAGAAATCTCCAATTGCAAAGCTAACCACGCTTTACATGTTGGCGAAAGATGATAGAGACTATATGATTAAAAAGGATGAAAAACGAAAATGCAAGAGGGTTGAACCTCTTACACTGAAACAACAACAATATCAGACGATTGGAATTTTGAAGAAACAAGCAATGGAAGAATGGCAAGAAATGTATTGGAACAGCAGTAAGGATCTGTGGTATCATAATATCACAGTGGAGTCGAAATGTACTGATAATCTTTCCAAAATGGTTACGGGAGTGATCATGAAGAAAGATAGTCGAAGGAACTTGGGTAATATTACTCAATTTCGCACAGGCCATGGCAACTTTGGCGCATGGTTTAAAAAGTTTGAAATTGAAAAGGATAGTTACAACTGCAAATGTGGAGAGCTGGAAACAGTTCATCACATTTTAGTTGAGTGTCCTTTGCTTGAAGAGGAAAGAAAAGAACTGAAACGGATATCTCCAGAGATGGACATGTCGACTCTCTTAAACAGTTTAACTGGCTTACAAGAGATTGTAAGCTTTATCTCTGCTTGGAGGGATTAAGAAATACAATTACAGCGTTGATGAAGACAAGTGGAGATAAGTTGGGAAGGTTTGGTTATTTTTAACCCCCTGTTCCTCGTAAGCTGGCATCAGGACTTATTTTCGGTGTGTTGGAGATGCATTGTTGAAGGCAAAATTAAAAGTTTATTATTAAAATGAAAAGATATATAGTATGGACAAGAAGGATAGCGGAGATGCTGATGTTATATAATTCGATAACCCTTGAATAAAAACAAACAAACAAACAATTTTGGGGCAAGTTAGATTTTTATTACTTATAAGATGACAGATGAATTTCTTTTAAAGCTGTTGGAGAAGCATTGTTAAAGTCAAATTAAAAATGTATCACGAAAATGAAAAAATATATAGTAAGATTAAGAAGGATAGCACATATACTGATGCTATATAATTCTAGGACCCTTGAATAAAAACAAAAAAAAAATAAACAAAACATTGGGTTTAAGTGAATTATCCCTCGGAAGTTTTCAAACTGTCTTAAATACTTGAATTTCTCATACCCAGATCCTTTTTCTTTCTTTTTTTTTTTTTTTTTTTTTTTTTTTTTGAAATGACCAGGGTCACCATTATACAATTAATAATAAAAAAAAACTAAATATACAATTTTTATGAATTCAAGTGTTAAATAGTGGTGGGATAAAATTTTCTTTTATGAAATGGTGAATTTATGTTGAATAGGATTAATTATAAATACACACATATTTTTTTTAGATTTTTCAAATAACAAAATTTATTTATTTTTTTTACCTTAGTTTTTTTTTAATCTATTGAGAACAATAATCTTTTATTGTTTATTAACTTTGGCAATTTCCAAACTTTTTGAGTTGTTTTTTAAACCAACCCATTTTTTATACTTAGCATCACAATAGCAATTATTGTAATGTTAATTTTTTTTTTAAATCTTTAAAATTCAAGGTGAAATATTTTACTTTGTTTTAAGATTATTTAAAAATAAAATATAGATTTAAAATCACTGGCACTTATGACGACTAGTCGTTTTTTTTTTTTTTTTCTTCCAGTATTAAACTTTTTTACAGTATTTTAAAAGATTTTTTTTATTTTATTTAAATAATATTGACTTGTAACTATAACTGATATTAAAAATTTGGTTATTTTTTAAAGACTATGTTTGTTTGTTTGTTTTTATTCAAGGGTTATAGAATTATATAACATCAGCATCTGCGCTATCCTTCTTGTCCATACTATATATCTTTTCATTTTAATAATAAACTTTTAATTTTGCCTTCAACATTGCATCTCCAACAGCCCGAAAATAAGTCCTGATGCCAGCTTACGAGGAACAGGGGGTTAACAATAACCAAACCTTCCCAACTTATCTCCACTTGTCTTCATCAACGTGCCTTGTTTGTTTGTTTGTTTTTATTCAAGGGTTATAGAACTATATAACATCAGCATCTGCGCTATCCTTTTATTGTCTTGACTATGTGACTTGCCGGTTTTTCATTTGTACCTTTTTAGTACGGGTGGTTTCTGTTCTGTGCGTCTCCGGTAGCCCGGAAGATGGGCCCTGATGCCAGCTTACGAGGAACAGGGAGAACCAGTCTGTCGGTCCCAAAACCTTCCCAACCCATTTCCACTTATCTTCACGGACGCCCGTGTATTTCTTAATCTCTTCCGCCAGATATACGGCCCGAAATCACCTGCAGGCTATTTAGACTGTATGGAAGAGTCGGCATTCCTGTAACCAGGGCAGCCTATGGTTTTCAGTCTAGGTGTATGCTCCCATACACATCCTCAGGAAAAGGGGGTATTCTTGAAATCAAACCCAGTATCTTCCGCATTCAAGCGAATTTGTTATCCTTTACACTATCCAGCCCTTTCCCCCTATCAACGTGCCCCAAAATCTGGTAAAATATGTATTTAATTCAAGGTGGCTTTTTTAGGTCAGACAGCTCTAAATATCACGTGATTAGGCACTATGGCCGAGCGGTTAAGGCGAAAGATTAGAAATCTTTTGGGATTTCCCGCGCAGGTTCGAGTCCTGCTGGTGTCGTTATCTTTTTGTTTTTAATTATTTCCTTTTTCTTTAATTTTTATAATTCTTTTTTTTTTTTTGAAGTTTCAAGAAACAAAATATATATTTGGAGGTGGTGGTTTGAAGTTGTGTTTAACTTTTTAAAGTTTTTAAAGTTTAAACTCTAAAAAATGCCAATTAATTGGCTTATTTGTAATATTGCAGATGTGTGTACAAATAGTTATTATGCAAGTGTAGAGGTAACAAATAAAAAAATAGAACTCATTTCAAAAAATGAAAAAGAACTGTTAGTCTACAAAACAAAGTCACTGACTTTTATTGATATGATTGATTTATCTCTTCTAAGCAAAATGGATTTGAAGACTAAAACTCCTTTTTAGGTTGGTGTTTATAACAGTTTGATATGTCTTACAGGTTATGAAGAAAAATTAAAAATCATTATTATTATGTCATCATTTTTCTTACACACTAAAGAAAAATAAAAACTTTACACCAACACCACAAAACCCACATTTCAAAAAAAAAAAAAAAAAAAAAAAAAAAAAAATTGGAAAAAACATTGACCAAACTGTTACCTTGTAAATAATTTTAAACAAAAAAAAGAAATATGCGTCAGCCCGGAGTCGAACCGGGGGCTCGTCGATGGCAACGACGAATTTTACCGCTAAACCACTAACGCTTTCTGTGATAAACAAAAATTTTACAAATATTAATTCGTACCCTATTTAATATTAAAAAATTTAAAGGTTTTGGGGAACTTGTTTTCAGTGACCAGTTTACCATTCCATGATTAAACCATTTTAAGTAGCTGAATGATTATTCAAATTTTTGTGATTTGGAGTTTCAACTAATGCAAAATCGAATTCATCAGTCTCTAATTTTAGCCTTCCAGAGTCGTCATCAATCTCAAATACACAATTAGCGCCATGAACAATTTCAGATAGAAGCACAATACTTATTTTTTTTTTTTTATTTGATGGTAATAATCAATTTTTTTTTCTTCTTTTCAGATTTGTGGCATAATAGTATCTTTCCGTTTTGGTTCAATATACTTTAAAAATCTTCCAAATTTTATAACACTAATTTACTTTATCAAAGTTTTCCTTACTTTTTTTAAAACATCCCCAAAAGCTTCAGTTTCATTATCAATATGATAGTTTTATTTCAGAGTTCTCTTTTATGTACATTAAAATTTTTAACCACAAAAAAAAGTTCCTTATAAAAAATTTTCTGCTCTGAATTGTTAAAAATATATAATCTATTCACTGAGGCTATTACCAAATTTCAATTTTTGGATAAATGCATAGAAAGGTGCAACTTAATAATTCAATAATTCATAAATATTTAGATTTCTAATATCCTTTTCGAGCAAAACTTTTGGCAGAGAAAGCATTGATGTCGATATTATAAAATTTAATAAGTTTAATAAATTTAAATAAATATAAATTTTTTTTAATCGTCTGTAATAGTTATATCGTATGAATATCAAGAGTCAATGAAACTTATTTTATTAAATCTAATTATATTTTCTATAATGAGAAAACTCAATAAATATTAAATTATTTATTTATTTATTGATTCAAAGATTGTAAAATTATATATAATCAACGTCAACACTAGCTTCTATGCTTTTGCTATATAGATTTCCATTTTCTCAAAGATTTTTTTTATTTGACTTCAACATTGTATCCCCAATACTTGGAAATAAAGTCTCAATGCCTGCTTAAGAAAAACAAGGGGGACAAAAGCCAAATATCCTCAACTTATGTTCCACTTGTCTTCACCAACACTGTGATTTTTTCAATCCCTCCAAGCAGATATAAATTTCCAAGCTCTTGCAAGCCAATTGAACTGTTTAAGTGAGTCGACATGTCCATATCTGGAAATATCCGTTTCAATCCATTTTTTTTCTCCTTCAAGCAAGGGACACTCAACCAAAATGTGATGAACTGTTTCCAGCTCTCCACACTTGCAGTTTTAACTATCCTTTTCAATTCCAAACTTTTTAAACCATATACGGTATATACGCAAAAAATTACCATGGCTTGTGCAAAACTGAGTAATGTTACTCAATATCCTTCAATTATCATTCTTCATGATCACACCTGTGACAATTCTACTCCACTGTGATCTTGTGATACCATATATACTTATTACTATTCCAATGCATTTCATGCCATTCTTCCATTACTAGTTTCTTCAAAATTCCAATCATCTAATTCTGCCGTTTCGTCGGTGTAAGATGCTCTACCGTCTTGAATTGTCACTTTTCATCCTTTTTAATCATCAGGTCTCTTTCATCTTTCTCCAAAATGTAAAGCGTGGTTAGCATTTGCAATTGGTAATTTTTAATCAAAGATAACAAATTACTATCAATAGAGTTAACTTTGCTAATATTCAGGTGTGAATGCAGAGCTGTTAGTTCCACCATAAATTTCTGTAAAAAATTATGGCATAATACCAGCTTTGATTTGTAATACCGCTATAAGAGTTGTGCAATAAGCACCAACAATTCTTCTCAAAGCCATATTCCACAATTGTCCTCACGCAAACAATATACAAGGATCTGATCGCCAACCGCTGCATACCTTTTTGCATGTCACCAAGATTTCAAATAGTACCAACCGCTTTTCTTGTTTTTTGATTTTATTCAAAATATAAATTTTAAAATTGAGAGGGTTGTTCAAACTGATTCCAAGCAATTTAAATTCATTCTGGGGTACACCAAGTTCCCCATTAAATGAAATAAGTTGCATTTTTTCATTTTTTAAGTTTCATTTTTTTTTTAAAAAAATGAATAAAACTCAATTTATCATCCTAATAAATTTTTGGTCATTCTTGATTTAGCCCAGTTGCAACTTTTTTTCAATATATTGATTAGGCTTTTGATATTTCCTTCAATTTTACCGTCAGCGGTAATTGTTACCTCATTAATAAGGCCAAAAGGTGTTTCATCGCATTATTTAATTGCATAATGCAATGGTATGAAATATATCAAGTAAAATATTCTAGTTTTGTAGAATATCAGTTCTGTTTTATTTTTTTTTTTTTGCGCTGATTTTTTTCTTCGGTCCATGAGCATACTAAATAGTTTCCCTTTGACTAAAAAGCTTATATTCCCAGTTTATAAGTGCTTTGGGTAGGGTCATATATCTCCATTGTGTCTGCCAAGATATTTCTGTTAGCATTAGCAAAAGCTCCTTGAATATCAATAAGCATAGGATAGCAGAAATTTTTTCTTTACTAATTTCAATTTTTTGGACAAGTTCCAAAACAGCATCCGTAGCACAAGAACCTTGTCTTCCTCCATATTGCTCTGGCAGAAGCAAGTGTGTTGTTAGTTTGGTCATTCTATTTTTGTATAATCTTTTGTAGTACCTTAGATGGGATCTTAAATAAGGAAATTGGTTGATATGCACTTGGCTTTGAATAGTCAGATTCCTTAGATTTAGGTATAACGATAATAATACCATGTTTCCAGACTCATGGGTAGTATCTAAACTTCACACAAGCTTAAAAAAGCTATATAAACTTTTCCTCATAGTCTTTATTTTACCTCGCCATCTTTAAAACTTTGCCAGTAATTCCATCATCTCCTGGAATTTTATCGTTTAGGGTATTAGCCAATGTAGAGTTAACTTCATCAAACTTTGATTTTGGCCATCAAAAACCATCATCAATTTTAAACTTTTTATCAAGACAATGAAAATTTTCAGGCAGAAGCGCCTTCCCTATTTGATGTCTTTTTGCATCAACTGTAGTAATGAAAGTTCCATCTTCATTTCTAAGTTGTGGTATAATGGTATCATTGCTCTTATAATTAATTTTAATTAAAATCTTTTAAATGTTACCTTTTTTTCTAAACTTTCCAATTATTGATTCTATTTCTCAGGACTCCCAACTTGCCCAAAAATCTGGTAAAATATGTCTTTAAATCTAGGTGGTTTCTTTAGGTTAAATAAGTTTAAATATTACATGATTAGGCACTATGGCCGAGCGGTTAAGGCGAAAGATTAGAAATCTTTTGGGATTTCCCGCGCAGGTTCGAGTCCTGCTGGTGTCGATATACTTTTTGCAAATAAAATTTTATCATTTTTTTTGGAATTTTATTTCTTTTTTCAACTTGATTTTAAATGTTAGAAAGCTGGTGATGTTGGTAGTGTTCAAGAAATAAATTTCATTTTTTTTTATAAAAAAAAACAACAAAATAGAATTGTGGTTTAGGGTTTATAAGTGTGAAATTACGTCAGCAAAATTGCCATTAAACATTATCTTAAAATTTAAAGTCCGAAGAATGTAGACTTTTCTTCAGATTTTTGAAATCATTGTAAACATGTCTAAAATCAATTACCTTGTTGCATTGGATTCATCTTAATAACTTTTGTATATTTGACAATTGTTATATTTATTTGGTATGAACAAAAAAAAAAAAAACGAAACTTCATTCCACCTATAACAGAGAACAGTAAGTTACTAATTGACTTAGTTGAAAGAGTATTTGAATATTATTTTTTATTGAATTGATTGAATGCGAACGTTTAATTTTTGTTTAAAAAAAAAAGGTCATTCTTAGTAATTTAAATTAAAATGTTTGTTGATTGTTCCATTTTATCAACTTTATTTTTCACTACAATACCGCCAGTCTGTTCTAGTTGACCAAACATTCCAGTTACATAATCATATTTCTGTATTAACTTTGATCCCAAAATAAAGGGATTGTAAAAAAGAAATATTTTTTTAACTGTTAAACTTGACGTTTATTGTTTTTTTTTTTTTTTTTTTGATTGGTGTTTTCTTTTTGCTAGAATTTTTGATACTTCTTTGAAAAAAAAAAATAAATAAAAAAGAACAATAAATAACAAAAGGAATAGTTACACAAAAGTGGAATTTATAGCATTTAAATAGGGTACACATGAGTTGATATAACATAAGCCATCTTAAAAAAATAGCCATTGAGTTAAATAAATGTTAAAACCTAATAAATTATTTTTCATTGGCATTATAAAGTTTAAAAATTTTTAATTTAAATGCAGAAAATCGGTAATTTCCATTTTATTCATCTTGAAGTTATAGATACTATATTTTAGAATATTATTAAAAAGCCGTTGTAGTATAGTGGTTAGTACACTTCGTTGTGGCTTCAAAAATCGAACAATTCCGAAGAAACCTCAGTTCGATTCTGGGCAACGGCATTTAAAACATTGTTTTTTATTTTTTTCTAATTATTTTTAATTAAATGAACCCTCTGGGGATGTATTTTTTTTATCGATTTTTTTTTTTTTTCATTTTTTGTAGTGGGTGGCTGTGTAGATCAAACATATTCGATATATCAAGGTGAATAAAATGAGGCATAGACAAAATAATGCTCAAAAAAAAAAAAATAACAAAATTTAACATAAAAAAAAACAAAAAAGAAAAATTAAAGACATAATTCGCTCAACTTTAGATGAGGGTGCTGTAAGATTGTTATTTTCATTTTCAATTTTTAATTTTCAACAACATTTCTAAAGACTTGACGACTTGCCATCAAAGTTGACTGGCGCCGATCGTCGAGTCACAGATGCATTTTGTTCTGTTGCCTTCTTTTTTTTCATTTTTTTTTTTTTTTCATTTTTATGCGAGTGACTCACTCTTGCATTTGCTTACTCAGCTTCAATGCAGCTATTTTTCTGAGTTAAGCCTTTCCCATTTAATCTTCCCTCCTCTTTCAAAAAAAAAAAAGTTACCCGGTCAAGAAAGTATAAAAACTCTTCATTTCCCAACTATTTTATTTACTTTTTATTTTACCTTTTTTTTTTTTTTTTTTTTTTTTTTTTCTTACCAATTTATCAATTCCAAGAGTCTATTTCTTTGAACTTATCTACGCTCTCTAAGCACTCCTAGCAACAAAGACTCTTCTTTCCTTCTGTCAAGGTTTATCTATTCTCTCTCCTGAGTAATCAAAGACCCTAACAGACACTTTACTTACTATTTCTTTAGTATTCTAAGCTTTATCTAAAAGAAAAAAGCTCTAGAACACAAAGCGTAAAGCAAACTTTTTTTTTCTCCCCCCCTCCTCTTTTAATTCGTTGCAAAGTAACTCAGATTACTTGCAACACTTGGATTCTTTTTTCGTTTTTACCTCCGACTAACGTTGTCTTCGGCCCATAAAAGAAATCTTTCTTCTTTCCAACCGAACTTTACAGACCCGTTAGCCCAAGAAACTCTTAGTAAGACTTCAATTTCTTCTTACTTGCAACAAACAAACCAAGCTCCACTCCCCCAACCACACATACCCGTTCAGGCAGACATCGACAAGTCTTTTCTGTTCGACCCTACTACTCAACCAAGTTCACAATGTATTTCCAACCACAGCATCTTTTCACATCAGGAAGCATGTTCCTTTCCCCACCGGGAAGAAGAGCCTCAATTCTGGAATAAATTCCAGACCCCTAGTTCTCTAGACGGTCTTGATGTGCTCGCATCTTCCCGCCCTGATTTCATAGATACCGATTCCCTTTCTGCCATGGTTGCCTGCACCCCTGATTTTGACACCAAGTCTATCTTGGTTGTACCAAACTCAACTAATACTATCAGTATTACAACTCCACCATTAATTTGCGACCCTTCGTGCTTAACACCTGAGTCGCTACTCACTGCCACGCCTCTTGTTGCTGTTGGCTCTGTGCAAAATGTTGCCCCAGACCTTCCTCGTGTACCCGATAATACTCCTGTCGATGCACTAGCGTTGGGCAGCGTCCCCAATTACAATCTGGATTCTTTTGACTCGCATTTCATTGACAAGCTTCTTAACTCAAGTTTGGTTGACTCTGCAGTGGAAGATCCTAGTAATTGGGAGTCGCTTTTCCCTGATTCTAACAAGGCTGTGGCTACAACATCTGCCATCTCTCCTCTCTCTCGGCCTTTGTCGACAGTCTCGGAGTTGGTTACAGATGTTTTACCAACCACCATAACTGAGGAGATGGTTTTATCCCCTGTTACACATCCTGTTTTTGAAACCAAATTTGTCCATGAAAAACGCTCTGCTATGGTCCTTGCTGGCAAGGAGAAGAAGAATGAGGAGGACGATGATGATGAGGAAGACGATGAAGATCTTGAGAGAAGAAGCAAAAAGCGTCACATTTCTGCCTTGGAATTTGAGGAGCTTGCTTCTATCTCTTTGGACTCTGGGTCTTCTCCCAGTAAGGAGCTACCGCCCATTGTAGTTGATCCTTCGGATAGACGCGCTGTGAAGCGTGCTCGCAACACGATGGCGGCTCGACGCTCGCGTGAAAAGAAAAAGATGGAGATGGACGATCTGCGTCAAAAGGTGAGCGACCAAGAGCGAGTTATTATGAAGCTTGAGGCTCAGGTGAATCTTTTGCGTACTCTTCTTAACCAGAAGTAAATTTGTGATGATGATGATGAATATATATATTTAATTAATAATATTTATAATGTTTATGATAATGAAGTGATTTTTTTTTTTTTTTTTAAATATTTAAAATTTATAAACATAAAACTTATCAATGGGTTTTAACATTTTAGGGAAAGATTCGGGTAAGAAGTATCTGCATGATAGGAGGACGCACCTGCCTATTTGGGAAATTTGCCGCACAAGTCTGCTTATCGGCTGCTTTTCTTTTTGCATATTTAAGAGCCTCCACATCCTCCTGGTTTTTATTTTTATTTTTTTTTCATTTGAGCTTTATATATTTTTTTTTTCAAGCATTTATTTTCTATACACAAAATTCAAATAATAATCACAATAATCATAGTAATAAACACAACATGAGCGACGCCGCTTCAGCTACAGATTTACCGACCACAGGGACTGGTGGCGATTCGCTGACCCAAGATCTCAATGTACGATTCGATTATGGCAGTATGGCCTGGATCTTCACCTCCTCCGCACTCGTCTGGATCATGATTCCCGGAATTGGTCTGCTGTATTCAGGTCTTTCACGCAAAAAAAATGCCATTTCTCTGCTATGGCAGTGTATAATGGCGGCCTCACTGATTGCATTCCAATGGTTCTTTTGGGGTTACTCTCTTACTTTTTCCCACAAGGGAGGCGCGTTCCTCGGAAAACTCGACAACTTTTGTCTCATGAAAGTGCTCGGCGCACCATCAGTGGTCCCCTACGTACCTGACGTAGTGTTTTGCTTCTACCAGGGAATGTTTGCTTGTGTTACGGGCATTATCATGCTCGGTGGTGCCAACGAGCGCGCAAAATTGGGCCCTATGATGCTTTACCTTTTTATCTGGATGACTGTGGTTTACGCACCCATAGCATGTTGGACCTGGGGGCCCAAAGGTTGGCTGGTTGTTTTAGGAAGTCTTGACTATGCAGGCGGCGGGCCCGTGCACATGAGTTCAGGCGCCGGAGCTCTAGCATATGCATTTGTATGTGGCCGTCGTTACGACCCGGAGGCTACTAAAAGCTCGTTGCCAATGTTTAAGCCCAACTCGGTTACATCTGCAGTTTTCGGTACCATTTTCCTATGGTTCGGCTGGTTCGGCTTTAATGGAGGGTCCACGGGCAACGCGTCGATCCGCTCGGGCTACGCGTTACTTAACACTAATCTTGCTGCAGGATGCGGAGCTCTCACTTGGCTTTTCGTCGACTACTTTCGGTTTGAGCGCAAATGGACAACAATTGGTATGTGTTCAGGAGCAGTAGCCGGACTGGTAGGAATTACACCTGGCGCAGGGTACGTACCCATTTACTTTTCGGTACCAATTGGCATGGTGGCAGCAATTGGATGCAACTACGCAACGACACTCAAATACTTTTTCCGGATTGATGATGGTCTTGATGTGTTTGCTCTGCATGGAGTTGGTGGGTTCTTGGGCAGTTTTATGACAGGACTTTTCGCTGCAGACTACGTTGCTGCTTTAGACGGGACTTCAATTAAGGGCGGATGGATCAACCACCACTGGAAACAGGTTGGGTATCAGATGTCTGGAGCTGTGTCGATTTTGGCGTGGTCCTTTGGTGTTTCAACTTTCATACTGACAATCATGAAATACATTCCGTTTATGAGCCTGCGTTTGACCCAGGAACAAGAAGTTCTCGGCACTGATCTTGCGGAGATTGGCGAACAAGATGACTGGCTGCCAGAAAACGTAATTTTGCCTCCAGGGTTCAAGACGTTTCAACCGGTAGATGCGGCGACTTCTTCACCAGTGATGGGGGTCGAGGTTGACGAAAATGGAATAACACCGTTACCGTACTCAACCACTCCGCCCATGACTACGATGGCTCCAGATAAAGAGAAAACTCATACGGATTGAAGGGGGGAGGACTTTATGAGAAGAAGGTGTTATTTTTTTTTTTTTTTTTGGTTATAACTTGTATTGACTTTTGATTTTTATTTCTTTTATTTCTTTTAGTTCTTTTATTTCTTTTAGTTCTTTTAGTTCTTTTAGTTCTTTTAGTTTTTTTAGTTTTTTTTAGTTTTTTTAGTTTTTATTGTAAATGTATGTAAAGATTTGAACTTGTAATTTTTATCCCTCATTCAAAGTTCCTATCGGAGAGGTCGCGTGCCGAAGAAGATGGGTGGATGGTGATACTACATTTTTTACAGTAGAAAAAAACAATATCAATAACAGTAATAATAAATTGGTGACAACTAACAGGCCATCTATGGCTTGGGGGGTGGGATTACTTTATGTTTTAATTATTTGAATAAAGATCTTGAATGGTTTAGACATGTCTAAAGAAATGACTGCACCAGCGTTTAAATGTTTAGAGCTAAGAGTGATAAGCTTTCTTTCGTTGTTATCATGATAAGCAGGATAAGAAAAAAAAAAAAAAAAAAAGGGGGAGGAGGGGGAGGGGTCTACGCATAACATCTTGGTAAATTTTTTACAAAGTCATACGATATCGACGACGCCCAAAATCAACCAGAATGGCTCATGGGAAGGGGAGAACTGATGATCACGGTATTTCCGTAATAACATTTAAAAAATAACATAAAATAAAAGGGTGTTCCTGGTGACTTTGGAGATTAGGCGGGTATCAGTTCTTGGAACGTAGCCAACAACTTTTAATTTCCCAATGGGGGAGGGTCTCATCTGATTAGTTGAGTCCTTAAGAAATATATGGGGATATAATATCCCCATGGGGTAAACATATAATAATTATTAATTAATAATTATCAAAAACTATGAATAATCTTAATTAAGAATCAACTAACCAAGCAGTAGAATTATATTACTATAACATTTGTTTAAACAAACTTCTTTGCTTCCCGAGATGCTGCAAAGAAGCTCCAGTTTTTTTTTTTTTTTTAATTTTAAAAAAAAAAAATAACAAATAATAAATCATTGTATAAAAATAAACGAGATAATAAAAAATTAAAGATCACAAATAAAGTTAAAGTTTAAACTGAAGGATACAAAAAAAAAATAATAAAACATTGGAGAACAAAAAACAGTATTCCAAGCAATTCTTTTAACTAATAAAAATAATTACTTAATTAATTGATTGGTTTATTGTCTGTTTGTCTTTATTTTTAAGCAAAAAAACCATCACTTCAAAACCTTTAAAAGCCTTAATATTATCTAGATTAACTCATAAGGTATTCAAAATTTTGAAATTCACAACACAAAGCGTTAGTGGTTTAGCGGTAAAATTCGTCGTTGCCATCGACGAGCCCCCGGTTCGACTCCGGGCTGACGCATTGCAGATGATTGCTTAGTCATTGGCAATCTGGCCGAGTTGGTCTAAGGCGTAGGATTAAGGTTCCTATCTCTTCGGAGGCGAGGGTTCGAATCCCTCGGTTGTCATACGCAAACATCTGCTATATTCTTTTTTGTTTCTTAAACATTGTTTAATTTGATTTTTTTTTTGATGAAAAGTGTTTATTTTGTTGAGGTTGTGGCAAAGATACAAAGAAAATATGGTTTCTTGAATATATTTTTTTTTTCAACAAGCTTTAGTGACTTGCAAATTTCAGTAGTATGCAGTAGGGTTGGACACAACAGTGTTTATAAGCGATTATACTCCAAGCTGTTTTATTTAATTAGATAGCAATTATAATATAGTCAATCAATGAAACAAAATTTAACTTTAAACAATAAATGGAAACCTCTTCTTAAATAGGAATTTGAGATTTCTTAGGTATTTGGGCTCTGAAGATTTTTTTTTTTTTACATATTTCAGTTTATAGTTTCTGAAAAGACATAGAATATTGGACTATTATAGGATATATTCTGTTATGATAAAAAAAAATTGATACTGAAAAACCACAGACTAATCAAAAGTGAAAATTTCAGAAACACTGAAGCTCTAATAACGATTGGCGTACTTATAAGGATTTTCATGTTTGGTCACACTGCATGATTTGGAAATTTATTTGAATATCAGCTTGTTAGTTTTCAAGTAATGTGTGGGAATGGTCATATTTCTAAAAAGTGATAGTGACAAATTCAATGATTACATAAAATATTATTAATAAGTTTATTTTATTTTATTCATTTTTTTTTTTTAGAATTGGCGCAGAAGCTCAAACTCCACCATCTGTGAACCAATTGATCCGTAAAAAAATAAAAATTTCATTTTTTTTCATCCAAAAGTACCAAAAAAAAACAATCCTTGGATAAATAAAAAAAAGCTATCGACACCAGCAGGACTCGAACCTGCGCGGGAAATCCCAAAAGATTTCTAATCTTTCGCCTTAACCGCTCGGCCATAGTGCCACAAATCATGCAACAAGTTCTCTATGATGCATACATAAATAGTAAATACAAGGTTTATAAAATTATGGTGGGAATTTGGCAAAAGAGTGGACTTTTTTTTGGACTATTAGAAATAAAAATTTAAAGTCAAATTAATATTCTATTGTGAAAACAAAAAGATTCATTAAGATCAATAAGGATAGCGCAAATGCAGATGTTATATAATTATCCCTTGATTAAAAACAAATTAATTAGTTTGGTTATCCCACTAATTAGTGGGATGAAAGTTTCGTTTGTTTGATTGTAAAAGGTACTAGGTTTATTTTTCAAATATTTTCGTTTACTTAGGGAGTGTACATGGGTACACACCTCAATTGAACTCTGACGAGCAGAGAAGCCGACTTTTCCGTTTATTCCTATAAGCCTGCAGAGAATTGTGGGAAATGCCACCGGTGGAAAGTTTTGTAAAATACTTGTACTTCCTTAAATAAAAGTGAAAACAGATCGGGAAGGATATGGATCGACTACCTAGTTTTTCCACTTACTTGTAAGTCGGCAGATTGAAATTACCCGTACACTTTCATAAATAAGACCAAAGCTGGGTGATTATAAAAAAAAAAAAAAGTCGATTCCGATATTATTATAATAACATATAGTTATATAACTACTAAATGAAAAAAAAAACAACAAATGGTGAGGCTTAAAAATCAGATTTGTATCAGATTCAGTATATTGATATATACTATATATTTTTTGCAACACTTGCATAAAACAAAAAAAAAACAACAAAAAAAAAACAACAAAAAATCAAACAAATAATACCAATTCACCTTGAAAACTTGTCAAGATGATTTACCATGTTTTTTTAAAAAAATCTTGCAAAAATGATCGTCAAACCTTAATGAAACTTTGACTTCACTTGCATATAGATATGCTAATATCTCTTTCACCAAAATGAATCTTTCTGAAAAGTTTCTAGTGTGGTTAATTTTTTTTTTAATTTTTTTGCAAATCATAAAAATTAAATTGTGAATTCGCAATTTATTTAAATGAATTTCTTGCTAACATTAGCCAAGGCATATTTTATAAGCCGTTGGGAAATTCTGAAATCGAAACATATCGAAAAAAAAGAATTAATCCGTAAAAATGCTTAATTAGAGTAATGAAAATGATCAATTGATAATTATCATACATTATAAAGTATAAAAAGTTATTCTTCTTTTAAAATTTCTCAATATCCACGTCACAGCGTAGGACCATATTTAAAATCAAAATAAATATATTAGAACTTTCAATTGAATAATAATTATGATTCTTGTAAACATCTACTTTGAAAAAAAAAGGGTTATAATTTTAACTGATTTCAAAAAAAAATTTAAAAAATGAACATACTTCTTTGATTTGGTTTGATTTCCTGATTTATCATCCAAACTGACAGAGAACTTAAATTCAACACAATTCATTTGTATTTAATATGTTGATTAATCATTTAATACAACAAAAAAAAATATTTACAGAATGAGGAATAGGAGGTTTATTGAAATTACGCCATTGACAATGGCTTTTAACAAGTATTGAGTCTGAAAGATGAATCATATGGGGGTTTTAAGGGGCAAAAGATGTATTTAATGATTATCTCCATAAGTTTTTAATTCTCAATATATTTGCGGATTTAAGAAATTTATGCAATTTGTTTCTAAGAATTTTAAAAGACACGTGGAATATTGTTTGTTGTCTTTTAAATGAAGTTCTCTTTTGAGTATATTTGTATAATTTGTGAAATTTTGTATTAAAAGTCTTTTAAAAAAATGAAATTGTGGTGTTTTCTTAATTGATACTCATTTTCAGCCTTAAGGTTATCTCCATATATGGAGATATATATATCCATATCTTGTATAACTTATCAGATGATGTAGTAAATGTATATTTATTTTCGTTAGACATTCCTACTGTTCACTAAAACCTGGAGTTAAAATCAAGTCAATGCCCAATATCATCAAAACTAACATTTATAATCAATGTCACCCACCACTTTAAACTTTGATGACAAATAAAGCACACACACTTTCTGACGTTTGTTGGGAAGCCATTCAACCAAAACTTGATTTTACTGAGCTCTTGAAGAAACAACTTGAAATCAAGATTATAAATACAAGAAAGATGAAAAAAAAAACTATATAAACTAGGCAAAAATTTCATATTTGAATAAAATATAATCTCATCATTAACAATTTCAATCATCATTATCATCATCAATTTCAGTAATCATTATCAATATCAAACAATTCATTCAACATTTATATAACAATGACCAAACACGAACACGTCTTACTCTCTGGTGCATCTGGCTTTGTAGCAACCCACATTCTTGATCTTCTTTTGAAGAGAAACTATAAGGTTACTGCTACAGTTAGATCTCAAAAGAAAGCTGATTACCTTCTTAAAAAGTTTGAGGGATTGCCTCTCAAAACTGTAATTGTTGAAGACATCTCCAACCCTGATGCCTTTGATTCAGTTTTCCAAAATGATCATTCTATTACAGCAGTTATCCATGCTGCATCTCCTGTATTTTTCCCTGAGGCTGATGGTGCCAAACTTGTTATTGAACCTGCTATTAAGGGTACTAATAATATTCTTAAGTCAATTAAGCAGTTTGCTCCTCAGGTGACCAGAGTTGTTGTCACTTCATCTTATGTTTCCATTCTCCAAGTATTTAAGAAAAATGATCCCACTTTCATTCATAACGAAGAAACTTGGTCAGATGTTACATATGAACTTGCCGAAACAGAAAATAAAGAGTTGGCGTATTTTGGAAGCAAGAAGTTTGCTGAAAAGGCTCTTTGGAAGTTCATTGAAGAAGAAAAACCCAATTTCACTGCAACTACTATCCACCCACCATTTATTTTTGGTCCTCTAATTCAAGATGTACAAACCCCAGAGCAAATTAATGGATCCAATTCTCTTTTGTTTGGCTCTGTTGTGAAATCAAAAGCTAACGATACAGAGGGAGACTATACCGAAGACATCCTACCTAGTATTGATGTCCGTGATGTTGCATTGGCACACGTTTTGGCTTTAGAAAACGATGATCTTGCTGGGCGTCGTCTTCTTGTGTCCAACGAAGACTTCAGTACTCAATCGGTTTTAGATATCGTCAACAAGAATGTTCCATACTTCAAGGGTAAAATTGCAATTGGTCAGCCTGGAACTGGTTTGAAAAATTTAAACAAATTCTCTAAACTTGATAATCATGTCACTAACGACCTTTTGAAAATTAAGTACCGTCCTTTCGAAGAAACAATCACTGATACCTTTAAGAGCTTTGAAAAGATTCTTGAAGGAAATTAAATAGTTTTTTTACTAACTTGAATTACAGTTGAAAATTTTCTGTAATATTGAAAATAGGTTTATATTTTAATAAAATAAATAAAATTTTAATAAAATTTTTTAATTTTCTTGTATAGACGGGCTGTGATAAAGCGTTTCAATTGGAAGTTTTCCTAAATATATCTGAAAAAGATGACTGACGAAAGTTGAACTTTTGAAAGACTTAACTCTATATTCTTTCCGAAAATATTAGTGTACATGTCGTTTAGACATTCAAGTATAGAAATTTCTAGGTACTGAAGTTGGTATTTTTTATGAGCCACTTTGTTATAAAACAATTATATTAAATTTGAGTTTTTAGTTTCTATATATAGCTAAAATAATAAAAACATGAATCCGTAATATATATCCTAAATACAACGTATTCTTTAAAAAAATGATACGCTACTAATTCAATTAGGTTACTAAAAAAATTGTGGTCTTTCTCGTTTTTCCATTTTTGAAAGTACAAACATCATTTTCGGAATATCTACACTTTTTGTAAACATTTTATCCATTTAAATAATTTTTTCTTTGATATTGGCTTCAGAATTGATTTTAGCATCTCTGATAACACCACATCTTCTACAACTTTTATCCATACGGAGAGTACTTCAACCATAATCCTATTAAAAAACAAATAAAATGTAAAAGATATTTTGTCCGGTTGTCTCTAATTTCCATTAAGTTGTTTATAGTAAAAACAATAAAGTTAGAATAAGAAAAATTTCTACTCGACACTTTTACTTATAGTAAGTACTTTTTTGTTTTTGAATACACTCACAGAACTATTAATTAATAATAAAGGCTTTATAATATAACTATTGAATTCATTCATTCATAAATGAATTGTTTAGTTGATAGTGTGAAGTTTTAATAGTACCGTTATCAACTGTAAGAAGAACTTTTGGTGTTTGCGATTATTGTAGCATGTAGTTTGTAGTTTGTAGTTTGTGATTTCCATTCTCAGGAACAAACCCTAACTTTTAAATTTGACGATAAATTATGTTTACTTAAAAATAAAACCCAGAGCATTTAATATTTTTTTTACATATATATAGTTGACTGTGTTTTTGCTTTGTCTGTTTCTCATTATTTAATGTATAGAGTTATATAACATCAGCATTTGCGCTATCTTTTTTTTGTTTTTACAATAATATTTTACTTTGATTTCAAAATTGCATATCCAAAAGCCTGAAAATAAGTCATGATGTAAGTTTAAGAGGAACATGGGGATTAAGAATCACCACCATTCACAATGGTTTTGCTTTGTTCAACAAAAAAAATTCGGTTAAAAATAAATTACTAAGCATAAATAAATAAATTATGAAAGTTATATGTAAATTATGCCCTTTTTCTACTATGCCACAAAATTGGATTATTTTCAAAATTTAATTATGAAAATAATTAAAATTCATAATGAAAAATTTAGAATAACTTATATAATGCATTATGCCAGCTTTGTAGATGCTAAGAAACTGGTTTTGATTGTGGAGAGATTTATTTTTTCTGCCAAAACTTAGCCAATATATTCTTCAAACATGGAAAAAATAGCAATGACAACTAGGCGTCTATTAAAATCTATCTTGGTTATCAAGTCTTAAGGCCTGAAAAATCTGTAAGATTATGTCATAGTGGTGGTTTGTGAAAAGTAAAAGTAAAAAAAAAAAGGGGGGGAGTTTACTATGTATATGCAGTGATGATGTGTTTGAAAATTTCTGATTTAGACTGATAATGGGCCTTTATCTTGTTTCTTGTCTTCGTTTCTGGTACGTTCGGCAATGTATTTTGCAAACCTACCGTATCTTGTTTTTCAGTTGAATGGTACCAGATAATTATCTAGATATGTTTGGGAGTGGAGCCTTCCATACAAAAATGAAGAAAATCGTACCATATTTGGAAATAAAAAAAAAAAAAAAAAAAGATTACTACGTGGCTTATTCAAAACCAAATATATATATGGAGAAATTGTTTTGTTTTTCTAGCTTAAAAAAAAAAAAAGCAAAACCTGTTTAATATTTTCTTTTTACCTAAAAATTATCACTTCAACATATCTACCCCATATTTTAATTTTGTTATCCTTTGACTCAGAAGATTAATTTACAATGCCGCCTGAAACATCTAAAAATCGCATTTCCAAAGGAAAAGTTGGGCGATCATGCTCAAAACACATTTTAAATAATATTGGGCCATGTTTATATACCCCAGAAAAAATTTTATCAATTGAATCTCTCCCAAAAGTTTTCAGTTCCTCAATAAACTGTGCCATAACACTATCACAACCAGATAAAAGTGAAAAATCTGTTAATCATATTTTTATTAATAACTATGAGATTGATGAAATGAGATTTGGAGGTAAAATTCAAAACATCCAAGAACCTGCAAGAAATTTCAACGGCGGATACAATATTCGAATCTTTGTTGAAGATTTTAGTGGACTTATTGCTGCTACTGAGTTTTATAATATAGGAGATAACAGATATTCGGTTACAAGAGACAAGGCCACTTACAGTTTGGTTTTTAGTGACAACCAGAATCAAATACCCAAATCTTTAAAAGAAAGTTATGCTCACAGATTTTCTATTGGTGATCATGTACTTATCGAAGGTCGAACATTGACTCCAACACATTGGGAGGACATTACTGAAAACCAAGATGGTGATAAAACAAAACCCAATACTACATCCAGAGAAAACCTTTTCCTATATGTCAACTTAACTAACATTAAAAAAGCAACAAAAGCTGAACTTGGTCAACACGCGATTGATATAATAATTAACTATTGTCTTATTCGAACACCAAGTAACGAAAAAACCAAAATATCCGAATTAATTTTAACAGACCTTAAATCTTATAAGCCTGAAAATGAACAAGAACAATTTGAAAATAGTGAATTCGAAATCGAAGAAGAGGAAAAGGAAGAGAGAAAGGAAGAGGAAGAGGAAAAGGAAGAGATAAAGGAAGAGGAAGAGGAAGAGGAAGAGGAAGAGGATACTAAAGAAAACGTTGAATCCGATATAAATAAAGCAAACTACAAAGGTGAAAAGCCTTTTATTGGTGCTTTACATTCAGCTATGGCAGATATATTTTTAGACGAATTTTTTAAGGCAGTTCCAAGATGTGAAAAGTATTCAATTAATAAGAAGAGGGAAATTAATTACTTTGATGAAGCACTGTTGCTTTATTATATTTTAATTATGAAAATATGGGGCAAAAGTGTTTTTCTAAAAACAAAATACACACCAAACAAGTTGATGCATCTTGTTAGCCCTGAAATAACTTGCAATCATGCGGAATTAATTTGTCATTATCTTCGTCTAGATGAAAACGATAAATACTTGGTCAAACAAATTTTTAAATTCAGTTGTTGTGAAAACAAAGCCCATAATTACCTATCAAAAATTGCCCATAGTGAATAATTGCATAATTAATCACGTTGAACTTTTAATTGATCATGAGTTAAATTTATAGTAAAAATTGTTTTAAATATCTTTATTTTCATTATTTTTCAAATTTAATTAAATAATGAAAAAAAACAAAAACAAAAATTGTATAATGTGCTTAAGTATTACACTTCATAATTTGAATAATTTTTTGAATTTCAATATAATCTCAATATCCTTTTGACCTTTTTTTTTGTTACAAATAGTATTTTAAAAAAACCATACTGTATCACAAGGAATATTATGACTATATTATTATAATTATAATGTATTATAATACAATAACAGATAAAATTGAAATATATATATTATAGTTCATAGTAAAGTAAACAAACAAACAAGCCAGTTTTTTTTTTTTGTTAGTGTACTAATTTATTTTTATTATTTTCAAACTTAATATCATTTTCCAAAAAAAAAATCATCATCAACAACAATGTGGAATAAAACAAAAAATTACAATCTTTAAATCTGAAATTTTTTTTTTCCTTTTTCTATTAATGACGACCGAAATTATAAATGCTTTCCATTTTAAAGATTTTTTTTAAATATAAATAATATAAAAATTAGAATAAACATACAAAAAAATAGCGACACCAGCAGGACTCGAACCTGCGCGGGAAATCCCAAAAGATTTCTAATCTTTCGCCTTAACCGCTCGGCCATAGTGCCATCACGTGATAATTTTTTTAATATCTGACCTAAATGAATTAACCCAATCTAAAAATCTATTTTTAAGACTCACAAGGCTTGTCAGCTATTTATAATTTTTTTTAGATTATTTTTAAATTCATTTTACTTTTTTTTTTTAGGTTTGAAGCAATATATTAGTATTAGAGAATATAAAAGGTTTGTGTTTGCAAAATACACTTAAGAAACTTTATTACAACTTTTTTCTTTGTTTGAAAATACTTTTCTTTTTTTTTTTTTTTGTAATTGCGTTAATTTAATTTGACATGCACACACTTTTTTTTTTTTTTTTTTTTTTTCAATTTTATTTTGTTGGGCTAATTTTGTGCAATTACACTTTTAAATGCTGTGAGATTTTACATTTTGGAAAAAAAAAAAAATAATATAATAATAATAATAATAATGAAGCAAGTACTGTCAATTTACTTTTATTTTTATTTTTAATTTTTCAAATTGAATGACGTGAGAAGAAGATAGAATATGGCAATGAAGTACGTTCTTAGTTCTAGCCACGTCTTTGTTTTAAAAGAGGGATTAAAGATTGAGCCAATGACTGATCTGAATTGGCACGTCATTGTTGGGTTAAGACTTGTGCTTGGATAGTTTTTTTTTTTTTTTTTTTTTTTTTAAACAGAGTGTAGCGTCCATCATTGCCCACAGATTGCTTACTTGTTCTTAGTGGATCCTGATCGGGATGATGATGGTGAAGGTGATGGTGATGATGATGGTGGTGGTGGGTGGTGATAGTGATAGTGATGGGTGGTAAGTGGTGTGGTGAGGGTGTGTGGTGGCACAACATGCACAGTTGCAGCCGTTTGCAAGCAATTGGGAAACTAGCAGTCCTTCACATAAGCAATTACATCATAATAGCCCTAGCCCTAGTGATGGCTATTTGCAACCATAGCAACTGTTGCCACTTTTTTTTTTCTTTTTTTTTATTCTTATATTCTCACATATTCTTTTATAAACCTTCGACTCTCTTCTCTTTTTCCTTTTTTTTTTTTTTTTTTTAATTCTTTCTTTTCATCAATTTTTTTTCGGTTTTTAATTACCACGAACTTCAATTCTACTCACTTATCCATTCCCTTATAAACAACACTTTAAAAATGGGCGTTACTGTTACTACTCTTTCTCCTGGCGATGGTGTCAACTACCCCAAGGCCGGCGACACTGTGACCATCCACTACACTGGCACTCTTGCCAATGGCAAGAAGTTTGATTCGTCTGTTGACCGTGGTCAACCCTTTGTCACTCAAATTGGTGTCGGCCGTGTCATTAAGGGTTGGGACGAGGGTGTCCCTCAGTTGAGCGTTGGTGAGCGTGCCGTTTTGGACATTACTCCTGACTATGGCTACGGTGCCCGTGGATTCCCTCCTGTGATTCCTCCCAGCTCTGATCTTAAGTTTGAGGTTGAGCTTCTTAAGATTAACTAAGAAAGAAGAATGGAATAGGTTTAAGGGAGGAAGATGTACCCATTTTATAATGTGATTTAATGTTTTAAAATAATGATTAAAAAAAATGTTTTTTTATTTATATATATGAAAATTGGAATCAATTGACTTGATTTTTTCACAATATGTAATTGTTGTTTTTGATGAAATATTGAAACGGAAATTGTGAAAAAATATATAAACTTTTTTGATTAAGTACGTTTAATTATTTAAATCATATCGATATATCTTGTTACTCCAGACAACAGGACTTTTTTTTTTAAAAAAAAAAAACTTTTTCTCCACAATTCTAGCTTACTTTCAGTAACTTTGATAGATCTTTACTGAGATTTTAGTTTCAATACTAAAAAAAAAAAAAAAAAAACTCCCCAATATTGGTAATTGGTATTTTTTTTTACTAAATTTAAATGAAAATCACTAAGGAAACAATTAACCCACACTTAGCATTGAAATCTAGATCTAATTGACCTTTTGCGGGGTTGTTTGTTTGTTTGTTTGATTTTTGGAACCAAAAATTACAATAGTAACTGCCTAAAAAAAAAAAAAACCAAAAAAGTGCGGAGAGGGAAGTGGAGACAAAAAAAACCAAAAAAAAAAAAAAATAAGAGAGAGAGAGAAAGAATTAAAGGCCTTTGGTTAACGGAATTGAGTAAAAAATTTTTATCATTCCATTTAATTTCAACAGGTGTTGTTGTTAAAAGGGTTTAGTGAAATATAAAACGAGATCACGATGGTACACTTGAAACTTTTTTTATTTAATTTTTTTTTTTACAATTGGCCCAATTGATTTAATGGGTATGAGTTTAAGTGGCAGAAAAAAAAATAAATGTAAAAATAATAACGGAAATGTTTTTTTTTTATAATTCCGTATATATATATATATATAGTTAATTGTTGAATATCAAAAATAAAAAGGCTCAATTGATTGTTTATTATGAAAATATATTATATAAAAATTGCAGACTTTTTTTTAAAAGAATATGAACATACACTTGTGTTTTGGAATCAACACTACTTGTAGTAAACTAGACATTTGATAATAATCTAATTAGAATGTTTTCTGATTCAATTGACCTCCAAATTTCAAGTTTATAATATTGCTTTGATGTTTTTTTTTTTCGTTCGTTTGTTCATTCACTTGTTAGACGTGGCTGTAATACATATACCTCCTATCTTTGTTCATTAGATACAATTGATTTCGTTTCTAAAGCCAATGCAGCCTAAGCCTTACGTAGTGCATACAATTAGTTAAGTTCCGAGTTATTATTCTCAAAATTAATTAATTTTTTTTTTTTTTGATTTTTATTTTTTATTATTCATCATTATACATTCGTTAATATGCCATATTTAAGCAACAATAGCCTAAGAGTCGTGAACAAGAACCATTCTAGACTTGATATGGCCATCATGAAGGTTCTTAAGAACGGTATTGACATTGAGGTAAGAGGTAGTTTCAATTTGAGGAGTAACCAGACCCTTCTTAACCAACTCAAAGACCTCAACTTGGTCTTGGGATGTGCCCCAGAAATTACCGAGAATCTCAAACTCCTTAAAGGCAAAGGCACCCAAGTCAAAAGTAAGGTGGGTAGCACCAAGACCAATAGGCATAATAAGACCAGCAGGCTTAACATGTTTCTGGGCCAATTCAAAGGTGGATTGGATACCGACAAAGTCAGCAACAACGTCCACCTCTAAGGGTTCCTCGGGAAGCTTATCATAGACAACGTCAGCACCAAATGACTTGGCCAAATCACGGGAAGAATCCTTAAGGTCGACTGCAGTGACGTGAGCGCCAAAGGCCTTGGCAACTTGGACACCATTAATGCCCAGACCACCCAGACCAATGATAAGCAGTTTAGTGAGACCATTGATTTTAGCACGCTTAAGGGCATGGTAGGGGGTAAGAACAGCGTCAGTTGAGACTGCAGCCACAGCTGGAGAGATACCTTCAGGGACAGCTGTCAGATTACGGGGGTTAATCTGAGTGTATTGTTCATAACCACCGGGGGAACCAAGACCCAAATGAGAGCGAGTTGGTTGAACGCAAAGATTGTCAGCTCCAGTACGGCATGGTTTGCAGATACCGCAAGGATTAGGTCCATGGGCAGCAAAGAGGGTTCCAGCTGGGTATAATTCTTTATTGACACCATCACCATAGCCGACAATTGTACCTACAACTTCATGGCCAAGAATGAGGCCATCAGGGTAGGGCAGAGAGCCTGCAAGGACATGGAGATCCGAGTGACAGACACCTGCGGCAACAATTTTAAGAAGGACATTACCTGGTTCTGGTGTAGGGACAGGGATTTCCTTTTGTTCGAGTTCGAATTGACCTGGGTGGTAGATAAAGGCAGTTTGGAGGGGAGGTACGACGGTATCGGTTGACATTTTAGCGTGAGAGATAAAGGAAGGATAGAATAATCTTTGAGATGATTTAGAAAGGTTTAGTCTTGTAGAAGCAGAGATTGAAGATCTTAAAAGAGAAGCAGATGAAGAAAGTCTGAAAGTTTTAGAAAGCATAGTGAGAAGAAAAAAAAAGGAAAAATTAAGAAATTGGAGGGGTCGGGGGAATTAAAGGGATTATATAGTAAAAAAAAATTATTTTTTTTAGATAAAATGGGAAATGGGAAATGGGATGATGATGATGATGAGAAACAAGAAAAAGAAGCAAATATATATTTAGTGGAAATATAAAAAAAAAAAAGATTAGAAAGATTTTTTTTTTATGTTTTTATTATTATAATTTATATAAGAGAAATTTTACGAAAGAATAAGAAAGAATGAGGCCGGGCTTGGTAGTACATATTTATATATATATCTAAAAATTGATAAAACCATTTATTAATTAATTATTAATTTATATATGGAAATTTCCTATTCAATAAAAAAGGTTTATTTATTTATTTATTTTATAACAAAAGTATTTAGTAAAAGGAGGGGTGAATTTGTATGGAGATTTTGATGTGTGTGGGATAGATGGACTTAATTATTTGTTGCATTTTAATTGAAATTAAGCCGCTCTTCAATATAAATTTATATATACAAACGTACGGCGACAAAGAAGGTTAATAAACTAAAAAAAAAAAAAAAAAAAAAGGCGGGCGGAAGATTCTAGCCGACATGAGATTTTTTTATTTATTTTTTATTTTTTTTTTTATTATATAGATGGTGTGACTTTTGTTGAAAAAATCAGCCAATATTTAAAGGACTTTTTTTTTTTATCAGTAGAAAAAGAAGAAGAAGAAGAAGAAGAAGACTGACTTTTTAATCATCAATAGTGATGATGAACGATGATAATGACAATTCAAAGCCACGTTACGTAGAAACACCTGAATAGCAATAAATGAAGAAATAAAAAAAAAAAATCCAAATAATTGGAATCTCGTTATTCTTTATTAAATAAATAAATAAAAAAAATTAATTTGTTTTTTTTTTATCTTAATTATTATAATATCACAAATATCACAAATATCACAAATATCACAAATATCACAAATATCACAAATATCACAAATATCACAAATATCACAAATATCACAAATATCACAAATATCACAAATTGGTTTTTTATTTTTTTATGACTTTCGGGATGCGGAACAAACTCCAATTTTCTAATCATCATTTCATGATTAATTATGTCTGCCCCGCAGCACGTGATCAAACCGTTATTTATTTATTTATTTATAAAAAAAAAAAAAAAAAAAAACTTTATATAAACTTACCGAAATTTTTTATTTTTATTTTTATTTTTTTTTTGTATGTACCTGAAGATAACCTCTAAGGTTACTGAAAAGAAAAACATGGGCTTTTAAAACAAAACAAAACAAAAAAAATTATCTATATATATCTTCCAAGGTTATATTTTTTTTATTTATTTTTTTTTTTTTTTTCAAGTGAAAAATTTCTTCAATCGTTATAACTAAACAGTATTCAGAATATTTCAATATCTTTCTTTAAAGGGGTCCTTTTTATACTAGATTCAATGAGGAAAAAGTCTTGATTTAATAACCGTTATTATTATCATTATCATTATTGTTGTAAATGTCTATATATATATATATATATATATATATATTGTGTATGAGTAAAGACCAAAATCAAAAAAAAAAAAAAAAAAAAAAATTGTACGATTTCCCCAGAATTACAAAAGGAATGAATAAACAAAAACAAAAATAAATACGTTTAATGACTCCCGATTTTAAATATTTAAAGTATAAAAAAACAAAAAAAAAAGATAGAAAAAAAATCGGTGTAAATTGTGTATTTGTATTCCGGGGATCCGTGTTTGTGTTGAGACTTCTTAGATAATAAAGTTCTATATAATAAAAAGATAGACCATTAAGTTTGGTTAGACATTAAGGCTTATTTAACCCTAACCTTAATAATAATACTTAAAACATATTTCTATAAACATATACTTTATATACTAGGTCATATGTCTTATATTTTTTTTGTTCTCGTGTCTTATTAAATTTTTTTTTTATCGCACTTTCGCCTCCTGAGTCTTTTTTTTTTTTTTTTTTTTTTTTTTTTCAAGGGGCGAAGTAAACCCAACCAACCAACCAACCAACCCGACACTTCCAAAAATTTTTTTTTTTTTTTTTTGATTTATTTTTTTTTTCTTCACCACCAACTAAAATATATAATCCCGCCCTTTTAATTGTTTTTATTTTTATTTTTTTTATTTGTCCCTTTGACATTTTATAGTCACAAGTTTTCTTTTTAAAAAAAATAAATCAAAATCAATTAGAATCATCATATTCCCCTTATTACTTCTTATTATTCTTTTCAATTGTTGTATATATAATAATTCTGAAATCTTTAAAATTTTTTTTTTTTTTTTTTTTTTTTTTTTATCTTAAACAAAAAAAATAATATTTCCTCAGTCTGTGACTTTCTGCCTTTGTCAGGCCTTTTTTTTTTTTTTTTTTTTTTTTTCTCTCTCTCTCAATTAATACCACAACATCCTAATCGGCCCTTCTCTTTCAATAATGAGATATGATAAAATCGTCAAGGTATGACCTTTCTTTAAAAATCTAATGTTTATTGTCAAAAACTCATCATCTCTAACTTTTTCTTTTTTTTTTTTCTTCTATAGGGCGCTACTAAAATCAAAGTAAGTTTTAACCCTTAATAGCCACGTTTTTTTTTTTTTTTTTTTTTTTTTTTTTTTTCAAACAACAACTAATCTTTTATTATAATAAAGCTTGCCGCGCCAAAAGCAAAATATGTTGAACCCATCCTTGAAGCAACTGGCAACAGAGATGACCTTAACTCTGTCCTATCTCTACTAGGCCAGCGCATGGCTGATACTGCATGGACAGTCTCTTACAAGGCTCTCGTTGTTGTTCACATTATGATTCGTGAAGGTGCCCGTGACGCGACCTTGGCTGCTCTCACCCAACAAGTCCACATTTTTGACCGCGTTTCCGGCGGTGGCCACTCTTACAATATCAACCGCTACGCTCGCTATCTCAGAGAACGCGTCATCCAGTACTCAAACACTCATGTCGATTACGTCCGCTCAAGATCTCGCTCTTCCGATAGAGAGCGCTCCGGCAGCCGCGACCGCTCAAGCTCTTCTTCCGGTGGCCGCCTTCGCTCTCTTACTGTCGAAAAGGGCCTCTTGCGTGAGTGCGATAGTGTCTTAGACCAAATCAGTGCCCTCCTTAAGTGCCGTTTCCACGAAAATGATGTCGACAATGATATCGTTCTCACTGCTTTCCGTTTCCTTGTCCGTGATCTTCTCTCTCTTTACCAGGTTCTCAACGAGGGTGTCATTAATGTCCTCGAACACTACTTTGAAATGTCTAAAGTTGACGCCACCCATGGATTGGACATTTACAAGCGTTTCACAAAGCAAACTAACGATGTAGTCAACTTTTTGCGCGTCGCTAAATTGCTCGAGTACCAAACAAAACTCCATGTCCCTAATATCAAGCATGCTCCAGTCTCTCTCACACAATCCCTTGAAGATTATCTCAATGATTCTAACTTTGAAACAAACCACCGTCAGTACATGGCTGAGAAACAGGCCCGCGAAGCCTCCGGCTTTGGCAAAAACCAGCCCTCTCCTCAGTCTAGAGGTTCCTCTTCTTCTGGTGCAAAGTCAACTTCAGGGGCAGTCAGCAGAAGACCAAGTACCGTTGTGCGCAGCCAAAGCTTGCGTGAAACCCCTACATCTAACGGTTCATCTACTACATCTGGTGCTTTAGACTCAACCAACCCCTTTAGAGCAATGCTGCAGCAGCAGCAAACTGCAAATATCTCTGGGCCACCAACCCAATCTCAAGACCCTAATGTGGTGGCTGTTTTTCAAGGAAACATTCAAGTCCCAGACAATCAAATTCCTTCTCGCATTGTTATTCAGCCAACCATTGTTCCTATCCAAAATCATAACCCTTTTGGTGCAGTGACCCAGCAAAACCAAATATTACAGGCCCAGGCCCAGGCCCAGGCCCAGGCTCAAGCTCAAGCTCAAGCTCAAGCTCAAGCTCAAGCTCAGGCTCAGGCTCAGGCCCAGGCTCAAGCTCAGGCTCAAGCTCAGGCTCAAGCTCAGGCTCAAGCTCAGGCTCAGGCTCAGGCTCAAGCTCAGGCTCAGGCTCAAGCTCAGGCTCAGGCCCAGGCTCAAGCCCAGGCACAGGCCCAGGCTCAAGCACAGGCTCAAGCTCAGGCTCAGGCTCAGGCTCAGGCTCAGGCTCAGGCTCAGGCTCAGGCTCAGGCTCAGGCTCAGGCTCAGGCTCAGGCTCAGGCTCAGGCTCAGGCTCAGGCTCAGGCTCAGGCTCAGGCTCAGGCTCAGGCTCAGGCTCAGGCTCAGGCTCAAGCTCAAGCTCAGGCTCAGATTCAACAACTTCAAGCCCAACACACTGCTCAACAACAAGCTTTGACTTCTTCCTACACAGGTGCTGGTTTTGGCGGCTACACCCCTAATGCTCCTGCCGCTATTCTTCCTCAACAGACCCAGAGCCAACCTGGATTTGGTACTCCTAGCTCCATCATTAGCAACTTTAGCAACCTCAGCAACACATCCACCCCCTTGAGCATGCAGAGCACAACCTCTAGCGGCCTTTCCTCGGTTACAACGGGCTCCAACCCTTTCCGAAGTGCTGCTGTCCCTATTCAAAGCACAGGGAACCCCTTTTTAAAACGCAACAACACTGTGGCTACCCCCATGACCACCTCAGGACCTCTTGGTGGCAATGCTGGATCCATTCCGGCCATGCCTGGAGCTGCCACTGGCGTGCATCGCTCGGCCACAAATCCCTTTTCTTCCGGACTTTCTGGATCTAACTCATCTTTGGGTGGGTTCCAACAGCATCAGCATCAGCAGCCGTTGCAACCCCAACTTACTTCACAAACTACTGGTGTGAACCCGTTCCGTGCAAATACAGCCATGCTGACTGGAGCGGCAACTGGTTCCGGATACAAGCCGACAATTGGGGGATTAGAACAGTTGCAGACGATTTCTGTGTTTCCACAAACGCAGCAGGCCCAAGCACAACAGTCACAGCAACAAATGTATATGAACCAGCAGCGGGCGTTTCTGCAACAACAGGCAACTGCAATGCAACAACCCCAACAGCAACCAACCCTGATTTAGATGATGGAATATTGAAAGTGGGAAGGAAAAGAAGAAGAAGAAGAAGAAGAAGAAGAAGAAGAAGAAGAAGAAGAAGAAGAAGATAAATGAGTTGATACGAAGATATGATAATTGAATAATGACGATGATGATGATGATGATGTTGACGACTAATACGCTTTTAATTTTTTTCATTAATTTTTATTTTTTTTTTTTTTTTTTTTTTTTTTTGCATTTATTCCTTTTCAACCTAAGTTTAATAATTGAAAATAAGAATAACAAAATAATAAAAGAATATCAATCTCTTTTTTTTTTATTTTTTTTTTATTTTAAGAAATAAACATAATTCACTTTTTTTTTTCTTAAAATTTCCCTCCCTAATGAAAAAACAAAAAACAAAAAAACATTTCAAGTTGAGATTTTACAATGACCGGTACTTCTTAAGGACCGAGCACGATATGAGCACCAGATCAATGTTATGTAAGCTGAAATATACCGAGGTGTTTTTTTTTTATTTTTTTATTTTTTTTTATTTAATTTTTTTTTATTCTTCTTTTTCTTCTTATTCTTCTTTACATTGAGCGATAAAAGTTCCAAATATAATAGCTCACAATCATCCTCAACCAGTTAATGCCTAAATTTTGATATAATTCTCTCAGAGAGAGTTTTTTTTTTTTTTTCTTTTAGTTATTCACCCTCATGATCATTTAACTGACACTTCCGATCTCTCCCTCCCCTTCCCAAAAAAAAAAAAAATAAAAAAAAAAATAAAAATTCTTTTGCAATCAATCACATTTGCTTTTTCAAACTTACTCCAGAACTCCCTTAAACTCCCCATGGTATACTACCCAATTCACTTCCCATCGGAATTCAGGTTAGGCAACGTGTATAGCAGGTAGGTAGGTCTCTTTCTTTTTTTTTTTTTGGTACCTGATTTATGAACACTTTTTAGCAACAAAATAAAATAAAAAATTACTAGCCGAGATTCTTTTTTTTTTTTTTTTTTTTTTTGTAAAAAAACAATGTAAGAACCATGATAAATATTTGAAATTTTCCTAATACTTTTTTGGTCAACTTTTTGTCAAGTTGCAACTTTAATGACAATTTTTTTTTTTTTAGTAGTTGCAATTTTTTTTTTCTTTATATATTCTATTTAATAGGTATACTGGATGAGTTTTTTAGGCAAGTTTGAGTAAAAATTTTAAGCAAAGATTATTGGAAAAATTTTCTAATGGAAGGGATGTTTCTAGTTTTTAAAAGAAATTAGAATGAAAATCTTTTTTTTTTTTTAAACATGAAAAAAATATAGTTTTTTGTAGTTATTTTATTTTTAAATGTTTAATAAGTTCAAATTAAACAAATTGAACAAATTGAACAAATTGAACATATTATATATATATATATATATATGAAAACGGAGGAACGAACAATATTAATATGATTTTTGGTTTTTTTTTAAAAAAAAAAAGAAAACTACACAAAAGTCAATTTCTTCCTTCCTCAACTTGTAAACTTTTGTGGAATTTCAATTTTTTTTTAAAAAATAAAACAATTTCTAAATTAACAAAATCTATCTAAACATATTTAGATAATGATATTAGATATGATATTCCAATTGATCAATAACTCAATCAGTTGTGATTATGGCTTATTTTTCTTAAAAAATAACTTTTAAAAAAATCGTTTAATAATAAGACCTGTATAATTTTAATTCAAAGTAAAAAAAAAAAAAAGAAATTCAATTTTGAAATTTTTTTTTTTTTTTTTGAATTTAATCTTGAAGCACTTTTCACTTTAGGTTCTATTGATAACATTCCAACCCTGAAAAAAAAAATCCCGGGTTTGGTACTTGGATGAGGGGTATCTAAATCAAATGTATGTGCCCATAGTTTCTTTGTTCTTTAAATTAAATTTTTTTTTTTAATTCTAGGAATTTTGTCACTTGCCCAAACACCGTAAACAATCCACATCATGAGTACTATACAGCGCTCCAGAAATCGAGCACCGTTCACACACCACGTTACCACATCCTCCACACGTGTGTTCGCGAGCCACCACATACTCGTCGTCTGAGACAGGAGTTCCACAGTCATAGCAATTAAAAGTTGGTACTACTTGTTGCTGCAAAATGGCTGATGTTGGTTGTTGGTGATGCTTTTGTTGTAGATACATTTGCCTCGAAGCTGAGAGCATTGTACGGACTGTGTTTTGTTGTAAGTGAGATAGTAGGGGCGTGTGTAATGCACGTTTGGCGCTAGGTCCTTCACCAGTTTGCAGTTGAGGTTGAAGCTTTTCTGGAGAAATGGGCGGCGTACTTAGGCCATGGGATGGATATTGTGTTTGAAAGAATTGTGAAGATTGTGTGTTGTTGTACTGTGTTGAGGGGAACTGGGAGTTTGGTGACATATAGTTGTTGAAATTATCTTCATGGGCCCTTTTCCTTGAAGGAGCTGGATAAGATTGAGTAAACATAATTTTTTTTTTATTGAAGATATTAGATTTAAAGATATTTTTAAAATTTAGATCTAAAGATGATAAAAAGAACAATACAAAAATTAATTTTGGAAATGCAGAGAAAAAGTAGTTTATATAAAAAGTCTAAAGAACGAGAAAAAAAAAGTCACCAGAGAAGTCAGAAGATTTTTTTTTTTTTTTATTTATATAAATATTTATTTATTTTTTTCTTCAGTGTAAATAACGCGACTTTTTTTTACGTGTATATTTCGTGATAAAATATAATTGTTGTAATTACACTTTGTATTTGTCACATAATTTTGATGCGGCATTTTCAAAGTCATGTGCAAATATGGAAAATAAGGCATCACTGACGCAGATATTAGTCATGGTTACATAATTTCTACACTGTGATCTAGACGCGTCCGAAAAGTTTTTTTTTTTTTTTTTTTTTTTTTCCTTCTCTTGCAAGCAAAAAAAAAAAAAAAAAAAAAACCTCCAATTCTTGTTGTTGGTGATAATTTTTTTTTTTTTACTTTTATTTTTTTTTTTCTGCTTTAAAAAAATTGATTAAATGTTCAACTAAAAAATCCCACAATTTAAAACTTCAAAATTTTATTCTAATCAAACCTTTGCTTTTTTTTTTTCTCTCTCAAGGTAAGTAATTAAATATTCTGCGTGTTGCAGGGCTTTGACCGGATTTTTATTATTTATTTATTTTTTTTTTTCTGGTTCTTGCTTAGAAAGAAATTATCTTTTTTACCTCTGGTTCTTACTAACCAACCCACCCCCTCTATCTTCAACCCCTCCAAACAGGCTTTATTATATTTTAATTTATTTTATTTTTTTTAAAAGATGAACTCAGACAATTACTGGGCCGGTGTGGATTCTATCGACTCAAAAAGTTCTATTCTTGAACAATCAGGTTCTATTGACCCCTCTTTCAACCAACAGTCTCGCCACGATGATGGCTCTCCAGGCCCTGCCTATGGCGGAAGCCAGCAGCAACAGCAACACCACCAAGATGCAGTCGCCGCTGCTGTCGCCATGTCTCAGCAACATCACCACCATCATCATATGCACTCTCAGTCCCTAGAATCTAGCCACGGGGGTCCTGGTGGTGATGGGTCTGATGGCAACGATCTTGGCGTCCACCCTGACGGGTCAGGCGGTTCCGGCCAACTTTCATCGCCGTCTCATCTTGATATGTCTGTCACATCCAATAGTCCTCCCGGTTCAAGTCCGCGCTCTGCCGCCGCCGTGGTAGCTGCTGCTCGCCAAGCTAGAGGTACAAATTCACCGCCACCAAGCTCTGCAGCTGGCTCGCAGGTGGGTGGCGCGGGCTCACAATCGCAACAAGGCCAGTCGCCTCAAGACTCACCACAGATGCACCATGGGAGACTATTGTCAAACACAAAGCGTGCTCACCAAAACAGACAGGCCCAACGCGCATTCCGCCAACGCAAGGAAATGTACATTAAGGAGCTGGAAGCTAAGGTCCAGGAACTCAAGACTTCTAAAGAAACCATTGGTGCTCTACGACAAGAAAACATTCAACTTCGCGATTATATTCTTGCTCTTCAGTCGCGACTTATTGAGCACCCTGGTGGTGTACCTACTCCACCTGCCGTTTGTGCTCGCCAGCAACCTGATATCTACGAACAGAACAAACTGGAAAAATGATTCAAGGCCTTTTTTTTTTATTTTTATTTTTATTGGATTTCTTTTTCATTCGTTATTGCTAAGTTTTTTTGTAATTTTTCTTTTTTAAAATAATTTAAGACGCGTTTTTTTTTTCTTTCAATTTGTTTTTGGTGGGTTTTTTTTTATTCCCCCGGATTTATCGTTAGGTAATGCCTTAGCAAGCCATCCTAACAATCTTGTAGCCAAAGAATGGCCTTAGGCCCCTCACAAAGTCTTTTTAGCCAAAGTAGTTCTTTTTATGAAAAGATTGTTTGGATTCTTTTAACTTATTCTTTCCTTTATTTTGTTCTTTGTAATGCCCAAAGGCACCATATATATTTCTTCTTCTGGCGTGAATTTTTTTTTTTACCTGTTCCCATTTTTGGTGGCTGCCTTGACCATGACACGCTCGTGACCTAATATACTTAGTCAGTCCACAAACCACTGAGAACAAGGAAAATTTGTTTCTTGTGATATTGCCCCCCCCTCCTCAAAGAATTACACCCTTCAAATGGCAAATAAGCAACCATGAAACACGAAAAAGAAGATGCTGCTAGCGTCTTAGAACAGTATATTTCAGATGGTAAGAATTATTTCATTTCATTTAATTTTGAATCTTTCTAATTTTATTTTTAGTTGGAAATCTCCCAGGCGAAATAGCTCATGTATTAGAGGAAATCCGTGAAAAGGACCTCAAGTTTTATGACACGCGCAAGCGTATCCAACAACGCGATAACCAAATCCATAAGTTTATCCGCACCCACGGTTCCTTAGCCGAAAACCCCAAAGAAGTCTCTGCTTATCCTAAGATTCGCACAGACTTTGAAAAGGCTAGAATCCTTCAGAATGAAAAATGTGACCTTTCCGTTACAGGTCTCTACCTCATCTCAAAGCATCTCCGTCGTCTCATGGAGAAAATCGAGCTTCTGGAGCGTGATGGTGAAATCCCCCCAGACCCGAATCCAGCTTCCATCACAGACTTTACACTTTCTACACCTGCATCCGCAGTTACTCCTGAGTCGAATCCTTTATTATACTCCATGATGGCTGCTGCCCAGGCAGGAACCGCAGGCACGGGCTTAGGAATGGCGTCTATTGCCCAACTGGGCCACACCACTTCGACCTCAGGAAGCGCAGCGGCTTCTGTGGCTGCTCAACTACACCACCATCTCACAGGAGCTGCTTCTGGTACGGTTTCAGGCCAGGCTGGTGCTGCTTCTACTTCTACTTCTACTTCTACTTCTACTTCTACTTCTACTTCTACTTCTACTACAACCCGTGCAGGATCTGCACGGGCTACTGGATCCCGTCAATCTCGTGCAGGAGCCGCAGCTGCTGCAAATACATCAGCTGCTGGCTCAACAGCTGCAAGTGGCCAGGGTGCCTCTGCAACTGGGTCTCATCGCAAACACTCATCTACAGGACCAAATTCGCGTGGTAGCACCCCTGGGTCGGTCCAGGGTGCCAATGGAGGTGCAGCTACCGGTACTGCAAGTGTCGGAAACGGGAATGGTGCCACCGGGCTCGCAGGCGAGCTAACAGGCGCAGCCGCCGGTGGAGCAGGTGCAACTACCAAGGGCAAAGGTGCTGCAGCGGTGGCTGCGGCAGCAGCAGCAGCTGGAGTTTCCGGTTCTGCTACTGCGGCAGCACTTAATGCTACAACAAATGGCGCCATTACAACTACTGGGACTGGGGCGTCCACAGGTGCTTCCACACGGCCATCTAAACGTCAAAAGGTAGGCGCAGGTGCTGGCCACAAGAGTGGAGCAGGACGTAAAGGTGCAAACGGCAGTGGTTCTGGTGCATCATCACGTAATTCTACTCCTGCTGCAGAAGCCGCTGGCACCGCAGGTGGTGCTGGAGCCGGTGCAGGTGCTGGAGTAACTGGAACTAAGGCCGGGTCGCGACGTGGAACTAATGTGTCTGAGCACACTGGTGGGCGTGCCGCTGCTTCGGTTTCTGCAGCAGCAGCAGCTGCTGCTGCCGCCGCCGCTGCCGCCGCTGCCGAAGCTCTTGAAGCTGATGAGGAGGTCGACAGCACAGGCCAGAGCCGGAGCCGGTCGCGAGAGAAGGAGGAGGAAGAGGAAGGAGCCGTGGCAGAAGATGCTGGGGTTGTTGCGGATGCTGAAGACGAGGTGTACTGTTCGTGCCGGCAAGTGTCGTTTGGTAATATGGTTGCGTGCGATAACCCGACATGTCCCTACGAATGGTTCCATTGGGATTGTGTGGGACTTGTGGAACCACCCCAGGGCACCTGGTACTGCCCTACTTGTACAAAGTCAATGAAGGAAAAAGACTCCAAGAAGCGATCGCGAGGGTGATGGATGGATATCAACAACGGATTACAAGTAGGTTGTGTATAAAAAAAAAATATCCACCATATTGTACTTTACTACTAATATATACTAAACCACCAAACGATGACCTCCACCTCTGAGATAACTGGTGATCTCGCCAAACTGGGCATATCGTCCAAAGTCTCGCAGATTGTAAAAGACAGTAAGTCCTGGGAGGATCTTCTCAAGGCTGTTACTATTGAAATTGATGCTTCATCAGATGCCACTTTTTCAGACCTTGTTTCTGGCTCATATACTTTCAAAGATTCGAAAACACCAACTCCTCGTTCAGTTCTTCCGCGTGTCGTTGCCTCCAGTCCTACAAACCGCACAGCCTTTGTGACTTTTTTAGATACCCGGCCAGATTTGGTTTCTTTGTACGCTGATTTGGTAGCCAAAAGCGATGATTCGGGCGATGCACTGGCTCCAGTTTTCCCTCAGCTTGCCACCAAAACTCAGCGAAAGTTTCTAGATGTAGCAACTGGTTCGCTCAAGGGTGAAAAGCCCGGTTCCAAATCTTCTTTGGCTCATCTTCGAATCATTTCCTCATACTTTGCATCTCCACGACTTCAAAAAACAACCTCAGATGATGATGAAATCAAATACATTAAAGAAAGTCGCCACAAACTTTTATCACTTTTGGCACCTTATGCTGACCGCAGACTGCCTCCCCAATGGGTGTCACCAGTAGCTCTAGTTCTTGTCAAACTGCTAGAACTTGACTACGATGGTACTACTGAAACAGTGCAGAGTCTTGTCGATGACCTACTTCTTGTATCTGGTCCTTCCGAGGCTAATGCCGATTCAAACCTTTTAATCCAAGCATTTTCTATCACTTCACTGCTTTTCCACGTGGACAAGGATGTAGGGTATTCTGTTTTTTCGAGCGACGCAATTGCCGCTCAACACAAGCTTTTTGATACCACAGCAGCAAAACCATCACCATTACTTGCTTCTGAAGATGTTGTCATTGCAGCCATGGACCTTTTGTCATCAGCATGTGTCCACAAGGAGGCTCGCAATATAGTCAAGGAGCGGTTTCTTGGAATGGTTAAGTATGCATTTGAGCTTTCTGGAAAAACATCCGTTACAGTTCTTGCAGCTTCTGTACTTGTCAAGACCACTTATGCCAACGCTCAACCAAAGATACCCGGCCAAAAACCACAAGAAGATGAAGACCATATTGATCTCAAGACATTGTCACTTGTATTTGAAGAACAGGTGGAAAAGACTCCATATACCAAAGATGAAACTCCAGAAGATCACATGGCCAAGTTCATCTACGGAACTGCTCTTGAGGGTCTTGCATTTACGTCCCTCAAGCTGGATACCAAGATGCGTGTGGTTGCCAGTTCCAATATTTTAAAAAACTTAGTTACAGTTGTTAAAAGCACTAAGGAAGGCCCTTGGGTTTACTGTGCACTGAGCATCTTTGAGAATGTGACGACATATGCACCCAAAGTTACAGAGGAACAAAAACGCGTCGACAAGCTCAAGGAGTATGCTGAGGGCGGAGGAAAAGATGGGGCCAAGGATGAAAATAAGCAAAAGCATGAGCCGGACTCATTGGTTGCCATTCGATGCAAAAAGGTTCTAGCTACCGACATTGTTTCTGTACTTGCAACAAACTCTCCTAGTTTTACACGTGCGGCATGCAACACCACGGCTCGTCTACTGCGTAATCTGTCCACCGATAAAGCCCAGCGCGGGTTGTTTGTGCAGCAAGGTGGATTGACAGTTTTGTTGTACTTGGTTCTACCGAAAGTCGAAAAAAAGGAAGTTTCATGGGAAGACTTTCGGGTTGATCCGCGGGAGGTTGTGGTGGCCACCTCTGGGCTTGCGCGTGCACTCATTTCGATCGACCCGAAACTGGCATTTGGTACCAAAATCTCGCCTGCTGTGGCCATCCAGCCATTGGTACGCCAACTTTCCAATGCGGGGAATATCGGATCATCAGGCCGTAGTGTTCTTGATACCCCCCAGCAGCTCTCTGATATTCCTCTTCTTGATGTGTTTGAAGCTCTGTTGGCTCTGACAAACCTCGCCAGTGTCGATGAGAAATGTGCCGGATTGATTGTGCACATAGCATGGGAAAAGCTTGAGATTTTGCTTGTTTCTGGCAACGAACTTGTCCAACGAGCAGCCGTTGAACTGCTGTGTAACTTGGCTGCATCCCCTCAGTGCGCAGCCAAGTTCTTTGATCCCGCTACTAAGGCCTCTGGTACAAGTCGTCTGCGTCTGCTTGCAGCTCTGGCCGATATTGACGATCTGCCGGTACGGTTGGCGGCGACTGGTGCGATTGCGATGCTTTCTGAGTGGGGCCCAGCAGCTGTTGTACCTCTACGCGAGTCGGAGCCTATTGTGGATCGCTTGTTGCAGCTTTTGCACGAGGAAACTGACGGTGGAGTTATGGTGCGTGTTTTAACGGCACTTGGAAATATGCTAGGCAACAATGACTCTGTTCCTGCGGACCCGAAGTTTTTTGGACGGTTGCAGGCGGAGGTGCCGGCGCTCCAGTCTGTTGGTGCACGGACGGGAGATGGGGATGCGGCTGAGCTTTGTTCGGAGCTTGTGGCGGTGCTTCGGTGATTAGTTGTAACAAATGCAAAGTTGTAACAAAAAATGGCGCAGGGTATTTTTTTTAAGGTACTGACAGTGTGAGATTTAGATGACCAGCTCACATCTCAAGAAACAAAATAATAAATAAATAAATAAATAAAAAATAAATAAATTATTCTAAGAAACTAAAAAAAAAAAAAAAAAAAAATATCGAAAGTCTTTCTTCCGACCAACCATTCTTCCCATACAAATCACAGCCACAACAACCACAACAACAATCAAACAACCCTTTGGAGAGACTTACCCATAACCAATAATGACTTCTTCTCCGATACCTGCTCCAACAGGCCGTCAGGAACCCGAACATGGTCTTCTCGACGTTTCGGAGCCATCACCTTCAGACTCACTAGAGCTTGAACTTAAGCCCGGAATTGCAAATGCTTCACGAGGTGCCCCGTCGCTCGCAGTAGAAACAATCTCAATCAATACTAACGCACATTCCATTCGCACGGGCGACGAGTCCTTCACAGACTATACGCTGATTGACGATGCGTCGTCCCGGCGGTCGGTTCAGCATAGCACAGTGTCCAGCGACCTCAAGACTCAAGGATCTACCAAGTCACAAACAAGTCCTAAACACCATCAACTTCAACAACAGCACCATCAAGCACAAGCACAACCAACATCACCGCCACAACAACAACAACAACAACAACCCGAAATATCGCCACTTGTCTCAGCTTCTCAACTTGGTGATTTTCGTAAGGTCAATCAACTCATTACCTCTGGAGAAGCCTCTGCTCTCGAAACTGCACCCGATGGAGTCACACCACTGCACTGGGCTGCCATCAACAACAGACTTAATATTTGTCGATACCTACTCGACCACGGCGCACAAATCGATGCCAAAGGTGGCGATCTCCAGGGAACTCCGCTGCACTGGGCATGCCGTGCCGGCCTCGTGTATATTGTCCAACTGCTTATTTCGCGTGGCGCAGACCCCCTCCGCACAGACACTCAAGGGTTTAATGCCCTTCACTTGGCTGTACACTCCTCTAATGTCTTGCTTGTCATTTACTTGCTGCATCTCGACATGCCGGTTGACCCTCTTGACACGGGAGATCGTACCCCCCTACATTGGGCTGCGTACCAGGGTGACGCACTCACCGTCGATGCACTGCTTAAGAAAGGCGCCGATGTGCGAATATCAGACTCGCGAGGGTTTACAGCCCTTCACTGGGCCATTGTACGCGGAAGTAAACCCACCATTAAGAAAATTATAGAGGCTGGTTCGGATCTCTTTGCCAAATCTAATGACGGCAAAACCCCCCTAGTCATGGCTCAGGGAATGAACACTCTAAATGTCTGGAAAGCTGCTCTCAAAGAAACAGGCCGCGACCCAGAAACTGCAATGCCCATTGTGAAACTGCTTCAACCAAAACATGCTAAACTTGCATTTTTCTTTGCACCCTACATCATTTTATTTATTGCCCTTAACCTATGGGCTTCTCTTGCCATCTACTGGTCCATTCCACTTTCCATCGTCATCACTCTGGCTATTTTTAAACTACTTGGCAAGTTTGTTTTGCCCAGTATTTCTACAGAACCTCATGCTCTTATGCAAACCCCCATATTTGCTGGCCTCTTTTCTGGCTCTGCATTTTGGGTTGTTATACATTATATCTTTGACGTCATGCCTGTCACATTTACCTACTACGTTTTCCGCAACTTGCTCTTTATTGTAACATTTTCCCTTGTGATTTACTCTTTCTTTGAAAGCATGTTCCGAGACCCTGGCTTTATACCTCCCATCTCTAACCCTGCTGAGCAGCGTGCCATGATTGATGGTCTCATTGAGCGTGGTGAATATGATACCAAACATTTTTGCATTTCCACATATGTCCGCAAGCCTTTGCGTTCGCGCTACGACCGCTTCACCAAACACGTCGTGGCAAAGTTTGACCACTACTGCCCGTGGACTTATAATGTCATTGGCGTCCGCAATCACCGCATCTTTGTCGTTTTTGTCATCACTCTTACTATAGGCATACCCATGTACCTGTCGCTGTATTTCAAATACACTGGCATCTTAAGCTCAAGTACAGTGATTGACTATTGCAAAGAAAACCCAGGCATTTTGGGGTCTACCTTTTGCCGCTCCTTCCAGGTCGACTATTACGGTACTTTACTTGCGATTTGGACTACCTTCAATGGCGTATGGGTTTTCTTCCTTGCCTTTGTCCAGATTGTCCAAGTGGCTCGCGGTGTTACAACAAATGAGGCTTCCAACCTACACAAGTATGGTTTTATGGGTGCCGATGACTTTTCCAGCCTCCCACTTGATCACTCAACTGCCATCAATACTGCTCTTGCAAACTCAGCGGCTGCAGTCCAGGCGCAGGCCCGTATGCGCAACAATAATAACAGCCGCTTCTCCACTTGTCTCAAGCTCTTAGGCATTGACCAGTTTTTGGCCACGGCTCGAGATGCGGTGCCCCTCTCAAGTGGAAATGGCCGCAACTCTTCTACGCGATACTCGTCTAACAACAACCCAGCAGACTTGGGTTGTTTCCGCAACTGCGCCGACTTTTGGTTCCCTCGAGGGTCGTTCAATGTCCTGCGTGCATTGCCCGATGGCGCTGCTTCGTTTGCAGGCAACCCCGTAGACTACTACCGCATGTGGGACTTCCCCACGCGTAATGGCGGGGCCAGTAACGGCGCCAGTGGGAATGGAAATGGCCTGGGTAATGGAGCTCCAGGATCTGGGTCCCGTGCAAATAGTTTGCTTCTTGGAGGGGGAGCTTCTGGAGATGCTGGTGGAGCTAATCATGATGATGGACGCGATGATTTAGGCAAGAAACGTAATGACGATGAACTTGTAGCTCAACAAGTCTAAGGACATAGGAATCACAAAAAAAAAAAAAGTATATATGCGCTTTACATTTGATGTTATTTTAGGAAACCAAATTTGTAAAAATAAAAAATTATTTTGGAGTTATTTATAAAAAAAAATTGGGGGGAAAAAAAAAAAAGAAAGCATATTATACAAATGGGAGGATTTTTTTTTTTAAAAAAAACGAAAAAAAAAAAAAAAACAAATCATTTGACCTTTTGCATGAGGACCCATGAAGGCAGATTCTGCGATTTACTTTCATAAATGGGAGTGGGCAAAAGATTTTTGAGCCGCGGGCCACGTCTATGAGGTTTACCGTGGTGGTGGTGCGACGTCGCTGCTCTTGATGTTAATGATGTTGATGTTGATGTTGATGTTGATGTTGATGTTGATGTTGATGTTGATGTTGATGTTGATGTTGATGTTGATGTTGATGTTGATGTTGATGTTGATGTTGATGTTGATGTTGATGTTGATGTTGATGTTGATGTTGATGTTGATGTTGATGTTGATGATAATGATGATAATGATGATAATGATGTTGATGATGTTGATGATGTTGATGTTGTTGGTGTTGTTGATGTTGTTGATGTTGTTGATAATGATGTTGAAGAAGGTACTGATGATGGCTCCTCCGGTAAAGCCCTTTGATTTGCAGCCAAGTACGGATTGTAGTACTCTTCGCTCATGCGCTGAACGTCCAACCAGTACTCGCGGAAATGTACCCGCCGCTGCACATCATTAAGTGCAGTGTACTGAGCGGTTGTGTCGTTCAGTTGTTTCAGCTGCTGTTGTCGCCGCCGCTGGACAACAGGAGCAGCCATTTCAGCTGCAGCACGGCGTCGCGCTGCCCGTCGTGCCCGCTCATCGCCTGTTGCCAACGTGCCAGCCATGTGAATTTCATCATTGTTGTAGTGACTGTCGTCATCATCCTCCTCGTAGTTGTCTCCATAGTCAAGCTTTCGGCACTTGCTGCACTCAAAGTCCCATGTCTCCAATCCACACTGGGGGACAACGAGCTGGCCCAAAAATTCAGTGCGCTCTGTTACTCGTGCAAGTGCTCGAGTGGCGTTTATTACCAGTTTTTTGGTATGTTCTGCTGCAGTTGCGGCAGTTGCTGCTGCTTCTTTAGCTGCGGATTCGGCAGCGGCTGCTGCTGCAATAATCTTTGCTGCTTCTTTTCCACGTTTCCCTTCAGCATTGATAGGAACCATACGTGACACACTAATTGGTTTATTAGAGTCTTTGTCAAACGTGATAATCTTAAGCATATCGTCATCGTCCTCTTCATTATTTTCATCAGCATCGTCAGCGTATACAGGAACAGGGATAGGCATTTCTTGTAGATGATGAATACCCTTCTTCCCATGCTTGTGAAGACGGTGATGTTGTTGCTGAAGTTGATGGTGAAATGTATGTCTAGGATGAAGAAGTAGGTGGTGGCGTCGGCGATAGCGCAAATGCTTGCGGGACCCAAAAATCTTCTCTTCACTAGATTCATCCGAATCCGAATCGTCATCATTTGCAATTCGTCGTCGGCCATACGGTGGTTTCATAAGAACTTTACTGTAATCATCTTCAGAAACGTCATAATATTCATGTTCATCGTCGTCATCACCATCTTCTTTATTTTCATTGTTTTCATAATCAAAAAAGCCTTGTCTTGTTGCAAGGGTCTTGAACTCTTTTGGTGGCCTGCCACGCTTCTTTAATCCTGCATGATTGTGTTCCCTAATGTCTTTGCGCTTGCGTCTTCGAGAATGTTGAAGGTGACGTTCTTCACTTTCAAACTCTTCAAAAGCCTCATAGCCATCTGAATATTCCTCCTCATTTTCTTCATTTTCTTCATTCTCTTCGTCACCACTTCGTTTATTCTTCTTGTCGTCTTCAGGAGGAACAAAATGGCAGCGCACGCCAATCAACTTCATATTAGAAAAGTCCCAAGGGTGCTTAAGAACCATTTTTTCTGGTTCACGCTCAAACGAAGGCCATGAACTATTGTAAAGCATTGCGTGACGGTTACAGCGAGGGCAAAAGCGATCAGGGAAAATGCGTGGTGGTTTTGAATCGTCTGGGCCAAAGAAAGGGCATTGGCAATTGTCGCAGTCCAAAGTCAAATCTGGATCAGCATCAATTGCTTCACGGTAATAAAGACCCTGAAGCTCAACATACATTTCGAGATGGGATAATTTCTCGAGAATGTAATCCAAAAGAGTGAGTTCTGGATCTTGAACTTTTCGTCTTTCCCATTCCATGTGAGTGTTTGTGAAATCTTTATCATCGTCTGGAAATTGGAAAGTGAAAAAGTCAATAACTTTCTTTTGACTTTCTATACGAGCTTGAATACGAGTGCATCGGTGATTCTGTTGTTGCTGTTGTTGTTGTTGTTGCTGTTGTTGCTGTTGCTGCTGCTGTTGAGTCTGAGTTGTATTATGAGTCAACTGAGTCTGAGTCTGAGTTTGTGTTTGTGTTTGTGTTTGATGTTGAGGAGGAGGGGAAGTTTCAATGCAGCTTGAATTGATACTAGTATTTGGAGAATTTGAATCACTAACAGGGGTGTCTGGAAGAGAGATTGACAAATTCCTATTATTATTGTTATTATTGTTATTATTATTATTGAGTGCGTCATGCTTAACCTTAATAGAGTTTTTCGAGCAAGTGGGCGATAACGAAACTGAGACATTCGATATCGGAGAATGAGGGCTAGGGGACGGCGATGGAGTCTCAAGCCCAATTACAGTTTTAGTGAATAGTTTGGGAGAGCTGGTAGCCGAAGGTTTTGCAGGAGACTTTTTAGGAAGGTTGAGTTGGTCAGGAGAAATTTCAACAATGTCGTCATCTTTACCATCATTTTCCTCCTCCCCCTCATAATCATGGTTTTCATTATGGTGACCATGATGCTTCTCCTTTTGATGAAACTCACATTCGGAATCTTCCTCTTCTTCTCCGCCATTTTCATCTTCAGAAGATGAAGTATCAACTTCATTGGTAATATAGGGTTCACCGTAGCCATTGACACCACGAATTTCGCAAGCCAAGCAAAGGCATTCACGGTTGAAACGACCAAAATAACGGTTGCCGTAGTTAACTGTGATCTCTTGACCAGGTCCAACGTGTTTAATAGCGACAATAGTGATTCTGCGACCACGGTACTTAAAACTAGCATTGGGTTCGCAGCTGTGGTTGACAAAACGAGCTGGTCCGAGAAGAAAGCTTCCTGTACCATTTTCATGATTTATCATGGAAAAGTCAGGTCCCTCAAAATTATCAAGATCGTCCTGGTCAATATGAGCAGACCAGGCTTCAAGGCCTTTAATAACTTGGCCCTTACTGAATTCATGACGGGCAATAACACAAGCTTCCTTTGTTGAAGAGCGTGAAACGTATCTGTCAGTGACATCGATGGAAAATCCAGTTGAGGGAGAGTAAAGATTCATGTAAAGCATTGAGTACTTCATAAAATGAAGCTGGCTTTGAAGAGAAAAGGGTTGAAGAAAGCGTTTTACAGAAGGAAGTTCAACAAAATCAATGACAGCTTTTTTCAAGTCTATAATTTTGGGTTCTTCACCTTTGGAAGTGAGGCGTTTGGATAGGATTTCATAAATGGCATCTTGAGAGATATTGCGCATAGGTCGCTCACGGTAAAGCTTTCTTGTTGTGATTGGGAAAAAGACCTATTAGGGTAAAGGAGGTTAGACCAAATGTATTGGAAGAAATACAGTAGTAAATTAAAAAAAAAAAAAAAAAACAAATAACTAAACATATATGCACAATGAGGATCGTACATGATTGTCTAAATAGGGGTATAAAAAGAAAGATGAAAAAATTTAAACAAAGAAGGCTGGAAAAAAAGAGAAAAAAAAAAATATATATATATATATATACTCACATTATCAATAAGGCCTTCCGTAAGAACGTCGTCAAAAAAAGATAGATCTTTGTAGTCTATATCTTTGGGAATGAAGATACTGTGGTTTGAAATAAATATAGAGTTGCGGTCCTCATTCTTGCGTTTCCGGCTATTTTTCTTTCCGTCCGGGTCAAAAAGATCCAAGGCTGGTGTTGATTCCTTTGAGGAGAGCGGTGGAGAGCCGGATTTTGCGAGTCGTCTTCTAGGATTAGCCATGAGAAAGACTTAAAAAAATGGATGGAGTGAGTAAAAGTTGTTGTAGTGTGAAGGATTTTTATATGAATTTTTTTTTTAATAAGGTGAAATGAGTATAGTATAAGCGTTTATAATAACAAAGACCTTTTTCGTTGTGTATATCTGGAAATCAGGCTAGTCAGAGTGAAAGATAACCAACATCAGAAGAAACGTGATATTTAAAGGGGGGGGTTCAAAGTATAATATGAGACTGAAGAATGTTTTTTATTTGTTTGAAATCTATTAAAAATGGAAGGACTTTGTAAGACACTGGAGATGTTGTTATTATTATTATTGTTGTTGTTATATGAAGGTGGTAGTGGTTAGTGGTGAAGTTATTTGTGTAAAGGGGGTAATGATTATTGATGGAGCCACGAGTATATTGAGAGAAAAACACAGTGGAAATCAACAATGATACTGAGAAATACTGGATAGTGGAAAGATCAGAATGGCAGATATTCAAAACAAAAGAAACCAAACCAAGAGATTTATAAACCAATATATAAGAGATTTCTGAAAAGAAAACAAATATATAAGGAAGAAGAAGAAACTTCTTTTTATTTTGTATAAAAAAAGTTGATGATGAACGAAAAAGAAGGAGAAAAAGAAGAAAGAGAAAAATCCACACAAAAATTAAAAATTAAAAAAAAAAAAATACTAAAAATCCCGGTGTTTACTACTGCCGAATAATTACAGTTTTTGTTACAACCTTTTTTAAAAAAATTAAGTTAGCTGGGCTTTTTTTTTTTTTTTTTTTTCTCTTTGGGTGCATCTGCAGGCCTTTGGACATAAATAATTGATTGAGTACACGATAATATTTGTATATATAGTTATTAATAATATTCTTTAAAAAAAAAAAAATAATAATAATAATTAAAATAAAATAAAATAAAAATATAGTAATATATTAATCATTTAAAGATATCTCGGGTTCTGCCATATGACATGTCAGGTTGCGCAACCCGTCGGCATCTTGCTAAGTCTTATTTTAATTCCAAATGACATTCTTTGTAAACTTGCTAGATTGCTGGCAACCTTTGGCGTTCCAAGGAAGAAACAAAGCAGACTAAGCTTATTGTCAAAAGCCCCCCATCGTACTTGTTTGCTTGCGAGCATGTCTGCTTAAGTGATCACTTAAATAAATAAATAAATAAAAATACAAGCTAATATCTTTGAAATTTACAACAAAGCGGTATCTTTTAATGGGTGGGGAGATCTTTAATAAAGTCATAATAATTAAGAGAATATGAAAAAAATAAAAAAATATACATCATCTTTATTTCCAGTTAAATCTTTTTTTTTCTTTTTTGACATATTTGATCTACAATAGAAAAGAAACCGCAAATCCCGATAGCGGCTGCAGGTTGTTAATTTTTTTTTTCTTTTCTTTCCCTATCTCGCAGAATTATTATTATTCAATCTTTCTCTGCGAATAAAAAACATAGATTAGAGTGGTCTAAAAATACCTTGAACATTAGAATAAAATTGGCGCGCCGCCACAATCCGTTTTAGGATATTTAGTGAAAATTGCCTATTTTGTTAATATATAATATATATACAAAGGGTTCTTTGTTGATAGAAAATTATCAATTAAAGAAGTTCGATGAGTGAAAAAAAAAAAAAAAAAAAAAAAAGAGTTTTAAAAATTTGAAGAGTAATAATTTTGAATGAAATAAACCTCAAAATATTAAATTCGTCCTTGACTTCTTTTTGATTTCATTTTTTTTTTCAAGTGTTTATAAACTTTGAAGCTTTATTTTAAAATTCAAAGAGCTTTTGAAAATTTTCACTTCAGAGAAAGAAACTTAAATAATTTTTTTTTATTTTTTGTTTGATAATAATTTTTTTTTTTTAATGGCCCAGCAAACACCAAATTTTGATTTTATTAACAACAACGGCTTTGAAGACCAAAATGATAAAAGCGCACGGCGGGAATTATTTTGAAAAAAAAAATGACATCATTGTCAGCATTGACTAATCATGACTAATTAACTTTTAAAACCAGCACATAGCCCCTCTTTTCCTAAACTCAAAGGGCTGGCTGGGTGGCTAACTGGCAATCAAACCTCCCAAATTCTACTCTCTACCACACAAACCTTCATTTTAGATTAAATCCAGACTATCTCCAAATGTTCCAGGTTTTTACCTACTGATAAAAAATAATATTAGGCATATATAAAAATTTACCCAGTATTTTTTTATGGTCACATTCTGTTAAAGCGTCATTATCATCAAGTATAGATTACTAGAAAAACAAACTACCTAAAAAAAAATACCTCGCATCACTTCGTTCAAATCGTTTAATTATAAGAAAAATACCAGTGAACAAATGGACCAAAGCTAACAAAGTCTTTTTTCTCGCCCCCTTCTATTATTAAAAACTGAAGTCCTTCAATTGCATTATTATATTTCCATCAGCATAAACTTTCATCAAACCATTTATATATACCATGTCTTCTACAGGCTCACGGCGACATGGCCGAGTCTTGGGTCATGCAGTGGCAGTAAACCCAGCAAAACCACCTTCGGTGATGGTGCCTTCAGCAGCTGCATTGTCGCCATTGCCTCCATCGTCTTTAACTCAATCAACACCCACCGCAATCCCCACACTGACAGTTTCGCCGTCATCTCCAGGAAGAATAGATTCTCCACTTTCCTTAACATCCGTGGACTCTTCGTCATCTTCACTTACTTCTGATGAACAAGTAAATTCACCTTCTTTGGTATGTCCCATTTGTAATGAAACAATGGTGACGTTACTACAGTTAAACAGACACATTGATGACACGCATTCCGAAATTGAAAAAAAGGATGAGGATATTCTCAAGTCGTGGTTTAAAAAAAAGGTCGAACAAGCGCGTCAACTCCCCTCGGTATCACTTTTCAATAACAAGTTTGCAAAATTAGATATATTTGACTCGGAAGATAGTGGTACGTCGCCCCCATTATCTTCCTCTGATGCACTTGGAACGTCACCGAAAAAAAGTGTAACTGCGCCCACAGCACCCCCTATCCCTCGATTCACAGTTACTAAGGAGCACTGGCAAAAACCGACTTCTTACGATAAATGTTCAGATATTGTTTGTGATAAGGCATTAAATACTAGAAATGGATCAGTCAATTGTATGTCAACTGATTAGGGCGGGTTTTTTTTTGTTTCTAAGGAAATGCTAACTAATATTTTAGGTAGGAAATGTGGCAAATTATTTTGTACAGAGCATACTCGATACCAAATGAAGTTGGATAAAAATGCGCAACATGACCCTATTAACGGCATATGGTCTCGATGTTGCGAAACGTGCTTTAAGTCAAGGGAGGGTTACTTTGATACAACTGGCTCAGTAGTTGATATTTCAAAAGATTTTTTTGCCGCACGGCAAAAGAAGATGGATATTCAAGAACTAGAAGTGAATAAGCTTGAAAAACGATTGGCCAAGGTATGTAAGCCCCCCGCAAAAAAAAAAAAAAAAAAATCAAAAGAAATCAAAAATGTTTGATTATAGGATCACATCTAACTTAAACCTTTTAGCTCATTTCTGCACTTACGGATCCCAAGTTTTCATCAAACGATAATAGCAGTGTGCTAACATATTCCAAGGCGAACCAACGACGGGATGCAGAGAAAAGTGTCATTAAATGGCAAGCAGATGCTGTGGTACACAATTGTCCCATTTGTGGGCATCATTTTGGATACACATTAAGGAAACATCACTGTCGTTTGTGTGGCCGTGTCATTTGTGCCAACCTTACAACTAACTGTTCACGGGAGGTTCCGATTTCACTTTTAGTTGAGAAGCTTGATAGTGATGGTGGGGATATAATGGAGAGCATATCGTTTTACAGGAATGGGGGTAGTAATGGGGACCAATACAGTTCGCAGCATTATCATCATGGGAAGCACACGTCTGCTCATGCGATTCGGATTCAAATCAGTAGGGCCAATGACATTAGCATACGATTGTGTCAGGAATGCAAAAACACGCTGTTCGCCCGACGAAACTTTGAAGCAGACCTACGGGCAAGTGCTAAGCCTGCAATTGTAGGAGCATACGAGGCTTTGATGAGGATTCGGCGATCAATTGATGTGACACTGCCGCAGTTCCAGAGGCTGCTTGCTGAAGTGAATGATCTCAAAAAGGAGCCGAGTGAGGATACGTTGTTGGAAGCAGGCAAGATTCGGAAACGGTTGATGGATGGATTTGTTCAGCTGGATAATGCCTCTCGACGGGTTCAAAAAGTGGGAACCACAACAGAAACAGAAGTGAGGTTAAAGAAGCAGATTGTGGTTGATATCACGCAGTATTTGCAGGACCACATGATTCCATTAAAAGCACTTCCTCGAGTTTTAAAGAAGAATAATTCTAGTGAAAATCAGGCGGCCGCAGTTGCTGAAACGAGTGCCACTTCTGGAGCAGGAGAAATAGAACAGGGAGAAGAAGAAGAAGAAGAAGAAGAAGAAGATGATGATGATGATGGTGGGGAAAATTTGAGTGAACATGAAGTGAAAGAACTTCAGGAGCAGTTGATTATTTTGGAGGAGCAGCGGTTTTTGGTATCTAAAATGATTAGCGAAGCGAGTGCAAAACGGCGATTTGACGAGATTCAGCCGTTACAGCAGAGCGTTGATGATTTGGAGAGCGAGATGACCAAGGTACGAACACGGTTAGGGAAGCGAAACCAGATTATTTAGCTGAGTGAAAGTTAAGTGTTAGGCTTTATGATGTAAGGTGCAAGGTGCAAGGTACAAGTATTAACTTTTAAGTACCCGGCTGATTGGCTCGTGGAAGAAAGCAGATGAAAAAATCTGACGTTCACGTGAGAGGCTGGTTGGTGCAAGCACATGGGAGTGAAGCAAGGCGGTTGATGCCTTTAATTTAGGACTGGAGTGCTCGCCTGCAATGCAACAACACAAAGACAAAAAGTTGCATTGAGCAGGTGTTGTATGATGAATAGATTATAAACTAATTAGTTAGATATATTTGGTAGGTGAAAACAAGATTTTGGGCATGAAACAATCGAGACTTGTAAGAAATGAAGAGTCAAACGTTTAAAAAAAAGACAAAAAAAGACAAAAAAAGAGTTTTGAATGTTTGAGTCGTTTCCTTCTGGCATCCCCCTCCCCCTTTTATTTTTTTTTTTTAATTTAGATAAATAAATGGTGATATGATAAAATATAAGAAGAACCCCTGCCATTAGGCTGAATTGTTCATGTGAAAAAAGGCTGGGTTTGTATTGATTCAACCATACGAGAATATGACTTTTTTGTTTTTTTTTTTTTTCAGTGGTAACGACACCAATGACTATTATTATTATTTTAAAAAAATATATATTATGGACCCATTGAGTCTACTGAAATAATAATAATAATTATTTTATTATTTAAATTAAGTCGTGGAAATTGCCCTTTACAGAAAGTTTTTTGACGCGGTACGAAAGTCCAAGAACCTCCCCAGATTAACAGTTGACAGGCTGACCGACAATTAACCGCGCGTTGTTTGTTGATTGAAAAAAAAAATAAACAAATAAACAAATAAATAAATTAAAAATGAATGAATCATTATATATAAACGTGTAATTATGTAGATATGTAAATGCATTTTATTTGGTACATTGTTTTTTTTTTTTCACAGTTTATTTTTTTTTTATAAAAAAAATTGATTCTATTCATTTATCAAGTTTTCTTTTTATTCAAAACTGCTTTAAACATTAATTGCTTCTTTTGTTTTTTTTTTGTTTCTTTTTTGTTTCTTTTTTATTATCATCTATTAAAATCGGTTATACTTTTAAGGGACTCTTTTAAACTTTTTTTTTGTCAATTCCAATTTTAAATTTTAAATTTTTTTTTTTTTTTTTTTTTTTTGTCTGTCTGCGTGTATAATTTTTTTTTTCTTTTTTTTTTAACCCTTTTCTTACTCACACACACACAATTTTTTTTTTTTTTCTTCACACACACCTTCATTACAAAAGATATATATATATATATATAAACACATTCACATTCCACATACACTTAAAATCTCATTCAATAATACTCAATTTTTACTACAGACAAATCATAATCCTTCTTTATAATAAAAGTCTCATAATCGGTTTTTTTTTTATTTTTCTATATCATAATGTCGCTACCTTCTGTGGGCCCAGGCGGAATGCCCCGATCAAAATACCAACATGCTTTTGACGATTTTCTTATCCCAGAAGAGGCAGCAGCTCAGCCATCATCAAATTTCAATAATAATCAACATCCACCACCACCACCATTGGCACATATTCCAGCAGCAGTAAATGCTCCAGAGTTCTACTATCAACAACAACAACAACAGCAGCAGCAGCAACAGCAACATCCTCGAACACAGAGTATGATGAGCACTGCATCGAGTATGCGCAGTATGCAACCGCAGGGTCCTCTTCGTCCTTCTTCTACTTTTAATCCCTATGGACCTGACCCTTACCAAATAATGGCTAGCGACTCCGGACCTTACATGTCTCCAGCCATGCCTAGAGCCGCTGTTACATCTGCAAACAGCAGTGTGGGCCGCAGAGCTTCCAACTCATCGAAAGCTTCGTCTCTGTTTAACTGGCGCAGCAAAAAAGTGGTTCACGACGAATTTAATGGTGATGAAGATATGTTTGACGACTTCTCATCAGCCACCGGGTTAGGTGCAGCTGCAGGAGGACGTCCCGGAACTCCAGGATCCGGTGGAATACGGTATCCCTCTGGTGCCTCGACATCGTCACTTGCTCTAAACAATATGTTGATGCAACAACAGCAACAACAACAACAACAACAGTACGCTCCCCAAGGTAATAATTTCGACATGGTAGAGGGTGCCACAAACCTCGGCATGAACCAATTAAAATCGCTACGCGATCGCGACCGATACCCAACAATCACAAGTAATAGTAGCTCCGGGGTATCCAGCATTAACTCGCCTGATGGCACGAGAACTATGTCGATGCGCTCCATGTCCAACTCGACTTTTGATACAACCCCCATCATCCCTATACTTACACCTACTGGTACCTCGAAAAAAAGTAAAGAATATCGTAAAAACCTTACTCTTAACCAGCGCAAATTGATGCATGCTTCTGATGGAGGTGCACCAGGTGGGTTTCTTTACAGTCAACAACTACAGCAACAGCAACAGCAACAGCAACAACAGCAACAAATGGACCCTCAGAATCTCCGCATGATGATGAACGGTGCGTTCCCCGGTTTGGCTGGAAGTGGCCCCTTTCCAACCAAAAATGGCAATTACCCACAACAGCAACAACAACAACAACAGCACCAGCAGCACCAGCAGCACCAGCAGCACCAGCAGCAGATTCCGCCTCAATTCCAATCCAACGGGGCGTTTGCTTCTGGGTACCCCACCGCTCCCGGCCAAAATCGGTTTCCTGGCCACCCCCAGCAACAGGGTCCACAACTACTTCCGGCAAATAACCCGGCTGCCGGAAATCTGGCTAATCCTATGCGTCGTGGTCCTAGCGCGGGTGTCCCGGGCCAGGGTTATTATCAGAATAGTAGCAACGGCGCACTCGCCATGGGGCCTCGCTCCATGTCTATGACTAGCAATGCTTCCTCTCGAGGACCATTTTCACCACCTCCCCCACAAAACCATCAGACAAATAACAACAACTTCCACCAGGCACCGTCGCCCGGGCCTTACCGCGGGTACTCGGGACCTATTGGATCTCCCACTTCTACTACCACAACTTCACCTGAATACCAACGTAACCCACAAACAGCATCTCAAATCCAGTCACAACCGCTACAAGTCCATTCCCCTGCACCTATTCGTGCTGGCGGTCCAACAAGCCCTGTCACAGCCTCGGCAGGCTACCCTCCACAAACTCCCAGGAGTGTTGCATCTGTGGGTTACGCAAGCGACAGTCCGCGCAGCATGGCAGATGCACCACCAAGCAGTTCAACAGAACAACCACAGGCATCTAATGAAGAAGCGATGTCATTACAAAGTACGTCCTCGCAACCAGTATATGCAAGTGCTCAGCAGTCACAACAACCTAAAGGCGCATTGTCTCAGACCGGGCACGCCCAAAACCCATCCATAGTAACGGTCTCATCTTTAGGCTCTGGATATAAATCTGCCATATCACAACAGCAACGGAGCCCAGGTAGAAGACAGTCGCGTGATAATACTAATCTACCAGAAGATGAAAAGTTTTCGTTCCAAGCCTCGGAGCCGATCCAAGAAAAAGCTAAAACTCCAACCCAAGATATTCCACAAACAGATTCCTCAACCTCTAGGGAAATAGATAATCATCAGGTGCATACTCACGTGGCAGTCCATGCACCTGTTCCTCTTGTGGCTCCGGGGCCCGTTGTCTCGGAATCTAAACCTACACCCGTTTCAGACCGGGACTCTTCAGCCACACCTACACCCTTGTCGATGCCCCCGACCCTTGAGATCCCGCCTCCTACGTCTCCATTTGAAATACCAAGTATATCGTCTGCCTCCGCAACACCACCGCTCTCTGAGACAACAAGCTCGCGGTCCATGTCGCGGCCATCTTCTAGTACTCTCTCGTCGCTGGACCCAATGCACGTTTCTCTCAGTAAGCTTACTACCGCTACCACTGATTCGGATCTGTCGTTCAACTCTGCACCCTCGTCAACGTTTATCAGCTCCAACACTACTACACCTACCATGACCAAGTGCTCGATCCAGAAAACAGGTGAAGAGACTGTAGAAGATACCACTGACGATAGTGTGCAGATTGTGTCAACACAACCAAGTGTACTCTCGCCAGAGACTCACCACTTGCCACTTTCCATGTCGTCGCCCAAATCAACCTCTGATCGTGGCGTTAGTGTAGGCGATGACAGCTTGGTTTCTCAAGCGACTGCAGACTCTACCAAGGTCCTTGAGCTGACTCTTGAGAACCAAGTACTTTTGAATGAAGTTCGGTTGATTGCGTTTGAGCTTGCTGATTCGGTCAAGCGCGAGCTTGGAATTGAAAGCTTTGAGGAAGAATCAGATGTTGCAGCTATTACGGCTGCTACCACAGGCGATTCCAGCGTTGAAGATATTTCAGATTCATTAGTGGGTGAGCTTTCCCTGGATAGCACTTCCCGGGCTCGTATGGTTGTCCAGTTGCAACGTAAGCTCGACATGGAAAGACGCAAACGTGTTGCTTTAGAATCTCGTCTTGTAAACTTAGAAAAGAGTGTTACCAATAACAATGGCAAGGGCCAAATCTCCGAGATTTATGACCATTTGACGTTACAGAATAATATCACCAAGAAGGAACATGAGCTGCTTGATATGAAACTTGACTATGAGGATGCTCAAAAGTCAATTGCAGAATTGCGTGCAAAATGCGGTGTTCTTGAGCGTGAACGTGATGCTGCTTGGGCTGCTACTAAAAAGGCACAGGAAGAAAATAAGACAATGCAAAAGGAGCTTGCTTCACTGTTACCATCGATTCTTCCTAGCGCATTGTTGGCCAAAAATAACAATTCTTCGTCACCTGCTACTAGCAGTCCATCGGCAGTACTATCATCCATGTCGCGCGACGAAAAGGTACGTGCGATTGAGTCTCAACGTGATGCTTTGCGTGATGCTTTGCGGTCTCACCGTGAGTTAAAAGACCATGAGATTCGGCAATTACAGGATCGTGTGAAGCAGCTAGAAACCAAGTGGGAGAAGGAACGCATGGCCAATCTACAACTCCAGCAAAAGCTAGTTCTTGGATCCAGTTCGTCGAGTGTCAACAATACTGGTGTAAGGTCGTCTTCATCTTCTGGTGGAAGTTCGAGCAATAGCGCAGCCACTATGACCCATTCCAACTCCAACAGCAGTATTAATGGTGTGATTGCACAATCTCCTGGAGCTGGTTTATTACCAACAAATCTGTCGCTACCATCGCCGTCGTCGGATGGGTATTTTAACCTGACGCCGCCCAAACGGCGAGTGCGTAGTAAGGGTAGTTTCTACAATTTGAGTTTTGGCGGGTCGTCAAACAATTTGCTTGATAGTGTGACTGCTGCAGGATCTGGAATTGGCTCTGGAGGATCGTATAGCTCGACACATACGGGTGGAATTATAAGGAGCTCGTCACCTGCGCCATTAACTCTTACGACCAATATTGCGGCACATGCCCTTGCATCCACAGGAAGTTCCGGGCAAGGAACCGGAGTATAAATAGATAAAAGAAGAAGAAGAAGATGATGATGATGTGTATAGAGAAAAAATTGAATAAGAAAATTGATTAGGCAGCGCTTGAGACGCCCAGCGTGTCATGGTGATGAGAATTTGAACAAGCAATTATTGATGAGGAAATTCACAAGCCAAACAGACAAGATAAGAAACGGAAATTTTTCATGAATTGAAACAAAAAAAAAAAAAAAAAAGTATAAAAAGAGTTGAAATTCCTTGAATTCTCTCTCTTTTTTCTTTTTTTCTTTTTTTATTCCTAAATTTGCTCTATATCTGATAAAAGCCTGAATTTTATATTATTCTTTAGTTGGTGATATAATATACAAATCACCAAGAGCATTTTTTTTTTTTTTTTCTAATTCTTCTATTTACTAACTGGGTGACTTGAAATTTTTCAATACCCTCTATAAAAAAAAAAAAAAAAAAAAAAAAAAAAGCCAGCACACCCACCCACCTTTTTTTTTTTTTTTTTTTTCTCTCTCTCTCTTCCCTCTCCACTTACTTGACTCCCATCATCTAAACCATGATCAATGTTGTGATAGGCAAGTCTGCCACCGACGACAAGGGCAAATCTGTGGCCACGTTGGTTGGCCAGTACTTTTACCTTGCACTTCTGGAACTCTTTTATTTTGTTTTCTCGCTCTACCGTTTTGGCGGGTACATTTACCACCGACTCATGATCCGCTGGCTAACCATCACGTACCATCAGAATCGTACACCGGAACTGATCCAGCGTGATGTTGCCAATTTCACCAAAATCCCTCGTGGCATTGGAGCCGTTCTCACACTCCACGACTCAGGGGACGAGGGTGGAGGCGTCGATGGTTTGCTAGAACAGGCCAGCGATTTGGCTGCCTGGTGTATCGGCACAAGCATTGAATTTTTGGTTCTTTATGAGCGTACCGGGGTGCTTAAAGCATTACCAGAGCCTGATGTGCGTCGCCGCATTTCTCGGAAACTGGAGCAGTATTATGGTGCCGATAATGTACCCACGTTTAAGATTAGTTTCCCCTACACGGCTGCCTCATATTCTGATAACTCAACTCTTGTACATGACGACGCTTCTGGTCCTTCTGTTAGTTCTACCGAACCTTCTGTCAACCTTACGATTCGCATTCTTTCTGTAGAAGATGGCCGGCAGTCTATTGTAGACTTGACGAGATCGTTGGCCACGCTGGCCAAGGAAAAAAAGATTAGTGCGCGTGATATTAATGTCAAGACGATTGATCATGAGATTAAGACACTTGTGTCAGATGAGCCGGACCTTGTGTATGTGTTTGGCCCAGTGTTAGATCTTGACGGGTTCCCTCCATGGCAGATTCGTTTGTCGGAAATATTCTACATGCGCGACAATGATGAGGTTTCATATGCCGTATTTCTCAAGGGCTTGGAGAAGTATTCAGGTGTTAAGATTAATGTGGGAAGATAGAGTAAATGGTGATATTTATTAAGCTCTCCTTTAATTTATTTTTATTTATTTTTTTTTTATTTTTTTTTTTTTTTTTTGGTTTTAATAAAGTAATTTAATATATATATATATATATATATATATAGGGTAAAAAGAATAAAATATATAAGGTTTTAATTGTGAATATTTTTAATTAATAATTTTTATATATTTTTTATTTACGTTAAACTAACTTTTAATTTTTTATTTTAATTTTAATTTTTATTATTTTTTATTTTTTATTTTTTATTTTTATTTTTATTTTTTTTTAAAAGGCATGCTCGGTGGAGTCCTTACCAACAGAGGAAGTTGACGAGGAACCAGAAACAACAGTGGAAATCATATCATCGTAAAAGTTAGCGCCAGACCACTTCTGGTGTGTCAGGAGATCAATGCCAATTTCCTTTTCCTTAGCCTGGACATTCTTGACATAGGCCAACATGCCATCTTTCTTGAAGCCCTCAGAGAGCTGGGCGGTTGCCAGACCATTGGTGTGGATACCAGCAAGAGAAATGAGTTGAAGAGTAAAGCCAGCCTTTGCAAGTTCCCATACAAAGTCCTTAAGATCCTTTTCAGAGAAACCTTGGCCGAGCCAATTGAAACTGGGGGAAAGGTTGTAGACAAGCCATTTGCCAGGGTGATGCTTGTGAATCTCGGCAGCAAAGGCCTTAGCTTGTTCAAGGTTAGGTTTCTTAGTTTCAAGCCAGAGAAGATCGGCAAAGGAACCGAAAGCAACGGCACGCTTGATGGCAGCATCAATGCCATTCTTAAAAGCATGGTAACCTTCACGGGTACGGGGGGCATCCCAGTCAAAGAAAACGTCCTTTCCGAGAGACTTCTTAGCAAGAGCACGGGCATCATAGTTGGAGAGACCCTTTGCAGCAGCAAGGTAAGCATCGACTTGGTCAGCCTTGCCAGCCTCCTTGAGCTCAGCAACAACAGCATCGTTGAAGGTCATGAGTGGGGTGTTTTGAGTCCATTCGAGTTCAAGAGAATCAATTTCTTCGTTAGATTTACCAGCAGCCTGGGCCTCCTCGAGAACTTGGGCCAAAGGCTTGACAGGTTTGTTAACACCGAGGATGTACTCGTGGTCAGCAGGGTCGACAGATGAGGAAATGAGGTTACCAGTTTCCGAGTCAGTTCTGGCAATGACGAGGTTACTAGTGCCCATAATATCCCATTGCATACGGGTAGCATTGAGACGAGAGATGTGAGTGGAAGTGGGGACCAAGACCTTACCGGAAAGATGGCCACACTTCTTACCACCGTGAAGTTGGTCTTCGAGGTGGACGGCAGCAGCACCACGTTCAGCAAAGAGTTTGGCGAGCTTCATGACGGCGCCGGTACCACCATGGCCGGTATCACCATCAGCAATGATTGGGCGGAGGTAGTCGATACGGCCATTGCCCTCAGCGGAGCGCTTAGAACGTTCTTCAGGTGAGAGGTTGATCCATTCGTGCCATGATTTACGGTCGTGGAGTTGTTGAGCACGGAAGATACGGTCGACTTGGTTGGGGACAGTATCGTAAGGGTAGTCACCAAAGTCAGGGGAGACTTCGTTTGTTGTAGTTAAGACTGAAGAGCAAGCCCAACCTGAGATGTAGACGATTTCTTGGTTTTTAACTGATTGGGACATTTGGACGGGGTCAATGGAACCAATGGTATGAACTGGAGCACCCTGTTTAGAGCGTTCTGTGAGGAGGTTGAAGAGTTTATCAGCCTGTGTTGAGGAAGGGTAAGAGACTGGGAGGGTTCCTCTAAAGGTGGCGACCTTTTCGGCTGGGTAAGGACGGGTGATATTTTTAAATCGTGGTGAGGCCCACCATTCTTTAATTTCCTTGACAGTTTTGTCGAAGTAAGCCTTTTCCTCATCTGCAGAGGGATAGGGGAACTTTGAGATTGTGGATAGTTGAGCAGAGGAAGTCATAAGAATGCGGGGGTTAATGCGGGCAGACAACGCTGAACGTTTTGAAATTGAAGAGAGCATTTTAT